TACCCCCACGTTCTACCCCCCACGTCTCTACCCCCCACGTCTCTACCCCCCCACGTCTCTACCCCCCCCACGTCTCTACCCCCCCACGTCTCTACCCCCCCCCCGTCTCTACCCCAACGTCTCTACCCCCCACGTCTCTACCCCCCACGTCTCTACCCCCCCCACGTCTCTACCCCCCACGTCTCTACCCCCCCACGTCTCTACCCCCCCCCCCGTCTCTACCCCCCACGGTCTCTACCCCCCCCGTCTCTACCCCCCACGTCTCTACCCCCCCCACGTCCTCTACCCCCACGTCTCTACCCCCCACGTCTCTACCGCCCCCACGTCTCTACCCCCCACGTCTCTACCCCCCCACGTCTCTACCCCCCCCCGTCTCTACCCCCAACGTTTCTACCCCCCCCCCCCCGGTCTCTACCCCCCCGTCTCTACCCCCCACGTCTCTACCCCCCACGTCTCTACCCCCCACGTCTCTACCCCCACGTCTCTACCCCCCACGTCTTCTACCCCCCCCACGTCTCTACCCCCCCACCGTCTCTACCCCACGTCTCTACCCCCACGTCTCTACCCCCCGTCTCTACCCCCCCGTCTCTACCCCCCCCCCCGTCTCTACCCTCCCCCGTCATCTACCCCCCACGTCTCTACCCCCCACCCCGTCTCTACCCCCCCGTCTCTAACCCCCGTCTACCCCCCACGTCTCTACCCCCCCCACGTCTCTACCCCCACGTCTCTACCCCCACGTCTCTAACCCCCCACATCTCTACCCCCCCACGTCTCTACCCCCCACGTCTCTACCGCCCCCCACGTCTCTACCCCCCCCCCCGTCTCTACCCCCCCCACGTCTCTACCCCCCCCACGTCTCTACCCCCCACGTCCTCTACCCCCCCACGTCTCTACCCCCACGTCTCTACCCCCCCACGTCTCTACCCCCCCCCCCCGTCCTCTACCCCCCACGTCTCTCTCTACCCCCCCCGTCTCTACCCCCCACGTCTCTACCCCCCCCACGTCTCTACCCCCCCACGTCTCTACCCCCCCACGTCCTTATACCGCCCCCACGTCATCTACCCCCCCACGGTCTCTACCCCCCACGTCTCTACACCCCCCCCCGTCTCTACCCCCACGTTTCTACCCCCGCCCCCCCGGTCCTCTACCCCCCCGTCTCTACCCCCCACGTCTCTACCCCCCCACGTCTCTACCCCCCACGTCCTCTACCCCCCACGTCTCTACCCCCCACGTCTCTACCCCCCCCACGTCTCTACCACCCCCACCGTCTCTACCCCCACGTCTCTACCCCCCACGTCTCTACCCCCCCCGTCTCTACCCCCCGTCTCTATACCACCCCCCCCCCGTCTCTACCCTCCCCCGTCTCTACCCCCCACGTCTCTACTACCCCCCCCGTCTCTACCCCCCCCGTCTCTACCCCCCCCACGTCCTCTACCCCCCCCACGGTCTCTACCCCCACGTCTCTACCCCCCACGTCTCTACCCCCCACATCTCTACCCCCCCCACGTCTCTACCCCCCCACGTCTCTACCGCCCCCCCACGTCTCTACCCCCCCCCCCGTCTCTACCCCCCCCACGTCTCTACCCCCCACGTCTCTACCCCCACGTCTCTACCCCCCACGTCTCTACCCCCCCGTCTCTACCCCCCCGTCTCTACCCCCCCCCCCGTCTCTACCCCCCCGTCTCTACCCCCCCCCCATCTCTACCCTCCCCCGTCTCTAACCCCCACGTCTCTACCCCCCACGTCTCAACCCCCCACGTCTCTACCCTCCCCGTCTCTACCCCCCACGTCTCTACCCCCCACGTCTCTACCCCCCACGCGTCTCTACCCCCCACATCTCTACCCCCCCACGTCTCTACCCCCCACGTCTCTACCCCCCACGTCTCTACCCCCCCCCGGCTCTACCCCCCACGTCTCTACCCCCCACGTCTCTACCCCCCACGTCTCTACCCCCCCCCCCCCCGTCTCTACCCCCCACGTCTCTACCCCCCCCCCGTCTCTACCCCCCACGTCTCTACCCCCCACGTCCCTACCCCCCACGTCTCTACCCCCACGTCTCTACCCCCCACGTCTCTACCCCCCCACGTCTCTACCCCCCCACGTCTCTACCCCCCCGTCTCTACCCCCCCCCCACGTCTCTACCCCCCCCACGTCTCTACCCCCCCACGTCTCTACCCCCCACGTCTCTACCCCCCCGTCTCTACCCCCCACGTCTCTACCCCCCCACGTCTCTACCCCCCCGTCTCTACCCCCCCCACGTCTCTACCCCCCCCACGTCTCTACCCCCCCACGTCTCTACCCCCACGTCTCTACCCCCACGTCTCTACCCCCCACGTCTCTACCCCCCCGTCTCTACCCCCCCGTCTCTACCCCCCCCCCCCGTCTCTACCCTCCCCCGTCTCTACCCCCCACGTCTCTACCCCCCCCCCGTCTCTACCCCCCCGTCTCTACCCCCCCCACGTCTCTACCCCCCCCACGTCTCTACCCCCACGTCTCTACCCCCCACGTCTCTACCCCCCCCGTCTCTACCCCCCCCACGTCTCTACCCCCCACGTCTCTACCGCCCCCCCACGTCTCTACCCCCCCCCCCGTCTCTACCCCCCCCCACGTCTCTACCCCCCACGTCTCTACCCCCACGTCTCTACCCCCCACGTCTCTACCCCCCCGTCTCTACCCCCCCGTCTCTACCCCCCCCCGTCTCTACCCCCCCGTCTCTACCCCCCCCCCCGTCTCTACCCTCCCCCGTCTCTACCCCCCACGTCTCTACCCCCCACGTCTCAACCCCCCACGTCTCTACCCTCCCCCGTCTCTACCCCCCACGTCTCTACCCCCCCCCCCGTCTCTACCCCCCCGTCTCTACCCCCCCCCCACGTCTCTACCCCCCACGTCTCAACCCCCCACGTCTCTACCCCCCCCCCGTCTCTACCCCCACGTCTCTACCCCCCCCCCCCGTCTCTACCCCCACGTCTCTACCCCCCACGTCTCTACCCCCACGTCTCTACCCCCCACGTCTCTACCCCCCCCACGTCTCTACCCCCCCCAAGTCTCTACCCCCCACGTCTCTACCCCCCCCCCGTCTCTACCCCCCACGTCTCTACCCCCCACGTCTCTACCCCCCACGTCTCTACCCCCCCCACGTCTCTACCCCCACGTCTCTACCCCCCCCCCCGTCTCTACCCCCCACGTCTCTACCCCCCACGTCTCTACCCCCACGTCTCTACCCGGTGGCGAGCGTGGTGGTGGTGGTGTGAGCGTGGTGGTGGTGATCGTGATGGTGGTGGTGATCGTGGCGATGGCGAGTGTGGTGGTGAGCGTGGTGGTGGTGAGCGTGGTGGTGGTGAGCGTGGTGGTGGTGAGCGTGGTGGTGGTGAGCGTGGTGGTGGTGAACGTGGTGGTGGTGAGCGTGGTGGTGGTGAGCGTGGTGGTGGTGAGCGTGGTGGTGGTGAGCGTGGTGGTGGTGAGCGTGGTGGTGGTGAGCGTGGCGGTGGTGAGCGTGGTGGTGGTGAACGTGGTGGTGGTGAGCGTGGTGGTGAGCGTGGTGGTGGTGAGCGTGGTGGTGAGCGTGGTGGTGGTGGTGAGCGTGGTGGTGGTGAGCGTGGTGGTGGTGAGCGTGGTGGTGGTGAGCGTGGTGGTGAGTGTGGTGGTGAGCGTGGTGGTGGTGAGCGTGGTGGTGAGCGTGGTGGTGGTGAGCATGGTGGTGAGCGTGGTGGTGGTGGTGAGCGTATTGGTGGTGGTGGTGGTTAGCGTGGTGGTGAGCGTGGTGGTGAGCGCTACCTCCCCGTAGATGCGGAAGCCTGTGGGCTGCGTCTCGACAGCACTGACCCCGCCCAGGCCGCGCGCCGCCTCCAGGTTGGCCTCGTGGGCGCCGACGGCGAGGCCCAGGAGGTGCTCGCTCACCCGCAGCTCCAGCACACACGCCCTGGCCAGCCGGCGCCTCGCCTGCACGGGGGGGCACGGGGGGACAAGGAGGGGATACACGGGGACACGGAGACACGTGTGGTGACGTGGGGACACGTGTGGTGACGTGGAGACACGGAAGACACGGAGACACGTGTGGTGACGTGGGGACACGTGTGGTGACGTGGGGACACGGAAGACACGGAGACACGTGTGGTGACGTGGGGACACGGAAGACACGGAGACACGCGTGGTGACGTGGGGACACGTGGGGACACGGAAGACACGGAGACACGTGTGGTGACGTGGGGACACGGAGACACGTGTGGTGACACGGGGACACGGAGACACGTGGGGAGACGTGGGGACACGGAGACACGTGGGGAGACGTGGGGACACGGAGACACGTGGGGAGACGTGGGGACACGGAGACACGTGTGGTGACATGGGGACACGGAAGACACGGAGACACGTGTGGTGACACGGGGACACGGAAGACACGGAGACACGTGTGGTGACGTGGGGACACGGAAGACACGGAGACACGTGGGGACATGGAAGACACAGAGACACGTGTGGTGACGTGGGGACACGTGGGGACGCGGAAGACACGTAGACACGTGCACAGGGACACGCGCGTGAGGAGACACGGGGGAAGACGCTTGGGGTGGAGGAGACGTGGGGAGATGTGGGGGGGACATGGTGGGTGGAGACACGGGGACACGAGGGGAGACACGCGCAGGGAACAACGGGTGGCGATGCCAAGGGGAAACAGAAACACACGGGGAGACAGATGGACAGGTGGGGACACGCGGGGAGAGACAAGGTGAGTGTGGGAGAGACGCAGAGTCAGTGACTGAGATGACCCCTGGCCGATGCACCACCTGTGCCCCCTACTGTACCAACTCGCTGTGTTTTATCCGCCCGGCGCTCCGCTCGTTGTTGTGAGCGTCGCTCCTCCGCCCTCCGTTGTTGTTGGAGGGCGACTGCCTCCAACTGCCCAGTAGCAACGTCCTTCACGAGCCTCCTCCACAGAGGCCGATCTTGACACCCTCTCTCCACCGTCACCCGCTCTCTTCCACGCTCTCTCCCCGCACACTCTCCCCACTCTCCCCCCACGCTCTCTCTCACCTCGAGTTGCCGGCTGGCCTCCTGGTTGCTGGTCTTGAGCAGGAGTTTGGTGCGGATGCCTCGGAAGTGAATGTCACTCAGCATGTCCACTCTCCTGGACACGGATGCATCCCTGGCCTGGCGGGGAGAGGAGCCCACTCCTCATCATCATCATCATCGTCACCGTCATCATCATCATCACCGTCATCATCATAATTATCCTCATTATCACCGTCACCATCATTATCGTCATCATCACCGTCATCGTCATCATCGTCATAATCATCATCGTCATCATCGTCACCATCGTAACCATCGTCATCATCACTGTCATTATCATAATTATCCTCATTATCACCGTCATTATCGTCATCATCACCGTCATCGTCGTCATAATCATCATCGTCGTCATCATCGTCATCGTCGTCATTATGGCCACTCTTCTTTGTTCTAGATTTGAAGCTTTTGTGACTGCAAGGATTCACACTCTCTGGTTTTTTCGGTAAAGTCACGTAGGTAAAATAAAATAAATGAAAACAACTAAACTAAATCACGACGTTTCGGAGGCAACACAAGCTTCCGTCTTCAGGTGGAACAGTCACAGCAGAATATCTGTGTCAAGTGGACAGCTCTGAGACACACGGGATTATATATACAGGTTAAGGGGGGGGGAGGAGCCAAGAAGGGACGTGGGTGGCGGGGGGAGGGCTGAGTTAAGCCGCCTTTTGTTAAACTGCAGGGGGTTTGTAAATGGCTGTTCAATTATAAGGCAGCTAACGTTTGACTTGATTGATAACATCTTTCCAATGGTTGCTCAATTTCTCCCAGCGGGTCGTATGCCAAACTTTAGCTGCCTTATCATTGAACAGCCATTTCCATTGCTTTCTAACAGAAAATGGGGCTGTACTCGCTTTCATCCAGTGCACCACCGCTCCCCCCAAACCCCCTGCAGCATAACAAAAATAGCGGCTTAACTACAGCCCTCCCCCCCCACCCACGTCCCTTCTTGGCTCCTCCCCCCCCCCTTAACCTGTATATAATCCCAGCTTAACTACAGCCCTCCCCCCCCCACCCACGAACCTTCTTGGCTCCTCCCCCAACCCCTTAACCTGTATATATAATCCCGTGTGTCTCAGAGCTGTACACCTGACACAGATATTCTGCTGTGACTGTTCCACCTGAAGACGGAAGCTTGTGTTGCCTCCGAAGCGTCGTGATTTAGTTTAGTTGTTTTATTTTATTTTACCTAGGTGACTTTACCGAAAAAACCAAAGAGTACTATTCTTTGTCTTTGTGGCAACAGGATGGTGAGTGTGGGTGAGTGTGGGACCAGAATGGTGAGTGTGTGAGTGAGTGTGGGTGAGTGTGGGTGAGTGAGTGTGTGGGTGAGCATGTGGGTGAGTGTGTGGGTGAGTGTGGGTGAGTGTGGGGGTGAGTGTGTGGGTGAGTGTGTGGGTGAGTGTGTGGGTGAGTGTGTGGGTGAGCGTGTGGGTGAGCGTGTAGGTGAGTGTGGGTGAGTGTGTGGGTGAGTGTGGGTGAGTGTGTGGGTGAGTGTGTGGGTGAGTGTGGGTGAGTGAGTGTGTGGGTGAGTGTGGGTGAGTGTGGGGGTGAGTGTGTGGGTGAGTGTGGGTGAGTGTGTGGGTGAGTGTGGGGGTGAGCGTGTGGGTGAGTGTGTGGGTGAGTGTGGGTGAGTGTGGGTGAGTGAGTGTGTGAGTGAGTGTGGGTGAGTGTGTGGGTGGGTGAGTGTGGGTGAGTGTGTGGGTGAGTGTGTGGGTGAGTGTGTGGGTGAGTGTGTGGGTGAGTGAGTGTGTGGGTGAGCGTGTGGGTGAGTGTGGGTGAGTGTGTGGGTGAGTGTGTGGGTGAGCGAGTGTGGGGGTGAGTGTGTGGGTGAGTGTGTGGGTGAGTGTGGGTGAGTGTGTGGGTGAGTGTGGGTGAGTGAGTGTGGGTGAGCGTGTGGGTGAGCGTGTGGGTGAGTGTGGGTGAGCGTGTGGGTGAGCGTGTGGGTGAGCGTGTGGGTGAGCGTGTGGGTGAGCGTGTGGGTGAGCGTGTGGGTGAGTGTGGGTGAGAGTGGGTGAGTGTGTGGGTGAGTGTGGGTGAGTGTGGGTGAGTGAGTGTGGGTGAGTGAGTGTGTGGGTGAGCGTGTGGGTGAGTGTGTGGGTGAGTGTGGGTGAGTGTGGGGGTGAGTGTGTGGGTGAGTGTGGGTGAGTGTGGGTGAGCGTGTGGGTGAGCGTGTAGGTGAGTGTGGGTGAGTGTGTGGGTGAGTGTGAGTGAGTGTGTGGGTGAGTGTGGGTGAGTGTGGGTGAGTGAGTGTGTGGGTGAGTGTGGGTGAGTGTGGGGGTGAGTGTGTGGGTGAGTGTGGGTGAGTGTGTGGGTGAGTGTGGAGGTGAGCATGTGGGTGAGTGTGTGGGTGAGTGTGGGTGAGTGTGGGTGAGTGAGTGTGGGTGAGTGTGTGGGTGGGTGAGTGTGGGTGAGTGTGTGGGTGAGTGTGTGGGTGAGTGTGTGGGTGAGTGTGTGGGTGAGTGTGTGGGTGAGTGAGTGTGTGGGTGAGCGTGTGGGTGAGTGTGGATGAGTGTGTGGGTGAGTGTGTGGGTGAGCGAGTGTGGGGGTGAGTGTGTGGGTGAGTGTGTGGGTGAGTGTGGGTGAGTGAGTGTGGGTGAGCGTGTGGGTGAGCGTGTGGGTGAGCGTGTGGGTGAGTGTGGGTGAGTGTGTGGGTGAGCGTGTGGGTGAGCGTGTGGGTGAGCGTGTGGGTGAGTGTGTGGGTGAGCGTGTGGGTGAGCGTGTGGGTGAGTGTGGGTGAGTGTGTGGGTGAGCGTGTGGGTGAGCGTGTGGGTGAGCATGTGGGTGAGCGTGTGAGTGAGCGTGTGGGTGAGTGTGAGTGAGTGTGTGGGTGAGTGTGTGGGTGAGTGTGTGGGTGAGTGTGGGTGAGTGAGTGTGTGGGTGAGCGTGTGGGTGAGTGTGGGTGAGTGTATGGGTGAGTGTGTGGGTGAGCGAGTGTGGGGGTGAGTGTGTGGGTGAGTGTGTGGGTGAGTGTGGGTGAGTGAGTGTGGGTGAGCATGTGGGTGAGTGTGTGGGTGAGTGTGTGTGTGAGTGAGTGTGTGTGAGTGTGTGGGTGAGTGTGTGGGTGAGTGTGTGGGTGAGCGTGCGGGTGAGCGTGGTACCAGGATGGTGAGGCTGCCCTGTGTGGAGTTGAAGCTCACTGATTGAGCACCGACAGCCTTCAGGAAGTCCCTGTGCAGCTCCTCGCTCTCACAGCTTGGACACGCGGGGGGACACGGGGACAGGTGGGGACACGTGAGGGGACGTGGGGGGAGACGTGGGGGACACGTGGGGGGACACGTGGGGGACACGTGGGGGGACACGTGGGGGACACGTGGGGGGACACGTGGGGGGACACGTGGGGGACACGTGGGGGACACGTGGGGGGACACGTGGGGGACACGTGAGAACACGCAGGGACACGTGGGGGGACACGTGGGGGGACAGGTGGGGACACGTGGGGGACACGTGGGGGGACACGTGGGGGACACGTGAGAACATGCAGGGACACGTGGGGGGACACGTGAGAACACGCAGGGACACGTGGGGGGACACGGAGACACGCGGGGGGACACGTGGGGGGACACGTGGGGGGACACGTGGGGGGACACGTGGGGGGACACGTGGGGGACACGTGGGGGGACAAGGGTAAACATAAGTGGGTGAGTGTGTGAGAGTGAGTGTGCAAGTAAGTGTGAGTGTGCTAGTGAGTATCCTAGTGAGTGTGCTAGTGAGTGAGTGTGCTAGTGAGTAAGTGTGCTAGTGAGTGTGCTAGTAAGTGAGTGTGCTAGTGAGTGAGTGTACTAGTGAGTATTCTAGTGAGTGTGCTAGTGAGTGTGTGTTAGTGAGTGTGTAGTGAGTGTGCTAGTGAGTGTGTAGTGACTGTGCTCGAGAGTGTGTGTGCTAGTGAGTGTGCTAGTGAGTGTGTAGTGACTGTGCTCGTGAGTACGCGTGGCGGATGTCCTCTGGCACGCTGATCTCCACGCGGGTGAAGGTGGAGGCGGTGAGCGGCTGGCTGGGGTTGAGGTGCCGCAGCCGCTCCAGCGTCACGATCTCGCTGAATGCCGCTTCGCACACCGCGTACTCGATCACGAAGAACTGCACCACACACACACACCACACACATCACGCACACACACCACACACACACACACCACACACACACACCAGGCACACAAACCACGCACACACACGCACACACCACGCACACAGACCACGCACGCACACCACGCACGCAGACCACGCACGCACACCACACGCACACACACACACCACGCACACACACCACGCACACAAACCACGCACACACACCACGCACACACACCACGCACACACACCACGCAGACACACCACGCACACACACCACGGACACCACGCACACACACCACGCACACACACACCACGCACACACCACGCACACACCACGCACACACACCACGCACACACACACGCACACCACACACACACCACGCACACACACACCACGCACACACACCACGCACACACGCCACGCACACACACACCACGCACGCACACCACACGCACACACACCCACACACACACCCCACGCACACACACCACGCACACACACCACGCGCACACACACACCACGCACGCACACCACGCACGCACACCACACGCACACACACCACGCACACACACACACCACGCACACACACCACGCACACACGCACACACACCACGCACACACACCACACGCAACACAAACACCGCATACGGAGAACTGGTTGGCTACGCACGGTGCGAAAGGAGTTCAACGTACATACGTGCACATGCACCACACACGCACACCGCACACGAAGGTCTCCCGTGTCGCCTTAACAGACTGTTAAGACGTGTGTGCGTGTGTGTGCGTGTGTATGCGTGTGTGCGCGTGTGTGCGCGTGTGTGTGCGTGCGTCACTCACGTCACCCTTGATCATGCGAACCCGCGCCAGCCACCACCCACACGGCTCCTGTTCGTTCGCGCGCGAGAAAACCTGTGACACACGCGCACACACACGTTAACACACACACACACACACGTTAACACACACACGTTAACACACACACACGTTAACAAGCACACACGTTAACACACACACACGTTAACACACACGTTAACACACACACGTTAACACACACACACGTTAACACACACGCAAGTTAACACACACACACGTTAACACACACACACGTTAACAACAACAACCGCCATTCGCCACTAAGTGGCGGTGACGTCACCACGACGCTTGTGCCAGGACATGTGCACCTTGATACCACGTGGAGTTTCGAACGCCCGCTGGCAGGAGGTCACGGGGCAGACCCAGGTGCCACGGGTCGACTGACTGAGATGACTGGCTGATGCACCACCTGTGCCCCCTACTGTGCCAACCTGCTGTGCTTTAGCCACCCGGCGCTCCGCTCATTGTTGTGAGCGTCGCTCCTCCGCCTTCCGTTGTTGTTGGAGGGCGACTACCTCCAACTTCCTAGTAGCGTCCTTCACGAGCCTCCTCCACAGAGGCCGATCTTGACACCGCTGGTACCAGTTATCGGCAAGTCCACTCAACTCCACGTCCTCCTGTTCCACATAACTCCATCTCTTCTCTAGCCCGTGCCGCGCCCGTTTAGCCCCCTCGATCCGGCCGAACAAAAACTGTTTCGGCATGCGGTGGCTGGGCATGCGGGCTACATGACCCAGCCATCGCAGCCTTGCCCGCCGGAGGAGCTCACCGATGGGACCTTGCCCAGATCTTTCAAGGATTTGTGAGCTCCTCACACAATATAGTCTGGTTAAACCCAGGATGGATCGTAGGCAGGCCAGCCTAAATGTTTCTAACCGGCGAAGATGTTCCATTAGGGGGGTCCACGTTTCGCAAGCATAGAGAAGGGAGGGCATGACCATGGCTGAGAAGATCCGAAGCTTAGTGCGGAGCGACAGACCAGGTAGCTTCCACACAGCGTTACGCAACCAATGAAAAGATATTGCCGCTCGACTGATTCGGAGTGAGACCTCTGCTGCCAAACCGGAGCCGGTCATAAGCACACTGCCCAGGTATGAAAAACTTTCCACTCTCTCCCCAACTGCTCCATCACCAATTGGGAGTTGTGGGGGTGGAGTGTCCGATGGTACAAAATACCCAGGCAGGTGCTTCGTTTTGGTGGGGCTGATGGTAAGGCCCCACCTCTTAGTGGCACACTCCAGGTTCAGCAGCAGTACCTCCAACTCCTCCTCTGAATGAGCAACAATCACCAGATTATCAGCATATATAACATGGTTAACCAATAGGGAGCCATCCCTTGACTGCAACTGGGCATCAATCAGCCTACCACTGTATCTGTACCAGATGGAATTCTTCCAGTACAGCCACCGAAAGCTTCAATGTACATGGTCGAAAAAGATGTAAAGTAATGTGGGAGCCAGAGGACATCCCTGTCGCACCTCAAGGTGAACAGGGAATGGCTCCGACTCCCAGCCACGTAGTTTTACCTGGGCCCGCTCACCATCATGAAGGTCCTTAATGATTGTGAGCAGAGTCAGGGACTCCAAAAAAGCATGAAGAACAACCTAGACCCCAGGCCTGTTGATGGTATCATAGGCCTTGACCAGGTTAATAAAGCAGAGATGTAGGTCTTATTGGAATACCCTACATCTCTGCTGTAGCAGACGGGCAGAAAATATGGCATCGTGATTAATGCAAACTTGTGAAAGGTTTCAGTTTGGTGTTTTAACATCTTAACACCTGTTTTGTTGCCAGAAAAAAAGGGGAAAAACCTATTATCATATTATTATGTCATGTAGGGCAGTCTGCAAACTCCACCATCCCTCAGCATTTCGCTTGGGAGATCATCTCTGCCCAGCTCTTTGCCTGGTCTCAGACTCTGGATCGCCTTCAGTACTTCCTCAACAGATGGCACCTCAGCCAGCCACTCACAGGGAGTGACTTCTTCCAATATTGGCACCGCAGCCTCAGCAGGGTCATCCCCACTTTGCCCCATGATGTTTTCCAGGCTGGGGGATTTCCCCTCCCCCATGACCTCACAGAAATGCTCAGCAAATTAGCAAATCTGTTCCTGGGGGGTCAGAGATCGGATCACCGTTCTTTCCCCTAATAATGGTGATAGATGCGGCACTGCAAGTTACTTTTTGGATGAAGTTAAAGAGTGATTTGTGATCGCGGGCTGCTGAGGAAGACTCTACCTCCTCGGCAACCCACGACCACCACCCATCCTTGCAGCGCCGCACAGCTCTCCCGAATCTCTGGGCAAAGGCTGCGGTAAACCTCATTCTCCGACGTGCGATGCTGTAGACGATGAGAGTGGGCGTGTCATTTTTTCTCAGCGAGCTGGAAGACCTCTTCCATCAGCCAGGGTCTCTGGGGAGAATTAGACCGTGTACCCAAAGCAGCCATTACAGCTGCATGAGCCACATTCCTAAACCTCGTCCATTTCCCCTTGGCATCAGGAGAAGAGGGGGACGATGCCAACCTCAGCTGCAAGCGATGATGAAATTCTCGCTTGCAACTTTCATCAGCATTCTTTTGTTCAGAAGAAGAGCCACTCCCTGTTGTTTGGCAGTCTCCTGCCCCGAGTAGAGGACTGTCCACCTCTCATGGTGGTTGGAGCCAGAGGCAGTCCACCGGACCTCCTGAATACCGCAGAGATCCAGGCGGTACCGGTCCAGCTCCCGACGGAATAGTGGCAGCCTCTCCTCAGCAATGAGCGTTCGAACATTCCACGTGGCCACTCGCAGTGGCTTTTCGTTGTTTCTGGAGGAACCCCGGGGGTAGAGATTCAATCTCCTGGCTCCGCCAAATGGGGTTTGGCCAGGAGACGTCATAGACGCCTGTCCCCCCAGGACATCCGGCACAAGCTTGGTTTTGTGGTCAATAATTGAAGGCGGTGGGGTAACCGGCCCCTCGCTCCTGTCCAGAGCCCCCATTTGGCCGATGTGGTGGCTACAATTGCCATGAGGGGAAGAAGCGATATTGGAATTGGCCTCCCCTCCGTGGCATTGCTCACATCCACCACAGCGTTACCGTCCAGAAACCACATACACACACACACACATCACTTACACGATGCACAGAAATCCCACAAACCACTCACCCTGCTGAGCTTACAGGCCTCATCACTGGTGAGCATACATGCCTCGCTCTGGTGAGTGTACAGGACTCGCCCTGGTGAGTGTACATGCCTCGCTCTGGTGAGTGTACAGGCCTCACAATGGTGAGTGTACAGGCCTCACACTGGTGAGCGTACAGGCCTCACACTGGTGAGTGTACACCCTGGTGAGTGTACAGGCCTCACACTGGTGAGTGTACAGGCCTCGCCCTGGTGAGCGTACAGGCCTCACACTGGTGAACATACATGCCACACACTGGTGAGTGTACAGGCCTCACACTGGTGAGCATACAGACCTCACACTGGTGAGCGTACATGCCACACACTGGTGAACATACATGCCACACACTGGTGAGTGTACAGGCCTCACACTGGTGAGCATACAGACCTCACACTGGTGAGCGTACATGCCACACACTGGTGAACATACATGCCACACACTGGTGAGTGTACAGGCCTCACACTGGTGAGTGTACAGGCCTCACACTGGTGAGTGTACAGGCCTCACCCTGGTGAGTGTACAGGCCTCACCCTGGTAAGTGTACAGGCCTCACCCTGGTGAGTGTACACGCCTCACCCTGGTTAGCATACAGGCCTCACACTGGTGAGTGTACAGGCCTCACACTGGTGAACATACATGCCACACACTGGTGAGTGTACAGGCCTCACACTGGTGAGCGTACAGGCCTCACCCTGAGTGTACAGGCCTCGCCCTGGTGAGCATACAGGCCTCATCACTGGTGAGCGTACAGGCCTCACCCTGGTGAGTGTACAGGACTCACACTGGTGAGCGTACAGGCCTCACAATGGTGAGTGTACAGGCCTCGCCCTGGTGAGTGTACAGGCCTCACCCTGGTGAGTGTATAGGCCTCGCTCTGGTAAGTGTACAGGCCTCACACTGGTGAGTGTACAGGCCTCACACTGGTGAGTGTACAGGCCTCACACTGGTGAGCGTACAGGCCTCACACTAATGAGTGTACAGGCCTCACACTGGTGAGCGTTCATGCCACACACTAATGAGTGTACAGGGCTCACACTGGTGAGCGTTCATGCCTCACCTCCACGTCGCTGTTCTCCGTGATCTCCCTCCCATCGTCGCCGGCCGGGGGAGGGAGACGCGCATCCTGGAAGGCGACCTGACGCTCCGGCTGCCAGCTGACACACACACACAGACAGACACATTACACAGACAGACACCCAGACACACACAAATGCGTGCACACACGTACACAAGTACACACACATCACACACACATCACACACACACACATGCAGATGTCACAATGATTGGTTGAGATTGCATTGGACTTCAGAGGTTATCAAGGGTTCGATTCCATCTCCCGGTTATAACGGTGAAGATGTCATTCACGACGTTGGTGATGTTGACGATGGTGATGATAGTGATGTTGATGGTGATTTTGCTGCTGATGGGGATGTTAGTCATGTTGATGATGTTGGTGTTGATGTTGGTGATGGCAATGTTGTAGGTGATGGTGGTGAGTTAGGTGATGCTAGCGGTGTTGATGTTGGTGATGTTGTTGTTGATGATGTTGGTGATGTTGTTGTTGATAATGTTGGTGATGGTGATGTTGTTGTTTATAATGTTGGTGATGGTGATGTTGTTGTTGATAATGTTGGTGATGGTGATGTTGGTGTTGGTGATGTTGGTGTTGATGATGTTGATGGTGAAGTTGGTGTTGATGTTGGTGATGGTGATGTTGGTGTTGATGATGTATCGAGTGGTCACGTTACTTGTTTTCGAACGCCACTGTGAGCTTCTCTTCCTGAACATCCTTGACAAAAGCCTGCAGGGGTGGTGGGACCATAGATTAGTACAGCTCAACTCATTCACACACACACAACAAAGACCCCCATCTAGCTTTAACAGACTGTTGGGGCAAGTTCTGTCAGCGACTAGTAGCAGCAGCAGCACCTATGAAGGCCGGCACTGTGACACACAAGAGGGGGATGGTTGCCAGCACCACCGCCCGACCGCCTTTGTCTCTCCCAATGGTGCAATGTTTACTACACACACACCGCACCAGATACTCATTTGAGACTGAGCCCAATCAGTACACAGCAATCGTGTACACAAAGTAACCTGTATACGGCACAAGTACAGGCGTGTACAGTTCACAATAGTATTCAATGTTGTACACTCATGTGTGCAGTAGATTACTGTATACAGTACAGTACACCGTAAAAATAGCATACGACTCTATACAGTACACTGTAGTACTGTACATTGTACACTCATGTTCTCAGTACACTCATGCATGGTATACTTCTGTATAAAGTAGAGTTCACAGTAGTACTGTATGTTGTAGGCTAGTGTACAGTGTGTTGCTGTGTAGAGTGCACGGTAGTACTGTATGTTGTAGGCTAATGTACAGTGTTTGTGTACAGTAGAGTGCACAGTAATACTGTACGTTGTAGGCTAGTGTACAGTGTTTCTGTGTACAGTCGAGTGTACAGTGATACTGTGCTGTTGTATGCTAATGTACAGTGTGTTTATGTGTACAGTAGAGTGTGCCGTGGTACTGTATGTTGCACACTCGAGCAGAGTAGACTGTGTACAGTTCGAGTCCCAATCACGGTCACCAACATCGGTGATGATTATCTGAACCGGTCCTGGGCCTTCTCCCCTAGGTCTACTCAGCCTCAAACGAGCACCTCGTGCACGTGGTGTGGAGTAAAACACCGTGTGGTCATTGCAAACATGATGCCTTGAATAAAGGTGTCAGTTTTTGTGCCAGTTAAAAGGGTAAAACCTATTCCTATATCTTGTTACTGGCAAAGGAGGTCTCAAAATGTAAATGCTCACCCCGAGCCCTCAATACTCTGATAGTGCGCTGTTTTTGAGTTGTACGCCTTTTGGCGTCTTCTGGTCCAACACCGGTGGAGACTAAGGGCTCTAAGAAAAGCTATCTCGGGTGTGGACCAATCAAATTCAAGGACAGTGCATATTATTATCAGAGTTGTCTTTTTTGTTTGCATTTTGACTGCTTGTGTTGTGGTCATTGCAAACATGATGCCTTGAATAAAGGTGTCAGTTTTTGTGCCAGTTAAAAGGGTAAAACCTATTCCTATATCTTGTTTCTGGCAAAGGAGGTCTCATAATGTTACTGTCGGATAATCATCACCCATCCGACCGTACTTCACGTGTACGTTGGCGTGAGAACATAGAAGTACGTGACAACAACAAAGTTGAAACCATGTGGGGACCTAGGAGAACGAATCGAGTCGGCGCCCGTATCGGGACTCACAACCTAGGCCTTGTTGTGGACAGCAGCACGAGTGGGGGGGAGCGGGAAACCTCAATCCAGCGACGATGTTGATGATGAGGAGGATGATGAGGATGATGTTGATGATGATGAGGATGATGATGATGAGGTGGTTGTTCACCTTGTAGAAGGCGCCCGTATCGGGACTCACAACCTAGGCCCTGTAACTTTAACATAGCCATTTCTGTGACCAGTCACAAGCTAATCACTCAGCTATTTCAATGCTAAATTCTATGCTAATTCCTTTGTCAAGGCGCTTTGTTTCTTCTCACACAGCTTAAAGGTCGTGATCTGAGCGTGGCTTTGTTCGCTCCAGCGCTGTCCTACCAGACAGTCTCGTCCCTTCACCTGATGAAGGCCGCTTGTGTTGTGGCCGAAACTTCGTGATTTTTTTTATTTGATTTTCACCTACGTGACTTTACCCAATAGAACCAAAGAGTATGGATCCTTGCAGTAACGAAAGCTTCAAATCTAGAGATGATGTGGTTGTTCACCTTGTAGAAGGCGCCCGTATCGGGACTCACAACCTAGGCCCTGTTGTGGACAGCAGCACGAGTGGGGGGGGGGGGAGCGGGAAACCTCAACCCGGCGACGATGTTGATGAGGAGAATGATGAGGATGATGTTGATGATGAGGAGAATGATGATGATGAGGTGGTTGTTCACCTTGTAGAAGGCGCCCGTATCGGGACTCACAACCTAGGCCCGGTTGTGGACAGCAGCACGAGTGGGGGGGGGGGGGAGCGGGAAACCTCAACCCGGCGACGATGTTGATGAGGATGATGATGAGGAGGAGAATGATGACGAGGTGATTGTTGTTGTTGATGATGTTGTTGTTGTTCACCTTTTAGGAGGATGATGATGCTGATGATGATGTTGTTGTTTACCTTGTAGAAGGATGATGATGAGGATGTTGATGATGTTGATAACAATGAGGTGGATGTTGTTGTTGATGGCGTTGTTGATGATGTTGTTGATGATGTTGATGATGATGTTGATGATGATGTTGTTGTTATTTACCTTGTAGAAGGCGCCGTTCGATCCCCGCACTTCAACCGCCAGCTCCTCCATGGCGCGCGCGCGGCCAGCCCCGCCCCCAGCCCCCGCGTGGTACTGTACCTCGTACAGTACTACGGTACTGTACCCCGTACAGTACTGTGGCACTGTACCCCGTACAGTACTGCGGTACTGTACCTCCTACAGTACTATAGTTCCTCCTACACCACTATATACTGTACCTCCTACAGTACTATAGACTGTAGCCCCTACAGTCCCTACAGTACTATAGACTGTACCTCCTACAGTACTATAGACTGTAGCCCTACAGTCCCTACAGTACTATAGACTGTAGCCCTACAGCACTATATACTGTACCTCCTACAGTACTATAGACTGTAGCCCTACAGTCCCTACAGTACTATATACTGTAGCTCCTTCAGTACTATAGACTGTACCTCCTACAGTACTACAGACTGTACCTCCTACAGTACTATATACTGTAGCTCCTACAGTACTATATACTGTACCTCCTACAGTACTATAGACTGTACCTCCTACAGTACTATAGTACTGTAGCCCCTACAGTACTATAAATTTTAAAATTGTTCAAGCTTTTAATTTTGAAATGTTTTACAATGTTATTGAACGAACAACAAAAAAATCCACCATACATGAAAAATGTTGCGAGAATCTCTTACACATTAGTCGTGGGTGAAATGAATGTGCGAGAATAGGTTTTCCACTTTTTTTTCCTGTCAAAACTGCTGCGTTAAGATGTTTAAACACCAAACTGGAACCTTTAACAAGGAATCATGTTATGGCATTAAGCCACAATACTTGTGGTCAGAATGAATATTTGCATTGCCGTTGAAACTGATTGGACCACACCAAAACAGCTGCGTTAACACCAAATTGGAACCTTTAACAAGGAATCATGTTATGGCATTAGCCCACAATACTTGTGGTCAGAATGTATAATATTTGCATTGCCTTTGAAACTGATTGGTCCACACCAGAGACAGCTGCGTTAACACCAAACTGGAACCTTTAACAAGGAATCATGTTATGGCATTAGCCCACAATACTTGTGGTCAGAATTAATCATATTTGCATTGCCTTTGAAACTGATTGGTCCACACCAAAACAGCTGCGTTAACACCAAACTGGAACCTTTAACAAGGAATCATGTTATGGCATTAGCCCATAATACTTGTGGTCAGAATGAATATTTGCATTGCCATTGAAACTGATTGGTCCACACCAGAGACAGCTGCGTTAACACCAAACTGGAACCTTTAACAAGGAATCATATTATGGCATTAGCCCACAATACTTGTGGTCAGAATTAATCATATTTGCATTGCCTTTGAAACTGATTGGTCCACACCAGAGACGGCTTTTAGTCTCATAGGTGTTAGACCAGATGACGCCACAAGGCGCCTTTTGGCGTCCTCTGGGGTCGAACACCGTTTTGAACGCCACTACCAAGGACAATATAACGAAGCAATGATGGGATACTCAATATTTAGGGGCGGATTACTGCAAGTGATTTAGAGCATAATCGTAAATCTCGCAAGACTACTCGCTTATAAATCTTTTGTCGTCATTTTTGTGTTTCTTTTGTTCTAAATGCATGCCGTTAATTGTTGACTGTTGTATGTTGTTTGTTTCTGGCTTTACGCGAACGAAAGAGACGCACATTCGCCCGTTTTCTCAGTGAAAATAGGTGAATATCGAAATATCACTGTCCTGGTCACAAAAGCAAAGTTTCGTGGGGACTAATAGCCATTTTCTATACTTTTTAGGCATAAGCGATTACGAAATAACACTTACTACCCAGGAACACAAAAAATTGTACTAATAGTGTAGTCAGCCACGTGGTTAGAGCTGTCACTTGTGGCGGCCAGGTCGCTTCTGTTTATAAAGAGCTACGTGATAGCTCAGTGGGTCAAATAAAGCACAAAAACGCGTTGGATTTTGCGACCAATATCATCTATAACAGTTTTTTTGTTACATCGCGTAAACATATACATGTGTCGTTAAGCCCGCCGCCACCTGTACTTAAGACTGTAAATGTTGTGGATTTGCTCTCTAAAACACAACCGGTGTGTGCTGTAATTGGTGTAACGACGATTTGACACGCTTCTCTTGAGATGGCACTTCATTGAAGACACGTTGGCACTTGACATCAGGCGGAGACCCCCACTGCAACAGCCCCGAGTCTCCCGCGCATCTCCCTTATGTTCCGACCGAGGCCACGCCCCCCTTCTCGATCATTCTCGCTGACTCTGTGATGCTCGCTCCACCGGCAGACCCCACCGTCCTCTTCCGTCACCTGACCGCGCTCCCTTCTCGAACATTCCCGTGGCCACCAGTCCCTTCGCACTCACAACTGACTCCCCTGTCATCACCTCCCGTGGCCACTAGTGCATTCGTACTCACAAATGACACCCCGATCATTACCTCCCATGGCCACTAGTGCATTCGTACTGTAGGCTGACTCCCCTATCATTACCTCCCATAGCCACCAGTCCCTTCGCACTCACAACTGACTCCCCTGTCATCACCTCCCGCGGCCACTAGTGCATTCGTACTCACAAATGACACCCCGATCAATACCTCCCATGGCCACTAGTGCATTCGTACTGTAGGCTGACTCCCCTATCATTACCTCCCATAGCCACCAGTCCCTTCGCACTCACAACTGACTCCCCTGTCATCACCTCCCGTGGCCACTAGTGCATTCGTACTCACAAATGATACCCCGCTCATTACCTCCCGTCGCCACTAGTGCATTCGTACTGTAGGCTGACTCCCCTATCATTACCTCCCATAGCCACCAGTCCCTTCGCACTCACAACTGACTCCCCTGTCATTACCTCCCGTGGCCACTAGTGCATCCGTACTGTAGGCTGACTCCCCTATCATTACCTCCCGTGGCCACTAGTGCATTCGTACTGTAGGCTGACTCCCCTATCATTACCTCCCTGTGGCCACTAGTGCATTCGTACTGTAGGTTGACTCCCCTATCATCACCTCCCGTGGCCACTAGTGCATTCGTACTATAGGCTGACTCCCCTATCATCACCTCCCATGGCCACTAGTGCATCCGTACTCTAGTCTGACCTCCCTGTCATTACCTCCCGTGGCCACTAGTTCCCTCACACCGCATGCAGGCTCCATTGTCATTACACTAGTAACAAATTGGCATAACCTGTTTAGGTGACAAACCTTACTAATTGGTGGTGTCGGGTGGTGGTAGGTTTAATGGCACAACTTTTATATCCACGCGATCTAACCCGAAACATATCCATACCCATATCCATATCATGGAAGAAAAAAATAGTTTCCAGCACTTTTGTTCCGTCGCACGCAAAACTTTATTTACGGGCCGTGTCGGGCGGTGGAGGGGTCCACGGCACAAACATCGTACTTGCGTGGCGGTGATCCACCACAAAAAGGGAGGAAATTCCAATTAGGGAAAACGCCAGATGGGTCGCGAAAGCCCCACGCCGTGTCCGACAATTAGCGCCCGCACGGTAAGAAACATCCACAGCGATGGTGGTGGTGGTGGCAGTGGTGGTGGTAGTAGTGGTGGCGGTGGTGGTAGTAGTGGTTGTGGTGGCAATGATGGTGACGGTGGTGACGGTGGTGGTAGTGGTGGCAGTGGTGGTGGTAGTAGTGGTGGCGGTGGTGGTGGTAGTAGTGGTGGCGATGGCAATGATAGTGGCGGTGGTGACGGTGGTGGTAGTGTTGGCTGTGGCAGTGTTGGCGATGTTGTTGGTGGTGGCAGTGGTGTTGAAGGCAGTGTTGGCAGTGGTGGTGGTAGTAGTGGTGGCGGTGGCAATGATGGTGGCGGTGGTGGTAGTGTTGGCTGTGGCAGTGTTGGCGATGTTGGTGGTGGTGGTGGCGGTGGTGATGGTAGTAGTGGTAGCGGTGGTGTTGGTAGTAGTGGTGGCGGTGGCAATGATAGTGGCGGTGGTGACGGTGGTGGCAGTGTGGGCTGTGGCAGTGTTGGCGATGTTGTTGGTGGTGGTGGTGGCGGCAGTGATATTGGTGGTGGCAGTGGCGGCGGTGGTAGTGTTGGTGGTGGTGATGTGGTGGTGGTGACTGGGGAGACAAAGGCGGCCGGGTGTCTCTGTTGACTACCCACCCCCTCGTGTGCCAAAGTGCCGGCCTTCATAGGCACTGTTGCTACTCACGAGCAGCGCTTGCCCCAACAGTCTGTTGAGGGCACACGGGGGGGGAGGGGATCTTCGTCTTTGGTGGCAGCGGTGGTGGTGGCTCCGTGAAATCTCCGGCAGAGGTGTTGAAGGGGGGTGGTCGGGAGGGTGGGGATCAGGGGGTCGGGGTAAGTGTCCGTGTCTCCATGTCCACGTCTCCGTGTCGGCGTGTCCGTGTCTCCGCGTGTCCGTGTCTCCGCGTGTCCGTGTCTCCGCGTGTCCGTGTCTCCGTGTCCACGTCTCCGTGTCCGCGTGTCCACGTGTGATCACCCGCGCACCACGTACGCGGTGATCTCCTCCCCGCAGTCCGTCACCAGCACGGTGAGGCCCGAGGGGCCCCGGTGTGGGCCCCGCGGCAGCGTGGCCAGGCCGTTCACCTTGCCCCCGTGCGCCAGCGTCAGCAAGGGCCCGCGGCTCTCCACGGCCGCCGCGGGGACGCCAGCGGCCGCAGCCCCTGGTGGCGAGATGTTGACTACCTCACCCGGTGTGCAGGAGGTCGTGGGTTCGATCCCAGACCCTGATGATGCCTGCTGCTGCTGTTGTATTATTTGGAGTCTGCGTCTCTCTCTATCATCATCATCACCACGGTGGCTAGGAAATGTTAACTACCTCACCCGGTGTGCAGGAGGTCGTGGGTTCGATCCCAGACCCTGGCGATGCCTGCTGATGTATATTTGGAGTCTGCGTAACTCTCTCATCATCATCACGGTGGTGACGAGATGTTGACTACCTCACCCGGTGTGCAGGAGGTCGTGTGTTCGATCCCGAACCCTGATGATGCCTCTGCTGCTGCTGTTGTATTATTTGGAGTCTGCGTCTCTATCATCATCATCACCACGGTGGATAGGAGATGTTAACTACCTCGCCTGGTCTACAGGAGGTCGTGTGTTCGATCCCAGACCCTGGCGATGCCTGCTGCTGCTGCTGTATATTTGGAATCTGCGTCTCTCTCATCATCATCACCATCACGGTGGCGACGAGATGTTGACTACCTCGCCTGGTGTGCAGGGGGTCGTGGGTTCGTTTTCCGACCCGGACGCCTTTTGTATATTTGGAGTCTGCGTGTCTCCATCGCTCTCTCATTGAGCTATCATTTCCGATAGCCAAGTCTACACAGCTAAGTGGGGCTTGCCTGGTAAAATAAAAAAATGAATATTTTATAGCATAAACGCCCGGCCTGGTGAGGGAAGGTGGTACAGCAGGGTGTGTGGACTCATCTCTCTCTACTCTTTGGTTTGTTGTGGTTGCACCCGAATCAAGAGCCGCATGGCTCACAGGGCTATCTCCATATATATAAAAGGCAAAGTTGTGATTGTGTGTGTCTGTTCAAAATGTTTAGCGTACTTCCCGACATGCAACAAACTTGAAATTTGCCATGTGGGTACTTTCCAGACTGTACACTGGGGGGGGAGCTCAATAATGCATATTTGTTTTGCACGGCAAGTGAGCTGTGACGTCGAATCTGTCATGTGACCCGCGCACGTGGAAGCGTAACGCATTGTAGTGTAGTGGTTAGCGTGCTGTCTGTGTGTATCTGTGTGTGTGTCTGTGTGTGTCTGTGTGTGTGTATCTGTGTGTGTATCTGTGTGTGTATCTGTGTGTGTGTCTGTGTGTGTGTATCTGTGTGTGTATCTGTGTGTGTGTCTGTGTGTGTGTCTGTGTGTGTCTGTGTGTGTGTGTATCTGTATCTGTGTGTGTGTATCTGTGTCTGTGTGTGTATCTGTGTCTGTATCTGTGTGTGTGTCTGTGTGTGTCTGTGTGTGTATCTGTGTCTGTGTGTGTGTCTGTGTGTGTGTATCTGTGTGTGTGTCTGTGTGTGTGTATCTGTGTGTGGGTATCTGTGTGTGTGTGTATCTGTGTGTGTATGTGTGTATCTGTGTGTATGTATCTGTGTGTGTGTGCGTATGTGTGTGTGTGCGTATGTGTGTGTGTGCGTATGTGTGTGTGTATCTGTGTGTGTGTGTATCTGTGTGTGTGTATCTGTGTGTGTGTATCTGTGTGTGTGTATCTGTGTGTGTGTGTGGGGAGCGGTAGTGTAGTGGTTAGCGCACTGCGCTACGAACCCGGCGACCCGAGTTCGATTCCCGCTCACGGCCACCACCGGTGACGATTATTTGAACCGATCCTGGGCCCTCCCCTAGGTCGACTCAGCCTCAAACGAGTAACTGGTGCGGTGTGTGAACATCGCCACTGGGGAGACAAAGGCGGCCGGGCGTGGTGAATCCAAGTCCCGGGCGAAGCCGGATAGTCAAGCTAGTACCTAATAAACTTGAAACTTGAACTTGATCTCCATCTGTTCCGTCTGTACGGGGATAGAGCCTTGCCCCCTAGCAATGCTCCCCACCCTCCCCCCATCCTGTACCCCCACCCTCCACCCCCACCACCCAACCTCCCCCCCACCACCCACCCTCCCCCCACCCTGTACCCCCACCACCCAACCTCCCCCCCCACCCTACCCCACCCCCTCACCTCTCTTGGTGCGCCGCCTCCCCTTGACCCTGCTCCCACAATGCCCCTGCGGGAGGTCGCCGCCAACGCCGTCGCCCGCACCACCACCAGCACCACCACCAGCACCAGCACCACCACCAGCACCACCACCACCAGCACCACCACCACCAGCACCACCACCAGCACCACCACCAGCACCACCACCACCACCAGCACCACCACCACCACCAGCACCACCACCACCAGGACCCTCCCCCAGGTCCCAGAGGCAGACACGGCCGTCGTTTGCGCCCGACAGGAGACGCAGCGAGAGCCCAGCTGCAGAGACGTCGCTCACCAGGCACACCTGGGGGGGGGTACACATGGGTGAGTGGTGGTGAGTGGTGGTGAGTGGTGGTGAGGTGTGGTGAGTGGTGGTGAAACACCTGGGGGGGGGTACACATCGATGAGTGGTGGTGAGTGGTGGTGAGTGGTGGTGAGGTGGGGGGGGGGGGGTGTTGGTCAGCGATGGTGATTGACAGTGAGCGGCGGAGGGAAGTCCGAGTCGGCTGGTGGATGAGGATCGGTGAGCAGTGGCGAGCCCCAGCATCGGTGAGTGTCGGCATCGGTGAGCGTCGGCATCGGTGAGTGTCGGCATCGGTGAGTGTCGGTATCGGTGAGCGTCGGCATCGGTGAGTATCGGCATCGGTGAGTGTCGGTATCGGTGAGTGTCGGCATCAGTTCGCGTCGGCTGGTGCCAGTGTTACCGGTGAGCACGTGCCTGCCCTACGGCGGAGGCGTGCGCCCCGGCGATCCTGGTGGTGGTCCACGCCCCCCCCCATCCCCTCCTCCCCCTCCTCCTCCTCCTCCGGCCGTCACCGCCACCGTCACCGGCACGGCCACCGGGAGGAGGGCGGAGAAGGTAGATGGAGCCGTCTCCGGCCCCACAGGCGCACAGGGGCCCGGCGCCGCCGCCGCCGTCGGCCGTCACGGCCACGCAGTGCGCCAGCGGGGGGTTGACCAGCTGGCCGAGGGGACCGGTGGAAGAGGAGGCGGAGGAGGAGGAGGTGGAGGAGGCGGAGGAGGTGCAGCGTCCCAGGTCGACGCGCCAGCGCTCACGCAGGGAGCCCGCGTCCCAACAGGCCACCTGAGGGGCCACCGGTCGCACGTCAACGTCGTCATCGTCGTCATCGTCGTCATCGTCATCATCGTCAACGTCATCATCGTCGTCGTCATCATCAACGTCATCATTGTCAACGTAATCATCGTCGTCAACGTAATCATCGTCATTGTTATCGTTGTCATCATCGTCATCGTTGTCATCATCATCGTCATCATCGTCGTCATCGTCATCATCGTCGCCCTCACGTCACCCATTAGGGTGACTCTAACCCGAGATGCCGCTTGAGTACAAAGTCAAAGGTACCTCCTTGTAGGCTGTAACAGGCTGTAGGGGCAAGTGCTGCTGGCAACCAGCAGCGCCCATGAAGGCTAACGGAGGGGGTGGGTGTCCAGCACCACGCCCGGCCGTCTTTGTCTCCCCAGTGGTGATGTTTACACACCACACCAGGTACTCATTTTAGGTTAAGTCGACCTAAGGAAGGCACAAAACCGGTTCAAATAATCGTCACTGGTGTTGTCCCTGAGCGGAAATCGAACTCGCGTCACTGTGTTTTAGCCACCCGGAAGTCCGCTCGTTGTTGTGAGCATTGCTCCTCTGCCCTCCGTTATTGCTGGTGGCCGACTCCCTCCAACTACCCAGTAGCAGCATCCTTCAAGAGCCTCCTCCACAGAGGCCGATCTTGACACCGCTGGTACCAGTCATCGGCAAGTCCACTCAGCTCCACGTCCTCCTGTACCACATCACTCCATCTCTTCTCTAGCCCGTGCCGTGCCCGTTTAGCCCCCTCGAACCGGCCGAACAAAAGCTGTATAGGCATGCGGTGGCTGGGCATGCGGGCTACATGACCCAGCCAACGCAGCCTTGCCTGCCGGAGGAGCTCACCGATGGGAGCTTCTCACACAATCTAGGCAGGTTAAACCCAGGATGGATCGTAGACAGGCCAGCCTAAATGTTCCATTAGGGGGGTCCACGTTTCACAGGCATTAAAGAAGGGAGGGCATGACCGTAGCCGAGAAGACCCGAAGCTTCGTATGGAGCGACAGACCAGGAAGCTTCCACACAGCAGTGTTATGCAGCCCATGAAAAGCTAATGCCGCTCGACTTATTCGGAGTGAGCCCTTTGTTGTTAAACCGGAGCCGGTCATAAGCACACTGCCCAGATATAAAAAAAAAACTCTCCACTCTCTACACAACTGCCCCAACACCAATTGGGAATTGCGGGGTGGAGTATCCGATGGCACAAAATACCCAGGCAGGTGCTTAGTTTTCGAGCAGCTGATGGTAAGGCCCCATCTTTAAGTAGCACACTCCAGATTCAGCAGCAGTCTCCAATTCCTCCTCTGAGCAAAAATCACCAGATCTTTAGCAAACGTAACATAGTTGACCAATAGGGAGCCATCCCTTGACCGCAACCGGGCATCGATCAGCCTCCTATTGTATCTGTACCAAATGGAGATGCCTCCGGTACAGTCATAGAAGGCTTCACAAAATATGTGGTGAAAAAAGAAAATAATGTGGGAGCCAGAGGACATCCCTGCCGCACCCAAAGGTGTACAGGGAATGGCTCTGACTCCCGGCCACGTAGTTTTTACCCGGGCCCGCTCACCATCATGAAGGTCCTTAATGATCGTGAGCAGAGGGTCAGGTACTCCGAAAGCACGAAGAACAACCCAGAGCCCAAGCCTACTGATGGTATCATAGGCCTTGACCAGGTCAAGAAAGCAGAGATGTAGGCCTTTTTGGAATTCCCTAAACCTCTGCTGTAACAGATGGACAGAAAATGTGGCATCTGTACAGGACCGCCCTTTCCTGAAACCGCATTGGGATTCTGCAATCCTCTCCTCAGCGTGCCTAGCAAGGCGATGTTGAATAATCCTTGCCAGGACTTTTCCTGGCACACTGAGGAGTGAGATGCCCCTGTAGTTGTTACAGTCTGTGCGGTCCCCGTTCTTAAAGAGGGGGACCACCAGGGCATCCTTCCAATCCTGCGGAACCCGTCCAGTGGTCCAGACTGTTGTTATGATGTCATGTAGGTCAGTCTGTGCACAAACGCCACCCTCCCTCAGCATTTCGCTTGGGAGATTATCTCTGCCCGGTGCCTTTCCTGGTCTCAGACTCTGGATCACCTTCAGTACTTCCTCAACAGATGGCACCTCAGCCAGCCACTCACAGGCAGTGACTACTTCTTCCAATATTTGATGCACTACAGCCTCAGCAGGGTCATCCCTACTTTGCCCCATTATGTTTTCCAGGCTGAGGGATTTCCCCTCCCCCAAGAGCTCACAGAAATGCTCAGCAAATCTGCAAAACCTGTTCCTGGGGGTTGGAGATCGGATCACCGTTCTTTCCCCTAATGATGGTGATAGGTGTGGTGCTCAAGCTTATTTTTTGATGGCGTTAAAAAGTGAGGCAGACTCCATCTCCTCAGCAACCCACGACCACCACCCATCTTTGCAGCGCCTCACGGCTCTCCAAGCCTCTAATCGAAGGCTGCGGTAAGACTCCTCAATCTCTGATGTGGGATGCTGTAGACAGTGGAAGTAGGTCTGTAGATTTTTGTAAGCCAGCCTGATCACCTTCTCCGTCAGCCAGGATCTCTAGGGAGGTCTGGACCGTGTGCCCAAAGCAGCCATTGCAGGTACATAATCCACATTCCTAAACCTTGGCAATTTCCCCTCGGCATCAGGAAGAGTGCGGGACGATCCCAACCCCAGCTGGAAGCGATGATGAAATTCTCGCTTGCAACTTTCATCAGCTGAGACCAGGCCACTGTGCGTTTGAATGAGGTCCTGGGTGTACACCCACCACCGGAGTGGAAGAATGGCAGGCGCATCTTACAGATGACTAGTCGATGGTCAGAGGGCAGATCAGCTCAACAGTAGGTCCTGGTGTCAAGGACATGGGTCCACATCCGCTGTTCCCTTATTACATAGTCCAGCAGATGTTCTTGCTTGGACCCGGCGTGCATCCATGATGTTGTGTGGATGTGCCAATGCTTGAACAGCGTGTTGGTAATTACGAGCCCAGGGGCTGCACATAAGTCGAGCAGCCTCCTTTCGTTATAGAGCTGATCAGGCGCATGTTTTTCCAATCACTCCAGACCAGGTGCCAGCATCATGACCAACTCGGGCATTGAAGTCACCCAACAAACTGACTCTATCCCGAGGGGCCGCTTTAGCCAGCACCTGTGACAGGAGGTCATAGAAGGCATCTGACTCATCGGCTTTGCCTGCATCCCTCCACGGATGTTCGTCTTCGGTGGGGGCATAAGTAACCACGACCACCACTCCTCGCCTCCGGTTGATGGGAAGGCGAGCCCAAAGTAGCCTGGGGCTTACAGCTTCCCACACCTCACCGTCACGCTCCCACGCCCCCTCTTCCTTATTTTGTTCAGAAGAAGAGCCGCTCCCTGTTGTTTGCCCCGAGTATAGCACTGTCCACCACAAGCACACACACGCACACACACGCACACACACGCACACACACGTGCACACACGCGCACACACACGCTCACACACGCACGCACACGCTCGCACACACACGCACACACACGCTCACACACGCACACACACGCTCACACACGCACGCACACGCTCGCACACGCACGCACACACACGCACACACACGCACACACACACGCACGCACACGCACGCACACGCTCACACACGCTCATACACGCACGCTCACACACGCACGCACACGCACAACAACAACAACAACCGCCATTCGCCACTAAGTGGCGGTGACGTCACCACGACGCTTGTGCCAGGCTATGTGCACCCTGAGGCCACGTGAAGTATCGAACGCCCGCTGGCAGGAGGTCACGGGGCAGACCCAGGTGCCACGGGTCGACTGACTGAGATGACTGGCTGATGCACCACCTGTGCCCCCTACTGTGCCAACCTGCTGTGCTTTAGCCACCCGGCGCTCCGCTCGCTGTTGTGAGCGTCGCTCCTCCGCCCTCCGTTGTTGTTGGAGGGCGACTGCCTCCAACTGCCCAGTAGCATCCTTCACGGAGCCTCCTCCACAGAGGCCGATCTTGACACCGCTGGTACCAGTCATCGGCAAGTCCACTCAGCTCCACGTCCTCCTGTACCACATCACTCCATCTCTTCTCTAGCCCGTGCCGCGCCCGCTTAGCCCCCTCAATCCGGCCAAACAAAAGCTGTTTCGGCATGCGGTGGCTGGGCATGCGGGCTACATGACCCAGCCATCGCAGCCTTGCCTGCCGGAGGAGCTCACCGATGGGACCCTGCCCAGATCTTTCAAGGATTTGTGAGCTCCTCACACAATCCAGTCTGGTTAAACCGAGGATGGATCGGAGGCAGGCCAGCCTAAATGTTTCTAACCGGCGAAGATGTTCCATTAGGGGGGTCCACGTTTCGCAAGCGTAGAGAAGGGAGGGAATGACCGTGGCCGAGAAGACCTGAAGCTTAGTGCGGAGCGACAGACCAGGTAGCTTCCACACAGCGTTACGCAACCGATGAAAAGATATTGCCGCTCGACTGATTCGGAGTGAGACCTCTGCTGTTAAACTGGAGCCAGTCATAAGCACACTGCCCAGGTATGGGAAACTCTCCACTCTCTCCACAACTGCCCCATCACCGATTGGGAGTTGTGGGGGTGGAGTGTCCGATGGTACAAAATACCCAGGCAGGTGCTTAGTTTTGGTGGGGCTGATGGTAAGGCCCCACCTCTTAGTGGCACGCTCCAGTCTCAGCAGCAGCGTCTCCAACTCCTCCTCTGACTGAGCAGCTATTACCAAGTCATCAGCATACATAACGTGGTTGAGCAATAGGGAGCCATCCCTTGACCGCACCCGGGCATCGATTAGCCTCCCATTATATCTGTACCATATGGAGATTCCCCCGGTACAGCTATTGAAGGCTTCACGAACTACGTGGTCAAAATAGATGTTAAATAATGTGGGAGCCAGAGGACATCCCTGTCGCACCCCAAGGTGTACAGGGAATGGCTCTGACTCCCGGCCACGTAGTTTTACCCGGGCCCGCTCACCATCATGAAGGTCCTTAATGATCGTGAGCAGAGGGTCAGGTACTCCAAAAGCACGAAGAACGACCCAGAGCCCAGGCATACTGATGGTATCATAGGCCTTGACCAGGTCAATAAAGCAGAGATGTAGGTCTTGTTAGAATTCCCTACACCTCTGCTATAGCAGACGGACAGAAAATCTGCCATCTGTGCAGGACGCCCTTTCCTGAAACCGCATTGGGACTCCGCAAGCCTCTCCTCAGCGTGCCTGGCAAGGCGATGCTGAATAATCCTTGCCAGGACCTTTCCCGGCACACTGAGGAGTGAGATGCCCCTGTAGTTGTTACAGTCTGTGCGGTCCCCATTCTTAAAAAGGGGGACCACCAGGGCATCCTTCCAATCCTGCGGAACCCGTCCAGTGGTCCAGACTGTTGTTATGATGTCATATAGGGCAGTCTGTGCACAAACGCCACCCTCCCTCAGCATTTCGCTTGGGAGATCATCTCTGCCCGCTGCCTTTCCTGGTCTCAGACTCCGGATCGCCTTCAATACTTCCTCAGCAGATGGCACCTCAGCCAGCCACTCACAGGGGGTGACTTCATCCAATATTTGAGGCACCGCAAGCCTCAGCAGGGTCATCCTCACTTTGTGCCACGATGTTTTCCTGGCTGAGGGATTTTCCCTCCCCCAGGATCTCACAGAAATGCTCAGCAAATCTGCGAACCTGTTCCTGGGGGTCGGAAATTGGATCACCGTTTTTTCCCCTAATGATGGTAATAGGTGTGGCGCTGCAGGTTACTTTTTTGATGGAGTTAAATAGAGATTTGTGATCACGGGCCACTGAGGCAGACTCCATCTCCTCAGCAACCCGCGACCACCACCCATCCTTGCAGCGCCTCACGGCTCTCCGAACCTCCGAGCGAAGGCTGCGGTAAGCCTCCTCATTCTCTGACGTGGGATTCTGTAGCCGATGACAGTGGGCCTGTCGCTTTTTCTCAACCATCGTGAACAACTCCTCTGTCATCCAGGGTGTCTGGGGAGGTCTGGACCGCGTACCCAAAGCAGCCATTGCAGCTGCATGAGTCACAGTCCTAAACCTCGCCCATTTACCCTCGACATCAGGAGGAGTCGGGGACGATGCCAATCCCAGCCGCAAGCGATGATGAAATTCTCGCTTGCAACTTTCATCAGATAACTGAGACCAGGCCACTTTAGGTTGGAATGGGGTCCTGGGTGTACACCCACCACCGGAGTGGAAGAATGGCAGGCGCATCTTACAGATGACTAGTCGATGGTCAGAGGGGCAGATCAGCTCCACGGTAGGTCCTGGTGTCAAGGACATGGGCTCGCATTCGCTGGTCCGTCACTATGTAATCCAGCAGATGTTCTTGCTTGGACCCGGCATGCATCCATGATGTTGTGTGGATGCGCCGATGCCGGAACAGCGTGTTGGTAATTACAAGCCCATGGGCTGCACAAAAATCTAGCAGCCTCCTACCGTTGTTATTGAGCTGATCTGGCCCATGCCCTCCAATCACTCCAGACCAGGTGCCAGTATCATGACCAACTCGGGCATTGAAGTCACCCAACATGATGACTCTATCCCGAGGGGCCACTTTAGCCAGCACCTGTGACAGGAGGTCATAGAAGGCATCTGACTCATCGGCTTTGCCTGCATCCCTCCACGGATGTTCATCTTCGGTGGGGGCATAAGTAACCACGATCCACCATTCCTCGCCTCCGGTTGATGGGAAGGCGAGCCCAAAGTAGCCTGGGGCTTACAGCTTCCCACACCTCACCGCCACGCTCCCACGCCCCCTTCATTCTTTTGTTCAAAAGAAGACCCACACCCTGTTGTTTGGCAGTCTGCTGCCCCGAGTAGAGGACCTGTCCACCCCTCATGGTGGCAGGAGCCAGAGCCGGTCCACCGGACCTCCTGAATGCCGCATAGATCCAGGCGGGTACCGGTCCAGCTCCCGACAGAGGAGTGGCAGCCTCTCCTCTGCAGTGAGCGTTCTGAACATTCCACGTGGCCAACCGTAGTGGCTTTTCGTTGTTTCTGGAGTAGCCCCGAGGGTAGGTATTCAATCTCCTGGCTCCGCCAATTGGGGTTTGGCCAGGAGACGTCATAGACGCCTGGCCCCCCGGGGCCTCCGGCACAAGCTTAGTTGTTACATATTTCAGTTGAATTCGTAGTTTCGTGGTAATTAATTGAAGGTGGAGGGGTTACCAGCCCCTCGCACGCACACGCTCACACACGCTTACACACACACACACCTGCATGTCCAGACCACAAGAGATGATGCTGTCTCTGTCGCCTCCTCTGTGACGGAGGAAACTGGCGTCCGAGCAGATGTTGCTGTGAGCCAGGACGGAGCGCTGCCACGCGTTGCCTCTCTCTACCTCCTCCTCCTCCACGTCCTCCTCCACCTCTTCGCCATTCTCTTCCTCCTCCTCCTCTTGTTGCTGCCGCCGCCACCCCCCATCTCCCCCGGGCCCCTCCCCGCTCGCCGCCCTGTCGAGGTCGACGACGCTGACCGCTCCGCGGTCGTCCCCGGCGACGAGGAGCCGCTCGTCCCAGCTCAGCGCCACCGAGTTCACCTCGTCCTCCTCGTCATCCTCATCGTCGCCCTCCCCTCCCCCTCCGAGCGGTCGTCGTCGCGGTCCGACGGCCGGGCGGCACAGCTCGTAGCGCGCCACGGGCTACGCACGGGCGGACGCGCGCCGGACATCGTCAGGACGACATCCGTAAGCGGGCCACACCCCCAGTGGCAGCTGTCCCTGTGTGCCACAAAGTAGCTCAGCAACTGTGCCTGCCAGAGGACATCAGTCTGCTGCCAGGAGGGGGTGGCGACGACAGCCAGGGGGCAACGCCAGTGGCCGCTGCCCCTGCGCATCGCATCCATAACCACCACATCCAGCACCACAACCATCGCATCCATCACCACCACATCCAGCACCACAACCATCGCATCCATCACATCCATATCCAGCACCACAACCATCACATCCATCACCACCACATCCAGCACCACAACCATCGCATCCATCACATCCATAACCACCACATCCAGCACCACAACCATCACATCCATCACATCCATAACCACCACATCCAGCACCACAACCATCGCATCCATCGCCACCATATCCACAACCATCACATCCACCACCACAACCATCACATCCATCACCACCATATCCACAACCATCACACCCACCACCACAACCATCACATCCACCACATCCAGCACCACAACCATCACATCTATCACCACCATATCCACAACCATCACACCCACCACCACAACCATCACATCCATCACACCCACGACCACAACCATCACATCCATAACCACCACATCCAGCACCACAACCATCACATCCATCACCACCATATCTACAACCATCACATCCAGCAGTACAACCATCGCATCCATCTGCCACCATATCCACAACCATCACATCCAGCACCACAACCATCACATCCATCACACCCACCACCACAACTATCACATCCATCACCACCATATCCACAACCATCACATCCATCACACCCAACCACAATCACCGCGCGCACCACATCCACCGCATCCACCACATCCACCACATCCACCACCACAACCACCATATCTACCATTACCACCACATCCACCGCCACCGCAATCATCGCGTACCACCACATCCACCACATCCATCGCCACCGCATCTACTACCACCGCAACCGCCGCCACCACTCACGCGGTTGATGTCGAGGCAGCGTGCGTCCAGCCGGGACACGCCGCCGCCATGCGCCGCAAACAGGGAGCGGCCGTCGCGCTCCGACACGGCCAAAGCCGTCACCGCGCCGCCGCCGCCCACCGCCAGGGAGGTCACCGCCACCGGCGAGCCCTCGGCGCTCCACAGGCACACGCGGCCGTCCTCGCCGCCGGACACCGCCGCCGCCACGCCGCCCCACGCGCCGCCGGCGTCACCGTCGCCGCCGGTGGCCGCCGTGGGGGTCACGCACAGCACCGCGCCCACGTGGCCCCCGCTCCAGCGGCGGTAGCAATGCTCTTGTTGATCGGGATGGGTTTGGGGAGGGGTAAGGGAGTCATGGGTTAGGGGGTTCAAAGGTCACAAGGAGAGGCAGCAGGCTCACACGCAGACTCACACACAGAGAGCCACAGACTCACACACAGAGACCCACAGACTCACAGAGAGACCCACAGACTCACCCAGAGACCCACAGGGTCACACAGAGACCCACAGACTCAAACAGAGAACCCCAGACTCACACAGAGACCCACAGACTCACACAGAGACCCACAGACTCACACAGAGACCCACAGACTCACACAGAGACACACAGGGTCACACAGAGACCCACAGACTCAAACAGAGAACCCCAGACTCACACAGAGACCCACAGACTCACACAGAGACCCACAGACTCACACAGAGACACACAGACTCACACATAGAGACCCACAGACTTACACACAGAGACCCACAGACTCACACAGAGACTCACAGACTCACACAGAGATCCACAGACTCACACAGAGACCCACAGACTCACAGGCTCACACAGAGACCCACAGACTCACACAGAGACCCACAGACTCACACAGAGACACACAGACTCACACAGAGACCCACAGACTCACACAGAGACCCACAGATTCACACAGAGACCCACAGACTCACACAGAGACCCACAGACTCACACAGAGACCCACAGACTCACACAGAGACCCACAGACTCACACAGAGACCCACAGATTCACACAGAGACCCACAGACTCACACACAGAGACCCACAGACTCACACAGAGACCCACAGACTCACACAGAGAACCACAGATTCACACAGAGACCCACAGACTCACACACAGAGACCCACAGACTCACACAGAGACCCACAGACCCACACAGAGACCCACAGACTCACACAGAGACCCACAGACTCACACAGAGACCCACAGACTCACACAGAGACCCACAGACTCACACAGAGACCCACAGACTCACAGAGACCCACACTCACACAGAGACCCACAGACTCACACAGAGACCCACAGACTCACACAGAGACCCAGAGACTCACACAGAGACCCACCGACTCACACAGAGACCCACAGACTCACGCAGAGACCCACAGACTCACGCAGAGACCCACAGACTCACCCAGAGACCCACAGGGTCACACAAAGACCCACAGACTCACACAGAGACCCACAGACTCACACAGAGACCCAGAGACTCACACAGAGAGCCACAGACTCACACAGAGACACACAGACTCACACAGAGACACACAGACTCACACAGAGACACACAGACTCACACAGAGACCCACAGACTCACACAGAGACCCACAGACTCACACAGAGACCCACAGACTCACACAGAGACCCACAGACTCACACAGAGACCCACAGACTCACACAGAGACCCACAGACTCACACAGAGACCCACAGACTCACACACAGAGACCCACAGACTCACACACAGAGACCCACAGACTCACCCAGAGACCCACAGGGTCACACAGAGACCCACAGACTCATCCAGAGACTCACAGGGTCAGAGACCCACAGACTCACACAGAGACCCACAGACTCACACACAGAGACCCACAGACTCACACACAGAGACCCACAGACTCACACAGAGACCCACAGACTCACACACAGAGACACACAGACTCACACAGAGACCCACAGACTCACACAGTGACCCACAGACTCACACAGAGACCCAGACTCACACACAGAGACCCACAGACTTGCACAGAGTACCACAGACTCACACAGAGACCCACAGACTCACACAGAGACCCACAGATACACACAGAGACCCACAGACTCACACAGAGACCCACAGACACACACAGAGACCCACAGACTCACACAGAGACCCACAGACTCACACAGAGACCCACAGACTCACACATAGACACACAGACTCACACAGAGACCCACAGACTCACCCAGAGACCCACAGGGTCACACAGAGACCCACAGACTCACACAGAGACCCACAGACTCAGAGGCCCACAGACTCACACAGAGACCCACAGACTCACCCAGAGACCCACAGGGTCACACAGAGACCCACAGACTCATCCAGAGACTCACAGGGTCAGAGACCCACAGACTCACACAGAGACCCACAGACTCACACACAGAGACCCACAGACTCACACACAGAGACCCACAGACTCACACAGAGACCCACAGACTCACACACAGAGACACACAGACTCACACAGAGACCCACAGACTCACACAGAGACCCACAGACTCACAGAGAGACCCAGACTCACACACAGAGACCCACAGACTTGCACAGAGTACCACAGACTCACACAGAGACCCACAGACACACACAGAGACCCACAGACTCACACAGAGACCCACAGACACACAACAGAGACCCACAGACTCACACAGAGACCCACAGACTCACACAGAGACCCACAGACTCACACATAGACACACAGACTCACACAGAGACCCACAGACTCACACAGAGACTCACAGACTCACACAGAGACCCACAGACTCACACATAGACACACAGACTCACACAGAGATCCACAGACTCACACAGAGACTCACAGACTCACAGAGACCCACAGACTCACACAGAGACCCACAGACTCACACAGAGACTCACAGACTCACACAGAGACCCACAGACTCACACAGAGACCCACAGACTCACAGGCTCACACAGAGACCCACAGACTCACACAGAGACCCACAGACTCACACAGAGACACACAGACTCACACACAGAGACCCACAGACTCACACAGAGACTCACAGACTCACACAGAGACCCACAGACTCACACAGAGACCCACAGACTCACAGGCTCACACAGAGACCCACAGACTCACACAGAGACCCACAGACTCACACAGAGACACACAGACTCACACACAGAGACCCACAAACTCACACAGAGACCCACAGACTCACACAGAGACCCACAGACTCACACAGAGACCCACAGACTCACACAGAGACCCACAGATTCACACAGAGACCCACAGACTCGCACACAGAGACCCACAGACTCACACACAGAGACCCACAGACTCACACAGAGACCCACAGATTCACACAGAGACCCACAGACTCACACACAGAGACCCACAGACTCACACAGAGACCCACAGACCCACACAGAGACCCACAAACTCACACAGAGACCCACAGACTCAAACAGAGACCCACAGACTCACAGAGACCCACACTCACACAGAGACCCACAGACTCACACAGAGACACACAGACTCACACAGAGACCCACAGACTCACACAGAGACCCACACTCACACAGAGACCCACAGACTCACACAGAGACCCACAGACTCACACAGAGACCCACAGACCCACACAGAGACCCACAAACTCACACAGAGACCCACAGACTCACACAGAGACTCACAGACTCACACAGAGACCCACAGACACACAAAGAGACCCACAGATTCACACAGAGACCCACAGACTCACACAGAGACCCACAGACACAGAGACCCACAGACACAGAGACCCACAGACTCACACAGAGACCCACAGACACAGAGACCCACAGACACAGAGACCCACAGACTCACACAGAGTCCCACAGACCCACACAGAGACCCACAGACCCACACAGAGACCCACAGATACAAGAGACCCACAGACTCACACAGAGACCCACAGACTCACACAGAGACCCACAGACTCACACAGAGACCCACAGACTCACACAGAGACCCACAGACTCACACAGAGACCCACAGACTCACACAGAGACCCACAGACTCACACAGAGACCCACAGTCTCACACAGAGACCCACAGACTCACACAGAGACCCACAGACTCACACAGAGACCCACAGACTCACACAGAGACCCACAGACTCACACAGAGACCCACAGACTCACACGACTGCCACGCCCGGGCGTGAGGCCTTCATCCAGCAGTGGATTGATCATATACAGTAGGGAGTACAGTAGAAAGTGGCGTACAGTGTACAGTGCGGTAGGCGGAATAGCACAGTAGCTCGAGTACAGTGGGCAGTCGTGTACTGTAGACAGTGGCGTGTACAGTACAATAAAGCGTGGTACAGGTGAGTAAAGTCGGCAATATTGTACAGTAGACGGTACAGTAATGGTATACAGTAGACGGTACAGTAATTGGAGGCCGCTCACCCATTGTCGTGCAGCGGCGGCGCGTGACGTCATCCGACTGCTTTCATGGTGCGCGTGACGTCACCCTACGGAGTTAGTGAGCGGGTGACGTCACCGAACTGCTAATGAAGCCGCGTGACGTCGCTCAACTGCTTTTTGAAGTTTTTTTGTGGAAGGGCGTGACGTCACCCCACGGAGTTCGTGGCTGCGCGACGTCACTTGACGGTGTAACCGCGTTTGTTGTGCGCGTGACGTCATCCGACGGCTTTGCCTCCCCCAAGGGTCAGTCACCTGGTGCTGTGTGTGTGGTGAACATCGCCACTGGGGAGACGAAGGCGGTCGGGCGTGGTGCTGGTAGCCACCCACCCCCTCGTAGCCTTCGTAGTAGGTGCTGCTGCTACTCGCTACTCACAGCACTTGCCCCTACAGTCTGTTAGAGGCTACACGGGGGACCTTTGTCTGTGTCTACCTTCACAGGCGCTGCTGCTACTCGCTACTCACAGCACTTGCCCCTACAGTCTATTAGAGGCTACACGGGGGATCTTTGTCTGTGTCTACCTTCACAGGCGCGGCTGCTACTCGCTACTAACAGCACTTGCCCCAGCAGTCTGTTAGAGGCTACACGGGGGATCTTTGTCTTTGGCCCAAATGTAAAGAACTCGTATAATTCCGTAGATTTTTCTGGCAGGAAAGGTGTTGGTGTTCTACATGTCAACATCAGAGGGCTTGTGAGTAAATTAAGTCAACTCAAACTAGAAGTGGCAAAATCTTGACCCGGACATTTTTTGCATAACAGAAACATTTCTCACTCCTACCGTCAATGACTTGCAGATTACGATTGACAACTACAACCTTTTTCGGCTTGACCGAGGATCTAAAGGAGGTGGAATTGCCATCTATACTATTGCATGTTCACCAGCTCACTCCTTGTTAAAAAAATGTTGCTTTGAATGTCTGGTTCTCAGAATAACTCTCCCAAATAATTAACAGATATTGGTAGTGTGCCGCTATCGACTGCCTTGTGGGAAGGATGTTGAAGCTGCATCTGCACTGAGAGGTTTTTGGGGGCCTCCCTAAAGGTGAAATAGTTTTAGTGGGTGATATAAATTGGAATTGGCTAAACCCGCCGGCCGTGGCCACAAATTTTGCAGATGAATTTAACCTGTTTCAATTAATAAATGTCCCCACAAGACCCAACCTAAAAAATCCGGGACAGTCAACTCTGCTTGATGTCTTATTGACAAATGCCCCTCACAATTTCGCACTGACTGGTGTTCTGGGTAATAACCTTAGTGATCACTCCTTCATTTTTGGGGTGAGATCAGCCAGACCCAAAGCCCCCCCCCCCCCCCCCGCCCTAAATTGGTTGAGAAGCACTCTGAGACACTTCAGCACCCAGGCATTTACTAATGATGTGCTTCACTCGGATATTGACAAGGTCTGTGATATCCCCAACCTGACTACGGCTTGGGAGACCTTCAGGTACACGTTTCTCCAAATTATTAACAAACATGCTCCCTTGGTTAGATTTAAAACTAAAGGCAACCGCCCACCATGGTTTGATCCTTTGATTACAAAGCTCATGAAAACTAGGGACGAGGCTTGGGCATGTGCTCAGAAAAGTAATTTGGTCAATGACTGGCTAGAATACAGGATTTTAAGGAATAGATGCATCAAAAAAATACGGCATGCAAAGAATGCCTATTTTTCCTCCACTCTCCTGGAATCACATGGAAATGCCAGGATTTTCTGGAAAACAATCAAATGTATCGAAAAGGCATCCAAAACAGACAATCTGCCCGTTGAGCTTAACCGAAATGAGGAATATTTTTCAGATCCCCAAAAAATAGTTGACAATTTTAACCTTCATTTTTCTGAAGCTGGTAATCTTTTTATAATGTATTGGGAGTCACCCCTGCTCATGAAAATTCCTACACCCCTGTCCAAACATTAAACGAATTTAGTTTCCAGCCAATATACGAAAGTAATGTTCTGAAACAACTGTCCTATCTCAAAGGGTCCTCCTCTACCGGAGCAGATAGTATTGCCGTCTTTGCTCTACTAACTGTTGGTCACCTAATATACAAACCTATAGGCCCATATTTTCAACCTGTCCATCAAAGAAGCATCAGTTCCTCTAGAATGGAAACATTCCTATGTCCGTCCTCTTCACGAAGGGGGCCCTAAAGATGATCCCAATAACTACCGACCTATCTCAATTTTGTCCCCGTTGATGAAAATTTTAGAAAAATTATTGAACTACCAAATTAGCAGTTTCCTGTCCACCAACAATCTACTACATCTAAACAATCTGGGTTCTGAAAAAAATACAGCACTACATCTGCTGCATTAGACTCTCTGAATCACATTTACAGTAGCCTTGATAATAAACAGTACTGTGCCTGTCTTTTTCTTGACCTGTTCAAAGCTTTTAATACAGTAGGCCACAACACCCTGCTTAGTAAACTAAGTTGCCTCGGTTTTTCCGAAAACGCAGTAAAATGGTTACAAAATTACCTCTTTTCTCGCACCCAAACTGTATTCACAAATGGTTGGAGGTCAAACATTGTTAAGATAACAAAAGGGGTCCCACAGGGTTCCATCCTCGGCCCCCTCTTATTCTCTCTTTATGTCAATGACTTGGGCACTGACCTGGAACATTCCAGGGTAAATCTTTTTGCAGATGACACGATACTGATTACTGCTGGCCGCTCTCCAGATGACGTGATTGCTAAGCTCCAGGGTGATTTCAACAAACTACAATATTAGCTAGTTGCTCTTAAACTAGTCCTGAATACCTCCAAAACCAAGGTGCTATGCTTCTCACCAGGACTTAAGCAGAAAGTTATTTTTCCCAAATTACATTCCTTAAATAATTATCAAATAGAGCAAGTCAAGATCTATAAGTATCTTGGGGTCATCCTGGATTCAAAACTGAATTTTGAAGATCACATTCATGCTATTGGTAAAAGACAAAAATAAAAATTGGTTTTCTGTATCGACACAAGCACTGCTTCCCCCCTATGTTCCGTATGGAATTGGTAAAAACTACCATACTGCCTCTACTTGATTACTGTGATATCGTGTATAAATCAGCCCCAAGTAATGTACTTTAGAAGCTTGATTCCATCTATCACTCAGCCTTAAGATTTATATTGAACTGCCCATATAGGACTCACCACTGTGATCTCTACATTGGGTCAAACTTAACATCACTTAATGTTCAACGGCTTGTGCACCAGATCTTATTTATTCACGATGTACTTACAAAAAAATCCGCAGACTACCTGCCTGATCTCCTCTCTGTTTCAAAGAACAAATTTGACCTCAGGTCTTCGCTCATTTACCAGCTTCACATTCCCTATTGCCGTACAAAAACTGGAGGAAGGGCCTTTGCTATTGATGCCCCCAGGGTCTGGAATGCTATTGCCAATGAACTGCATCTTGAATAGCTACCAATGAGATCTTCTCTCAAAACTGCTCTAGAGGAGTTGTACACCTCTAGCTGCCACTGCTATTCATTGGCGTAAAATACAATAAAATGTTTAGCTCCGATGACGCTGCAAAGTATTATCTGTATTTTGATTTAGCGTGCTGATCTTAAAGGTGCATTGAAAAATGTGATACTCCGACTGATGCTTCTGTTGTTGTGGAGTAACTCATGCAGCCAGCTATGGCTCTAGGGTTTGGTGTTACGTTATTTTTGTAGTTTATTGTAAAAAAATTCGGTCACAGTCCCTATGATCACTGTTACATTGCAATTATGGCTTTATTTTTTGGTGATTTTGAAAAGTTTTTTGGTTTGGCCATGTTTTTGTTTATTGTAGTACGGAGTTAGACTGATGGCCTTAATCTAAGTTGTCTTGTGGTTGTTGTTGTTTGACTTGCATCCCACTGGGATTTTTGCACACAGCGTTAGTGTACGGTGCTTTTTTCAGGAATATTTTGCTGTTTTTTTTCATGGATTTTCTGTTTGCACAGTCACACAAAGTCACTTTAAGATGTTTTTGTTTGTTGCGGTTGCACCCGATTCAAGAGCCGAATGGCTCACAGGGCTATACCAAATAAATAAACTGAAACTCTACGTGGACTGTACTACAGCGTGGTCCAGATATCTTGTGACACCTAACATTTCTTCCCTAGACCGCCCCTCTGTGCGGCCAAACAAAATCTGTTGAGGCCACGCGGTGGGCGGGGCCACGCGGTGGGCGGGGCCATCGAAGCATCATCATTTCTCGTTGTCGTGTTACATGACACACTCAGTAACTTCGCCCACAAGTCCACAACTCCCTCGTTGCCAAGCTGAGTGACTGTCTGCTGGTGACTTCCCACAGAGTCGTACCGTTCAATTTGACCACGAAGGAACGACGATATTGATTCTGTGCAACGATTTCCTTAACAACAATCACTAAAGTTGGATTAATCAAGGCGCAACAAAGATTTGAATCCAATGATGCCTGCGTTTGTCTTTGTTTGCGTGCGAGGGCCTGGTAAACCCCCTCCACCTGGCACTTGTTCTACGAAGCATCACGGTGGAAGCCCTACAATGAGCTCCTGCAGGAGACCCCAGGGGCACAGGTGGTTATAACCCCTTCTGGACAAACTCCATCTGGCAAAGCCAGACTCAACCACCGCCCCCCCCCCCACTCTTGGGGTTCCTCCAAGAACAGGAGACTTACTTCGATTGGCCACATGGAATGTTCAAACTCCCGTTGCAGAGGAGAGGCTGCCACTCCTCTGTCGGGAGATGGACCTTTGCTGTGGAATACAGGCGGTAAGGTGGACCGGTTCTGGCTCCAGCCACCCATGAGGAGTGGACAGTTCTCCACTCGGTGCAGGGAACTACCAAACAACAGGGAATTAATCTTCTTTTGATTAAAATAACGAAGGGGGGGTGTGGGAGCATGGCAGTGAGGTCTGGGAAGCTGTGAGTCCCAGGCTACTGTGGGCTCTCCTTCCCATCAACAAGAGGCGAGGAATGGTGGTGGTGGTTGCTTACGACCCCCCACTGAAGATGAACATCAGTGGAGGGATGCAGGCAAGGCTGATGAGTCAGAGGCCTTCTATGACCTCCTGTCCCCGGTGCTAGCCAAAGCGACCCCTCGGGATAGAGTCATCCTGTTGGGTTACTTTAATGCCCGGTTGGGTTATGCCGCAAACACCTGGTTCAGCGTGATGGGAAGGCGTCCGCCAGATCAGCTCAATAACAATGGGAGGCTGCTGGACTTCTGTGCAGCCCATGGGCTTGTAATCACCAACATGCTGTTCCGGCATCGGCGCATCCACAAATTGTAGATGCATTCGAGGTCCAACCATGGACATCTGCTGGACTGGTGATGCACCAGCGGATGCGGGACCATGTCCTTCACATCAGGACCGACCGTGTATCTGATCTGCCCACCTCCGATTAGCACGGTTGCCTACCAACAGTATGAAAGATCGGCTTGGCATCTGTAAGATGCGCCTGCCATTCTTCCGCTCCGGTGGTGGGTGTCCATCTAGGACCCCATTCAAGCACACACTAGCCTGGTCTCAGTTGAGGATAGTTGCAAGTAGGAATTTCAACATTGCTTTCAGCTGGAGTTGAGGGGAAATGGGTGAGGTTGAGGACTGTGGCTCACGCAGTTGCAATGGCTGCTTTGGGTACGCAGTCCAGACCTCCCCAGAGACCCTGGCTGACAGAGGAGGTGTTCCGGCTAGTTGAGAGAAAATGACAAGCTCACTCCCGTCGTCTGCAGCATCCAACGTCGGAGAATGAGGCCTTTGCTCCGAGGTTCGGAGAGCCGTGCGACACTCATCACTCATTGATACCAGTGATGAACACCTTCATCCATTGAAACCACAGAGTGAGGCTTACCACTGCTCACCACACCAGCACACAGAGAGAGGACACGGGATACGGCGAGACCCCCAAAGCCACGTGAGTTTAATTTCACACAGGTGTCTGGTGGTGATGGTGGTGATGGTGATAATGGTGGTGGTGAAGGTGGTGATAATAACAGATGGTGCTGATGACATTGATGATGATAACGATGGAAATTGTGGCGAGGATGATGGCAATGACGGCGGTTATAATGATGGTGGTGGTGAGAATGGTGGTGATGGAGGTGATGGTCACGGTGGTGGTGGTGGTGATGATGATGGTGGTGATGGTGGTGGTGGTGATGATGGTGGTGGTGGTGGTGGTGATGATGGTGGTGGTGATGAGGATGGTGGTGATGAGGATGGTGGTGATGAGGATGGTGGTGATGATGGTGGTGATGATGATGATGAGGATGATGATGATGAGGATGGTGATGATGATGCATCTCCAGTGATGAGGGCTCGAGTATTTCCGTGGGTGTCCCCACGTGCCCCGCGTGTCCCCCCGTGTCCCCGCGTGTCCCCCCGTGTCCCCCCCCATGTCCCCCCGTGTCCCCCCGTGTATCCGCGTGTCCCCGCGTGTCCCCGCGTGTCCCCCCGTGTCCCCTCGTGTCCCCAACGTGTCCCAACATCTCCCACTGTGTTCCCCGTGGATCCCGACGTGTCCCCCCCATTTTCCTGTATGTTCCCACGTGCCATCCTGTATCTCCCCACTGTGTCCACTCCCCCCACCCCCCCACCCCCCACGTGTCTCCCCCCTCCCACCCCCCCCGCTCCGCGGCGCTATCTTTGCACCGCGTGTCCCCCTCTGGCTCCCTGCGTCGTCACCGTCGATGTCACCGCCGCCGCCGCCACCCCCCTCTCCTTCTCCTTCTGCAGCTCCAGCTCGATCTTGGCCTCCACCTTCTCCCAGTCCACCTCCACCTCCAGAGACAAAGAACCCCCCCGACCCCAGCGTGCGTGGCCTTTAGCAAACTGTCGAGACCGAATGCTGTTCGTGGCGAGAAGCAGAAGCAGCAGCAGCAGCAGCAGCAAAGCCTACGAAGGCCCGGCAAAAGTGGCACACGACAGGGGGGGTGGGTGGCCAACACCACACCACGCCACGCCTGGCCAACCTTGTTCGATGATTCACGACACACCGCACCAGGTACTCATTTGAGGCCGAGCCGAGCTCAGAGAGAGACCCCCCCCCAGCACCGCTTCGGGTAATCGCTAGCACCGGTGTTGGTGCTGGCCCTGAGCGGGAATCGAACTCGGGTAGGCCGGTTCGTAGCGCAGTGCGCTAACCGCTCCACTAAAGCTGCACACATACACGCAAAATATACCCCCCCGTGTAGCCTTCACAGACTGTTGGGGGCGAGTGCTGTCAGCGAGCAGCACCTGTGAAGGCCGGCACGGCACACGAGGGGGTGGGTGGCTAAGAGGAGGAGGGGCAGAGAGGAGGAGGGGCAGAGAGGAGGAGGGAGGGGGGCAGAGAAGAGGGGGAGGGGCAGAGAGGAGGAGGGGAGGGGCAGAGAGGAGGAGGGGCAGAGAGGAGGAGGTGGGAGGGGGGCAGAGAGGAGGAGGGGGAGGGGCAGAGAGGAGGAGGGGGAGGGGCAGAGAGGAGGAGGGGGAGGGGCAGAGAGGAGGAGGGGCAGAGAGGAGGAGGGGCAAAGAGGAGGAGGGGCAGAGAGGAGGAGGGGGAGGAGCAGAGAGGAGGAGGGGGAGGGGCAGAGAGGAGGAGGGGGAGGGGCAGAGAGGAGGAGGGGGAGGGGCAGAGAGGAGGAGGGGGAGGGGCAGAGAGGAGGAGGGGCAGAGAGGAGGAGGGGCAGAGAGGAGGAGGGGCAGAGAGGAGGAGGGGGAGGAGCAGAGAGGAGGAGGGGGAGGGGCAGAGAGGAGGAGGGGGAGGGGCAGAGAGGAGGAGGGGGAGGGGCAGAGAGGAGGAGGGGGAGGGGCAGAGAGGAGGAGGGGCAGAGAGGAGGAGGGGCAAAGAGGAGGAGGGGGAGGGGCAGAGAGGAGGAGGGGCAGAGAGGAGGAGGGGGAGGGGCAGAGAGGAGGAGGAGGAGGGGGAGGGGCATAGAGGAGGAGGGGGAGGGGCAGAGAGGAGGAGGGGGAGGGTCAGAGAGGAGGAGCGGCAGAGAGGAGGAGGGGGAGGGGCAGAGAGGAGGAGGGGGAGGGGCAGAGAGGAGGAGGGGCAGAGAGGAGGAGGAGGGGCATAGAGGATGAGGGGCAGCGATGAGGAGGCACAGGGCAGGGGCAGTGATGCTTAGGGTCAGCACCTGGCGTGCGTACTGCAGGAAGCGTGGTCGCGTCTCCTCCACCACCGCCTGCTGCTGCTGGCCCTGCTGCTGCTGCTGCTGGCGCTGCTGCAGCTGCTGCAGGTGACGCTGGCGGAAGGCCAGCACCGAGTCCACGTGGGTCTTGTGCTTCACGGCAAGCTCCAGAGCCCTGCACACCACAAGGCGATCCAGAGTCTGAGACCAGGAAAGGCAGCGGGCAGAGATGATCTCCCAAGCGAAATGCTGAGGGAGGGTGGCGTTTGTCCACAGACTGCCCTACGTGACATCATAACAACAGTCTGGACCACTGGACGGGTTCCGCAGGATTGGAAGGATGCCCTGGTGGTCCCCCTCTTTAGGAAGGGGGACCGCACAGACTGTAACAACTACAGGGGCATCTCACTCCTCAGTGTGCCGGGAAAGGCCCTGGCAAGGATTATTCAAAATCGCCTTGCCAGGCACGCTGAGGAGAGGCTTGCGGAGCCCCAATGCGGTTTCAGGAAAGGGCGGTCCTGCACAGATGCCATATTTTCTGTCCGTCTGCTACAGCAGAGGTGTAGGGAATTCCAGCAAGACCTACATCTCTGCTTTATTGACCTGGTCAAGGCCTATGATACCATCAGTAGGCCTGGGCTCTGGGTTGTTCTTCGTGCTTTCGGAGTACCTGACCCTCTGCTCACGATCATTAAGGACCTTCATGATGGTGATCGGGCCCGGGTAAAACTACGTGGCCGGGAGTCAGAGCCATTCCCTGTACACCTTGGGGTGCGACAGGGATGTCCTCTGGCTCCCACATTATTTAACATCTACTTTGACCACGTAGTTCGTGAAGCCTTCAATAGCTGTACCGGGGGAATCTCCATATGGTACAGATATAATGGGAGGCTAATCAATGCCCGGGTGCGGTCAAGGGATGGCTCCCTATTGCTCAACCACCTTATGTATGCTGATGATTTGGTAATAGCTGCTCATTCAGAGGAGGAGTTGGAGACGCTGCTGCTGAGACTGGAGCGTGCCACTAAGAGATGGGGCCTTACCATCAGCCCCACCAAAACTAAGCACCTGCCTGGGTATTTTGTACCATCGGACACTCCACCCCCACAACTCCCAATCGGTGATGGGGCAGTTGTGGAGAGAGTGGAGAGTTTCCCATACCTGGGCAGTGTGCTTATGACCGGCTCCAGTTTAACAGCAGAGGTCTCACTCCGAATCAGTCAAGCGGCAATATCTTTTCATCGGTTGCGTAACGCTGTGTGGAAGCTGCCTGGTCTGTCGCTCCGCACTAAGCTTCAGGTCTTCTCGGCCACGGTCATTCCCTCCCTTCTCTACGCTTGCGAAACGTGGACCCCCTTAATGGAGCATCTTCGCCGGTTGGAAACATTTAGGCTGGCCTGCCTACGATCCATCCTGGGTTTAACCAGACTGGATTGTGTGAGGAGCTCACAAATCCTTGAAAGATCTGGGCAAGGTCCCATCAGTGAGCTCCTCCGGCGGGCAAGGCTGCGATGGCTGGGTCATGTAGCCCGCATGCCCAGCCACCGCATGCCGAAACAGCTTTTGTTCGGCCGGATCGAGGGGGCTAAACGGGCGTGGCACAGGCTAGAGAAGAGATGGAGTGATGTGGTACACGAGGACGTGGAGCTGAGTGGACTTGCCGATGACTGGTACCAGCGGTGTCAAGATCGGCCTCTGTGGAGGAGGCTCGTGAAGGATGCTACTGGGCAGTTGGAGGTAGTCGCCCTCCAACAACAACGGAGGGCGGAGGAGCGACGCTCACAACAACGAGCGGAGCGCCGGGTGGCTAAAGCACAGCAGGTTGGCACAGTAGGGGGCACAGGTGGTGCATCAGCCAGTCATCTCAGTCAGTCGACCCGTGGCACCTGGGTCTGCCCCGTGACCTCCTGCTAGCGGGCGTTCGACACTCCACGTGGCCTCAAGGTGCACATGGCCTGGCACAAGCGTCGTGGTGACGTCACCGCCACTTAGTGGTGAATGGAAGTTGTTGTTGTGAGTGAGTCACTCACCTGTCCCAGCTGTAGAGGTCTATGTGAGTGTAGTTGTCTGTGTGTGTGTGTGAGTGAGTCACTCACCTGTCCCAGCTGTAGAGATCTATGTGAGTGTAGTTGTCTGTGTGTGTGTAAGGTCTATGTGGGTGTAGTTGTCTGTGTGTGTGTGTCTGTAAGGTCTATGTGAGTGTAGTTGTCTGTGTGTGTGTGTGAGTGAGTCACTCACCTGTCCCAGCTGTAGAGGTCTATGTGAGTGTAGTTGTCTGTGTGTGTGTGTGAGCGAGTCACTCACCTGTCCCAGCTGTAGAGATCTATGTGAATGTAGTTGTCTGTGTGTGTGTAAGGTCTATGTGGGTGTAGTTGTCTGTGTGTGTGTGTCTGTAAGGTCTATGTGAGTGTAGTTGTCTGTGTGTGTGTGTGAGTGAGTCACTCACCTGTCCCAGCTGTAGAGGTCTATGTGAGTGTAGTTGTCTGTGTGTGTGTAAGGTCTATGTGGGTGTAGTTGTCTGTGTGTGTGAGTGTCTGTAAGGTCTATGTGAGTGTAGTTGTCTGTGTGTGTGTGTGAGTGAGTCACTCACCTGTCCCAGCTGTAGAGGTCTATGTGGGTGTAGTTGTCTGTGTGTGTGTGTGTGTCTGTAAGGTCTATGTGAGTGTAGTTGTCTGTGTGTGTGTGTGAGTGAGTCACTCACCTGTCCCAGCTGTAGAGGTCTATGTGGGTGCGGATTGCCCGGTACGTCAGACCGCCCTGCAGGAGGATGCCCTCGGCCTGGTGAACGTCGCCGCTGAGCAGCGCCAGCGCCGCCCACCGGCTCTCCGGCACCGGCAGCTCCCGGGCGGCCCTCACGTGCGCCACGCGGTCCACCTGACCCCGCAACACCACCAATAAGTGGCGACGTCACCGCTGCGCTTGTGCCAGGCCATGTGCGCTCTGGCAGCAGGTTCACGGGGCAGACGCAGGTGCCGTGGGTTGACCGACTGAGACGACCGGCCGATGCGCACCCTACGGTGCCCCCTACTGTGCCAATTCGCTGTGCTTTAGCCGGGTACACACACGCACACACAAAGACCCCCCATATAGCCTTAACGGACTGTTGGGGCAAGTGCTGTTAGTGAGCACCTATGAAGGCCCGCACGGCACACGAGGAAGGTGGGTGGCCAACACCACACCCGGCCGCCTTTGTCTCCCAAGTGGCGATGTTTACACACCGCACCAGGTACTCATTTGAGGCTGAGTCGACCTAGCGGAGGCCCAGGACTCGTTCAGAAAATCGTCACCGGTGGTCACCGGTGGTTGGCCATGAGTGGTAGCTAACCACTACAGTACCGCTCCCCACCACACACACATGGTCACATGCACACATACTCACATCTACACACATAACCATGTACACACACACAGACGTACACAGTCTCACAAACCCATATGTATGCACACACGTACACACACGTACACACACTCACATCTACACACGTAACCGTGTACACACACACACACGTACACACACACATACATCTACACACGTAACCATGTACACACACACAGACGTACACACTCTCACACACCCATATGTATACACACACGTACACACACGTACACACATACATCTACACACGTAACCGTGTACACACACACGTACACACACATACATCTACACACGTAACCATGTACACACACACGTACACACATACATACATCTATACACGTAACCATGTACACGCACACAGACGTACACACTCTCACAAACCCATATGTATACACACACACGTACACACACGTACACACACTCACATCTACACACGTAACCACGTACACACAAACGTACACACACATACATCTACACACGTAACCATGTACACACACAGACGTACACACTCTCACAAATCCATATGTATACACACAAGATACACACACGTACACGCACACATACATCTACACATAACCATCTACACACACACAGACGTACACACTCTCACACACCCAAATGTATACACACACACGTACACACACGAACACACACTCACATCTACACACGTAACCATATACACACACAAAAAAGATCCCCCATATAGCCTTAACAGACTGTAGGGGCAAGTGCTGTTAGTGAGCACCTATGAAGGCCGGAACGGTACACGAGGGGGTGGGTGGCCAGCACCACGCCCGACCGCCTTTGTCTCCCTAGTGGCAATGTTTACACACCGCACCAGGTACTCATTTGAGGCTGAGTCGACCTAGGGGAGGCCCGGGACCGGTTCAGATAATCGTCACTGGTGTTGGCCGTGAGCAGGAATCGAACCCGGGTCGCCAGGTTCATAGCGCAGCGCGCTAACCGCTACACTATCGCTTGTGCCAGGCCACTCGTACACACACACATACATCTACACACGTAACCATGTACACACAGACATACAAACTCTCACAAACCCATATGTATACACACACACGTACACACACTCACATCTACACACGTAACCATGTACACACACACACACACACGTACACACACATACATATACACACGTAACCATGTACTCACACACACACGTTCACACACACATACATATACACACGTAACCATGTACACACACACACAGACGTACACACTCTCACAAACCCATATGTATACACACACACGATACACACACACATCTACACACGTAACCATCTTCACACACACACAGACGTACACACTCTCACACACCCATATGTATACACACACACACGTACACTCACGTACACACACACTTACATCTACACACGTAACCATGTACACACACACACACAGACGTACACACTCTCACACACACCCCTACGTCCACACACTCTCACACACACCCCTACGTCCACACACTCTCACACACACCCCTACGTACACACACTCGTACACACACCCCTACGTACACACACTCGTACACACACCCCTACGTACACACACTCGTACACACACCCCTACGTACACACACCCCTACATACACCCCTACGTACACACACCCCTACGTAGACACACTCGTACACACACCCCTACGTAGACACACTCTCACACACACCCCTATGTACACACACCCCTACGTACACACACCCCTACATACACACACTCGTACACACACCCCTACGTCCACACACTCTCACACACACCCCTACGTACACACACCCCTATATACACACACTCGTACACACACCCCTACGTACACACACTCCTACGTACACACACTCGAACACAAACCCCTACGTACACGCACCCCTACGTACACACACTCATACACACACCCCTACGTACACACACTCGTACACACACCCCTACGTACACACACCCCTACGTACACACACTCGTACACACACACCTACGTACAAAGACAAAGACAAAGATCCCCCATATAGCCTTAACAGACTGTAGGGGCAAGTGCTGTTAGCGAGCACCTATGAAGGCCGGAACGGTACACGAGGGGGTGGGTGGCCAACACCACGCCCGACCGCCTTTGTCTCCCTAGTGGCGATGTTTACACACCGCGCCAGGTACTCATTTGAGGCTGAGTCGACCTAGGGGAGGCCCGGGACCGGTTCAGATAATCGTCACTGGTGTTGGCCGTGAGCGGGAATCGAACCCGGGTCGCCAGGTTCATAGCGCAGCGCGCTAACCGCTACACCACCGCTCCCCACCTACGTACACACACTCGTACACACACACCTCCCCGATGGCGGCGTAGGCTGCTTCCGCCGTCTCGAGCTCCCTGCTGCGCACGGCCAGCGCGGCGAGGCAGGCCCACAGCGCGGGGTCCTGGAGCACGCGGCATGGCACCACGGCACAACGGCACCGCACGAGAGAGGAGCGTCACCACGTGTGGGCCTGTGGCTCTCTTGGTGTGCGAGACTGTGGGTCTCTGTGTGTGAGTCTGTGGGTCTCTGTGTGAGTCTCTGTGTGAGTCTGTGGGTCTCTGTGTGAGTCTCTGTGTGAAAGTCTGTGGGGCTCTGTGTGAGTCTGTGGGGCTCTGTGTCTGAGTCTGTGGGTCTCTGTGTGTGAGTCTGTGGGTCTCTGTGTGAATATGTAGGTCTCTGTGTGAGTCTTTGGGTCTCTGTGTGAATCTGTGTGTCTCTGTGTGAGTCTGTGGGTCTCTGTGTGAGTCTTTGGGTCTCTGTGTGAGTCTGTGGGTCTCTGTGTGTGAGTCTGTGGGTCTCTGTGTGAGTCTGTGGGCCTCTGTGTGAGTCTGTGGCTCTCTTGGTGTGCGAGTTTGTGGGTCTCTGTGTGAGTCTGTGTGTCTCTCTGTGTGAGTCTGTGGGCCTCTGTGTGAGTCTATGTGTCTCTCTGTGTGAGTCTGTGGATCTCTGTGTGAGTCTGTGGATCTCTGTGTGAGTCTGTGGGTCTCTGTGTGTCTCTGTGTGAGTCTATGGCAGGGGTCGGCAACCTGTGGCTCGCGAACCAGATGTGGCTCTTTTGATGACTGCATCTGGCTCGCAAATAAATCTTCGCTGACATTTCTTTAGTTGTATTCGGTGTTAAAAAAATATGATATGGCTCTCACGGAAATGTATTTTAAAATATGTGGCTTTCATGGCCCTCTCAGCCAAAAAGGTTCCCGCCCCTGGTCTATGGGTTTCTGTGTGAGTCTGTGGGTGTCTGTGTGAGTGTGTGGGTCTCTGTGTGAGTCTGTGGGTTTCTGTGCGAGTCTGTGGGTCTCTGTGTGAATCTGTGCGTCTCTGTGTGAGTCTGTGGGTTTCTGAGTCTGGAGGAGGTAGGAGGAGAGAGGAGGAGGAGCAGCAGGAGGAGGAGCAGGAGGAGCAGGAGGTGGAGCAGGAAGAGCCGGAGGTGAAGCAGCAGAAGGAGGAGGAGCAGCAGGAGGTGGTGGAGCAGCAGGAGGAGCAGGAGGAGCAGCAGGAGGAGGAGCAGGAGGTGGAGCAGGAGGAGCAGCAGGAGGAGGAGTAGGAGGAGCAGCAGGAGGAGCAGCAGAAGGAGGAGGTGGAGCAGCAGCAGGAGGTGGTGGAGCAGCAGGAGCAGGAGGAGGACCAGCAGCAGGAGGAGCAGCAGGAGGTGGCGTGCCCCTCACCTTGACGAAGCGGCAGAGGCGCAGGGCGTGGTCCCAGCGCTGAGCCGCGACGAGGCCGTGCAGGGCACCGGGGTACGGCGACACCGGCACGGAGAGCAGCGCCCCGTCTGCTCGGCGCACGCTAACGCGCGCGCCCAGGAACGAGAGCACGCGCGGACACTTGCCCAGCTCCCTACACGCGGGCACAAAGACAAAGATCCCCCGTGTAGCCTTAACAGACTGTAGGGGCAAGCGCTGTTAGCGAGCAGCACCTGTGAAGGCCGGTAACGGCACACGAGGGGGTGGGTGGCTAGCGCCACGCCCGACCGCCTTTGTCTCCCCGGTGGCGATGTTTACACGCCGCACCAGGTACTCATTTGAGGCTGAGTCGACCTAGGGGAGGGCCCGGGACCGGTTCAGATAATCGTCACCGGTGCCGTGAGCGGGAATCGAACCCGGATACGCACACGTACACACACGCACGTACACACACGCACGCACATGTACACACACGCACGCACACGTACACATGCGCACAACAACAACCGCCATTCGTCACTAAGTGGCGGTGACGTCACCACGACGCTTGTTCCAGGCCATGTGCACCTTGAGGCCACGTGAAGTGTCGAACGCCCGCGGGCAGGAGGTCACGGGGCAGACCCAGGTGCCACGGGTCGACTGACTGAGATGACTGAGATGACTGGCTGATGCACCACCTGTGCCCCCTACTGTGCCAACCTGCTGTGCTTTAGCCACCCGGCGCTCCGTTCATTGTTGTGAGCGTCGCTCCTCTGCCCTCCGTTGTTGTTGGAGGGCGACTGCCTCCAACTGCCCAGTGGCGTCCTTCACGAGCCTCCTCCACAGAGGCCGATCTTGACACCGCTGGTACCAGTCATCGGCAAGTCCACTCAGCTACACGTCCTCCTGTACCACGTCACTCCAACTCTTCTCTAGCCCATGCCGCGCCCGTTTAGCCCCCTCGATCTGGCCGAACAAAAGCTGTTTCGGCATGCGGTGGCTGGGCATGCGGGCTACATGACCCAGCCAACGCAGCCTTGCCTGCCGGCGGAGCTCACCGATGGGACCTTGCCCAGATCTTTCAAGGATTTGTGAGCTCCTCACACAATCCAGCCTGGTTAAACCCAGGATGGATCGTAGGCAGGCCAGCCTAAATGTTTCAAACCGGCGAAGATGCTCCATTAAGGGGGTCCACGTTTCGCAAGCGTAGAGAAGGGAGGGAATGACCGTGGCCGAGAAGACCTGAAGCTTAGTGCGGAACGACAGACCAGGTAGCTTCCACACAGCGTTACGCAACCGATGAAAAGATATTGCCGCTCGACTGATTCGGAGTGAGACCTCTGCTGTTAAACTGGAGCCGGTCATTAGCACACTTCCCAGGTATGGGAAACTCTCCACTCTCTCCACAACTGCCCCATCACCGATTGGGAGTTGCAGCGCCTCACGGCTCTCCGAACCTCCGAGCGAAGGCTGCGGTAAGCCTCCTCATTCTCTGACGTGGGATTCTGTAGCCGATGACAGTGGGCCTGTCGCTTTTTCTCAACCATCCTGAACACCTCCTCTGTCAGTCAGGGTCTCTGGGGAGGTCTGGACAGCAAACCCAAAGCAGCCATTGCAGCTGCATGAGTCACAGTCCTAAACCTCGCCCATTTACCCTCGACATCAGGAGGAGTGGGGGACGATGCCAACCCCAGCCGCAAGCGATGATGAAATTTTCGCTTGCAACTTTCATCAGATAACTGAGACCAGGCCACTTTAGGTTGGAATGGGGTCCTGGGTGTACACCCACCACTGGAGTGGAAGAATGGCAGGCGCATCTTACAGATGACTAGTCGATGGTCAGAGGGCAGATCAGCTCCACGGTAGGTCCTGGTGTCAAGGACATGGGCTCGCATCCGCTGGTCCATCACTATGTAGTCCAGCAGATGTTCTTGCTTGGACCCGGCATGCATCCGTGATGTTGTGTGGATGCGCCGATGCCGGAACAGCGTGTTGGTAATTACAAGCCCATAGGCTGCACAAAAATCTAGCAGCCTCCTACCGTTGTTATTGAGCTGATCTGGCCCATGCCCTCCAATCACTCCAGACCAGGTGCCAGCATCATGACCAACTCGGGCATTGAAGTCACCCAACAAGATGACTCTATCCCGAGGGGCCACTTTAGCCAGCACCTGTGACAGGAGGTCATAGAAGGCATCTGACTCATCGGCTTTGCCTGCATCCCTCCACGGATGTTCGTCTTCGGTGGGGGCATAAGTAACCACGACCACTACTCCTCGCCTCCGGTTGATGGGAAGGCGAGCCCAAAGTAGCCTGGGGCTTACAGCTTCCCACACCTCACCGCCACGCTCCCAAGCCCCCTTCATTCTTTTGTTCAAAAGAAGAGCCACACCCTGTTGTTTGGCAGTCTGCTGCCCCGAGTAGAGGACTGTCCACCCCTCATCGTGGCAGGAGCCAGAACCGGTCCACCGAACCTCCTGAATGCCACAGAGATCCAGGCGGTACCGGTCCAGCTCCTGACAGAGCAGTGGCAGCCTCTCCTCCGCAGTGAGCGTCCGAACATTCCACGTGGCCATCCGTAGTGGCTTTTCGTTGTTTCTGGAGGAGCCCCAAGGGTAGAGATTCAATCTCCTGGCTCCGCCAAATGGAATTTGGCCAGGAGACGTCATAGACGCCTGTCCCCCCGGGGCCTCCGGCACAAGCTTATTAGTTACATATTTAAATCGTGGTTTAGTGGTAATTTATTGAAGGTGGAGGGGTTACCAGCCCCTCACACACACACAGACGTACACACGCACGCACACGTACACACACGCACACACACACACGTACACACACGTACACACACGTAAACACATGTACACACACGCACGCACATGTACACTCACGCACGCACACGTACACACACGCACCACACACGTACACTCACGCACGCACACACACGCATACACACGTACACTCACGCATGCACACGTACTAACACTCACACACACGTACACACACGTACACACACGCACACTCATGCACGCACACGTACACTCACGCACGCACACGTACACACATGCACGCACACGTACCCTCACACACGCACACGTACACTCACACACGCACACGTACACACACGACACACACGCACACACACGTACACTCACGCACACACATGTACACTCACGCACGCACACGTACACACACGCACACGTACTAACACTCACAAAGATCCCCCATATAGCCTTAACAGACTGTAGGGGCAAGTGCTGTTAGTGAGCACCTATGAAGGCCGGAACGGTACACGAGGGGGTGGGTGGCCAGCACCACGCCCGACCGCCTTTGTCTCTCTAGTGGCAATGTTTGCACACCGCACCACGTACTCATTTGAGGCTGAGTCGACCTAGGGGAGGCCCGGGACCGGTTCAGATAATCGTCACTGGTGTTGGCCGTGAGCGGGAATCGAACCCGGGTCGCCAGGTTCATAGCGCAGCGCGCTAACCGCTACACTATCGCTCCCCACACTCACACACACGTACACACACACGCACACAAACGCACGCATACAGATTCGCAGAGGGAGAGAGAAAGGTGATGCAGAGAGACACAAAGAAAGAGATACAGGGACGACTGTTGCCACTACTGCAACCACTACTCCTGCAGATACTACTACCTTCACTACTACTACTGCTACTACCACCACTGCTAATACCACTAGCTAATGCTACTACCACTACTGCTACTACCACCGCTACCACTACTACCACCGCGACTGCTGCTACTGCCACTACTATTACCGCTATTACCACCACTACTACTACCACTACTACTACTGCTACTACCACTAGCTAATGCTACTACCACTACTACTACCACTGCTACTACCACTACTACTACCACTACTACTACCACTACCACTACTCCTGCTGCTACTACTACCTTCACTACTACTACTGCTACTACCACCACTGCTACTACCACTAGCTAATGCTACTACCACTAGTGCTACTACCACCGCTACCACTACTACCAGCGCGACTGCTGCTACTGCCACTACTATTACCGCTATTACCACCACTACTAATACCACTACTACTACTACCACTACTACTACCACTACTCCTGCTGCTACTACTACCTTCACTACTACTACTGCTACTTCCACCACTGCTACTACCACTAGCTAATGCTACTACCACTAGTGCTACTACCACCGCTACCACTACTACCAGCGCGACTGCTGCTACTGCCACTACTATTACCGCTATTACCACCACTACTACTACCACTACTACTACTGCTACTACCACTAGCTAATGCTACTACCACTACTACTACCACTACTAGTACCGCTACTACAACCACCGCTACTACTACCACTAATATTACCATTATTACCACCGCTATTACTACCACCACTACTTCCACCACTACAACTACTACCACTACCACTGCTACTACTACCACTACTACCACTACTACCACGGCTACTACTGCCGCTACTACTACCGCCACTACTACCGCCACTACTACCACCACTACTACCGCCACTACCGCTACTACTACCACTACTACTACCACTACTACCACTACTACTACCACTACTACCACTACTACTACCACTACTGCTACCACTACTACCACCACCACTACTACTACCACTACTACTGCTACTACTACCACTAACTCCTACCATTACTACTACCAATACTACCACTACTACTACCACTACTACTACTAACTACTACCACTACCACCACTACTACTACTACCAACACTACCACTACTACTACCACTACTACTAACTACTACCACTACTACTACCACTACTACCACTACTACTACCACTACTACTACCACCACTACTACCGCTACCACTGCTGCTGGTGGCGGCTGCGGTGAGGTTCTCACGGCGCGTCGCGGTGTCTCACGGTGGCCGGCGCCAGGCCCGGGTCGGCGAAGGCGGCCGCCGGGCACAGCCAGAGGGAGAGGCGGCCGTCGCCGACGCCGCACAGCACCGGGGCCGTGCCGTGCCATGCCACGCACTGCGCCGAGCCGCCTGGTGGTGATGGCAAATGTTTGTTGGGTTAGGTCGCGTTGAAGTCCTCTGCTTGCCTTCTTTGGTTCTTTCGGTGAAGTCACGTGGAATGAGAATAAAATAATAAATTGATGAAATAAAACAACACGATAAAATTCTCACGACGTTTCGGCCACAACACAAGTGGCCTTAATAAAGTATTAAAGCTTTCGTGACTGCATAAAATTACTCATAGTTTTTTTTCCGTAAAGTCACGTATGTAGAAATACAATAAAATTATGTTAAAACAAAAAACAATCACGACGTTTCGATCACACCTGATGAAGATCACTTGCGTTGTGATCGAAACGTCGTGAGAATTTTATCGCGTTATTTTATTTTATCAATTTATTATTTTATTCTCATTCCACGTGGCTTCACCGAAAGAACCAAAGAAGATGAATCCTTGCAGTCACGAAAGCTTTAAGTCCTCTAGTTGCGTCACGAAGACCTCCACATCGTAAGTCAAAAACACCGTAAGTCCAAGATGGCCCTGGCCCTGCCCAGGAGTCTTAAAGAATGGTGATGTTATATTCTTGGTTCTTTCGGTAAAGTCACGTTGAAGGGAAACAATACTCACCTACCCACTCACCTACCTGCCCATCCACCCACTCACCTACCCACTCACACTCTCACCCACCCACTCACCCACCCACCCACTCACCCATCCACTCACCTACACCCTCTCACCCACCGACTCACTGACCCATCACCTATCCACCCACCCACCCTCTCACCCACCCACTCACCTACCCACCCTCTCACCCACCCACTCATCCACCCACCCACCCACTCACTCACTCACCCACCACCTATCCACCCACCCACTTACCTACCCACTCACCTACCCACCTATCCACCCACCCAGCACCCCCCTCTCTCTTCCAGCCCACCCCCACCCCCGTGCGGCCCTCCGCACCGATCTTGATGGGCGGCCTCCCCTCCCTGGCGCCGCGCGTGTGCACCACGAACACGTCCTGCGCCCGGTCCAGCAGCGCCAGCAGCCGCCCAGTGCCACCGCCGCCACTACCACCGCCGCCAACGCTGGCATCCAGCGCCACCTGCACCACCTCTAGCTGGAGGGGGGTGGGAGGGGAGGTGGGGGGAGGAAGCGTCTAGTCAGAGGGACACCGTCTAGACAGAGAGACACTGTCTAGACAGAGAGGCACCGTCTAGTCAGAGAGGTACTGTCTAGACAGAGAGACACCGTCTAGACAGAGGGGTACTGTCTAGACAGAGAGGTACCGTCTAGACAGAGAGACACCGTTTGGACAGAAAGACACCGTCTAGACAGAGAGGCACCGTCTAGACAGAGGGGTACTGTCTAGACAGAGAGACACTGTCTAGACAGAGAGGCACCGTCTAGACAGAGGGGCACCGTCTAGACAGAGAGACACCGTCTAGACAGAGAGGCACCGTCTAGACAGAGGGGTACCGTCTAGACAGAGGGGTAGTGTCTAGACAGAGAGACACTATCTAGACAGAGAGGTACCGTCTAGACAGAGAGACACCGTCTAGACAGAGAGACACCGTCTAGACAGAGAAGTACTGTCTAGACAGAGAGACACCGTCTAGACAGAGAGACACTGTCTAGACAGAGAGGTACTGTCTAGACAAAGAGGTACCGTCTAGACAGAGAGACACCGTCTAGACAGAGAGACACCGTCTAGACAGAGAGACACTGTCTAGATAGAGAGACACCGTCTAGACAGAGAGGTACCGTCTAGACAGAGAGGTACTGTCTAGACAGAGAGGAACCGTCTAGACAGAGAGGTACTGTCTAGACAGAGAGACACTGTCTAGAGAGAGAGACACCGTCTAGACAAAGGGACACCGTCTAGACAGAGAGACACCGTCTAGACAGAGAGGTACCGTCTAGACAGAGGGACACCGCCTAGACAGAGAGACACCGTCTAGACAGAGAGGTACTGTCTAGACAGAGAGACACCGTCTAGACAGAGGGACACCGTCTAGACAGAGAGGCACTATCTAGACAGAGGGACACCGTCTAGACAGAGAGACACCGTCTAGACAGAGAGACACCGTCTAGACAGAGAGGTGCCGTCTAGACAGAGAGGTACCGTCTAGACAGAGAGGTACTGTCTAGACAGAGAGGTACTGTCTAGACAGAGAGACACCGTTTAGACAGAGAGACACCATCTAGACAGAGAGGTACCGTCTAGACAGAGAGGCACCGTCTAGACAGAGGGGTACTGTCTAGACAGAGAGGTACCGTCTAGACAGAGAGGTACTGTCTAGACAGAGGGGCACAGTCTAGACAGAGAGGTACCGTCTAGACAGAGAGGCACCGTCTAGACAGAGAGACACCGTCTAGACAGAGAGACACCGTCTAGACAGAGAGACACCGTCTAGACAGAGGGACACCGTCTAGACAGAGAGGTACCGTCTAGACAGAGAGACACCGTCTAGTCAGAGAGGTACCGTCCAGACAGAGGGACACCGTCTAGACAGAGTGGTACCGTCTAGACAGAGAGACACCGTCTAGACAGAGAGACACCGTCTAGACAGAGAGGTACTGTCTAGACAGAGAGACACCGTCTAGACAGAGAGGTACCGTCTAGACAGATAGGTACCGTCTAGACAGAGAGACACCGTCTAGACAGAGAGGTACCGTCTAGACAGAGAGACACCATCTAGACAGAGAGGTACCGTCTAGACAGAGAGACAAGGTCTAGACACAGAGACACCGTCTAGACAGAGAGGCACCGTCTAGACAGAGAGGTACCGTCTAGACAGAGAGGTATCGTCTAGACAGAGAGACACCGTCCAGACAGAGAGACACCGTCTAAACAGAGGGACACCGTCTAGACAGAGAGGCACTGTCTAGACAGAGAGGCACCGTCTAGACAGAGAGGTACTGTCTAGACAGAGAGGCACCGTCTAGACAGAGAGGTACCATCTAGACAGAGAGGCACTGTCTAGACAGAGAGGTACCGTCTAGACAGAGAGGTACTGTCTAGACAGAGAGGCACTGTCTAGACAGAGAGACACCGTCTAGACAGAGAGACACCGTCTAGACAGAGAGACACCGTCTAGACAGAGAGGCACCATCTAGACAGAGAGGTACCGTCTAGACAGAGAGGCACCGTCTAGACAGAGAGGTACCGTCTAGACAGAGAGGCACCGTCTAGACAGAGAGGTACCGTCTAGACAGAGAGACACCGTCTAGACAGAGAAGCACCGTCTAGACAGAGAGGTACTGTCTAGACAGAGGGGCACCGTCTAGACAGAGAGGCACTGTCTAGATAGAGAGACACTGTCTAGACAGAGAGGTACCGTCTAGACAGAGAGGCACCGTCTAGACAGAGAGGTACTGTCTAGACAGAGAGGCACTGTCTAGACAGAGAGGCACCGTCTAGACAGAGAGACACCGTCTAGACAGAGAGGTACCGTCTAGACAGAGGGGTACCGTTTAGACAGAGAGGTACTGTCTAGACAGAGAGGCACTGTCTAGACAGAGAGGTACCATCTAGACAGAGAGACACCATCTAGACAGAGAGGTACTGTCTAGGCAGAGAGGTACCGTATAGACAGAGAGACACCGTCTAGACAGAGAGGTACCGTCTAGACAGAGAGGTACCATCTAGACAGAGAGGCACTGTCTAGACAGAGAGGTACCGTCTAGACAGAGAGACACCGTCTAGACAGAGAGGTACCATCTAGACAGAGGGGTACCGTCTAGACAGAGAGGTACTGTCTAGACAGAGAGAAACCGTCTAGTCAGAGAGGTACTGTCTAGACAGAGGGGTACCGTCTAGACAGAGAGGTACTGTCTAGACAGAGAGGCACTGTCTAGACAGAGAGGTACCGTCTAGACAGAGCGGTAACGTCTAGACAGAGGGGCACTGTCTAGACAGAGAGGTACCATCTAGACAGAGAGGTACTGTCTAGACAGAGAGGTACCGTCTAGACAGAGAGGTACCGTCTAGACAGAGGGGCACTGTCTAGACAGAGGGACACCGTCTAGACAGAGAGGCACCGTCTAGTTAGTGTTAGTGAACCCTCCTCACCTTGTGCGTGAGTGGCGTCCCGTCTCCCACCGGCTTCCCGCTCAGAGCCTCAAAGAGCAGCACCACTGCTCAAGACAAAAAGACAAAGCACCCCAATGTAGCCTCTAACAGACTGCTGCGTGCAAGTGCTGTTAGCCAGCACCTATGAAGGCCAGCACTGTACACGATAATGGTCACTGGAGTTGGTCGTGAGCGGGAATTGAACTCAGGTCGCAAACTAGCCGGTTGGTAGCGCAGTGCGCTAACACACACACACACACTGGGGCATGCACACACACTGAGGCATGCACACAAAGAAAAAGATTCCCCGTATAGCCTTAACAGACTGTAGGGGCAAGTGCTGTTAGCGAGCACCTATGAAGGCCGGAAAGGTACACGAGGGGGTGGGTGGCCAGCACCACGCCCGGCCGCCTTTGTCTCCCCAGTGGCAATGTTTACACACCGCACCAGGTACTCATTTGAGGCTGAGTCGACCTAGGGGAGGCCCGGGACCGGTTCAGATAATCGCCACTGGTGTTGGCCGTGAGCGGGAATCGAACCCGGGTCGCCGGGTTCGTAGCGCAGCGCGCTAACCGCTACACCACCGCTCCCCACTCACTGTGACACACACTCATTCACACGCACTCACTCCCATTCTCCCACACACGCGTGCACCCACACGCGCACACACTCACTTTCACACGAAAAACAAAGATCCCCCGTGTAGCCTTAACAGACTGTAGAGGCAAGTGCAGTCAAGGAATGACATCACCTATGAAGGCTACCGGCACTGTGGCACGCGAGGGGGTGGGTGGCCAGCACCATGCCCGAACGCCTTTGTCTCCCCCAGTGATGATGTTTACGACACACCACACTGTACCAGGTACGCATTTGAGGCCGAGTCGACCTAGGATAGGCCCAGGACCGGTTCAGATAACGCCATCGCTGGTGTAGGTGGTGTCCGGGAGCGCACAAATTGTAACAACTACAGGGGCATCTCTCTGCTCAGTGTGCCGGGCAAGGTCTTGGCACGGATTATTCAACACCGCCTTGCCAGGCACGCTCGGGAGAGGCTTGCGGAACCCCAATGTGGATGCCACATTCTTTGTCCGTGTAGGGAATCCAACAAGACCTACATCTCTGCTTTTTTGACCTGGTCAAGGCCTATGATACCATCAGTAGGCCTGGGCTCTGGGTTGTTCTTCGTGCTTTTGGAGTACCTGACACTCTGCTCACGATCATTAAGGACCTTCATGATGGTGAGCGGGCCCGGGTAAAACTACGTGGCCGGGAGTCAGAGCCATTCCCTGTACACCTTGGGGTGCGACAGGGATGTCCTCTGGCTCCCATATTATTTAACATCTATTTCAACCACGTAGTTCGTGAAGCATTCAATAGCTGTACCGGGAGAATCCCCATGTGGTACAGATATAATGGGAGGCTGATCGATGCACGGGTGCGGTCAAGGGATGGCTCCCGATTGGTCAACCATGTTCTGTATGCCGGTGATCTGGTGATTGCTGCTCACTCAGGGAAGGAGTTGGAGGTGCTGCTGCTAAACCTGAATTTTGACACTAAGAGATGGGGCCTTACCATCAGCCCCACCAAAACTAAGCACCTGCCTGGGTATTTTGTACCATCGGACACTCCACCCCCAAAACTCCCAATTGGTGATGGGGCAGTTGTGGAGAGAGTGGAGAGTTTCCCATACCTGGGCAGTGTGCTTATGACCGGCTCCAGGTTAACAGCAGAGGTCTCACTCCGAATCAGTTGAGCGGCAATATCTTTTCATCGGTTGCATAACGCTGTGTGGAAGCTACCTGGTCTGTCGCTCCGCACTAAGCTTCAGGTCTTCTCGGCCACGGTCATTCCCTCCCTTCTCTACGCTTGCGAAACGTGGACCCCCTTAATGGAGCATCTTCGCCGGTTGGAAACATTTAGGCTGGCCTGCCTACGATCCATCCTGGGTTTAACCAGACTGGATTGTGTGAGGAGCTCACAAATCCTTGAAAGATCTGGGCAGGGTCCCATCGGTGAGCTCCTCCGGCAGGCAAGGCTGCGATGGCTGGGTCATGTAGCCCGCATGCCCAGCCACCGCATGCCGAAACAGCTTTTGTTTGGCCGGATTGAGGGGGCTAAGCGGGCGCGGCACGGGCTAGAGAAGAGATGGAGTGATGTGGTACAGGAGGACGTGGAGCTGAGTGAACTTGCCGATGACTGGTACCAGCGGTGTCAAGATCGGCCTCTGTGGAGGAGGCTCGTGAAGGATGCTACTGGGCAGTTGGAGGCAGTCGCCCTCCAACAACAACGGAGGGCGGAGGAGCGACGCTCAGAACAACGAGCGGAGCGCCGGGTGGCTAAAGCACAGCAGGTTGGCACAGTAGGGGGCACAGGTGGTGCATCAGCCAGTCATTTCAGTCAGTCGACCCGTGGCACCTGGGTCTGCCCCGTGACCTCCTGCCAGCGGGCGTTCGACACTTCACGTGGCCTCAGGGTGCACATAGCCTGGCACAAGCGTCGTGGTGACGTCACCGCCACTTAGTGGCGAATGGCGGTTGTTGTTGTTGTTGTTGTTGTATGTGTGTGTGTATGTGTGTATGTGTGTGTATGTGTGTGTGTATGTGTGTGTGTATGTGTGTATGTGTGTATGTATGTGTGTGTGTATGTGTGTATGTATGTGTGTGTGTGCACACCTCTGGTGTCACCGGGATCTCGCACGGCGATGGTGTCGTCGCTCAGTGCCAGCGTGCGCTCCTCCAGCAGCTCGGCGCGCAGGCCGGCGCCCCGCACCACGGCCACGGCACGCCCCTCGTACGACGAGACCAGCAGCACCGCACCGCCACCGCCACCGCCGGCCTGCACCAGCACAAAGTGCCTAGGGGTAGTAGCCGAGACACACACACGGCGGTCACCACGGCATGCCACGTCAGCTCATCCATCCCTCCCTCCATCTCTCCCTGCCTGCCTCATTGTTTTAAAATTACAGAACACAACCACTATTACTATCCCTATACAGAACACAAGCCCTATTACTATCCCTATACAGAACACAACCACTATCACTATCCCTATACAGAACACCAACCCCTATCACTATCCCTATACAGAACACAACCACTATCACTATCCCTATATGGAACACAACCACTATCACTATCCCTATATGGAACACCAACCCCTATCACTATCTCTATACAGAAAACCAACCCCTATCACTATCCCTATACAGAACACAACCACTATCACTATCCCTATACAGAACACAACCACTATTACTATCCCTATACAGAACACAGCCCCTATCACTATCCCTATACAGAACACCAACCACTATTACTATCCCTATACAGAACACAACCACTATTACTATCCCTATACAGAACACCAACCACTATTACTATCCCTATACAGAACACCAACCACTATTACTATCCCTATACAGAACAAAACCCCTATCACTATCCCTATACAGAACACAACCACTATTACTATCCCTATACAGAACACAACCACTATCACTATCCCTATACAGAACACAGCCCCTATTACTATCCCTAGACAGAACACAACCACTATTACTATCCCTATACGGAACACAACCACTATCACTATCCCTATACAGAAGACAACCACTATTACTATCCCTATACAGAACACAGCCCCTATCACTATCCCTATACAGAACACAACCCCTAATACTATCCCTATACAGAACACCAACCCCTATCACTATCCCTATACAGAACACAGCCCCTATCACTATCCCTATACAGAACACAACCCCTAATACTATCCCTATCACTATCCCTATACAGAACACAACCACTATCACTATCCCTATACAGAACACAACCACTATCACTATCCCTATACGGAACACAACCACTATCACTATCCCTATACGGAACACCAACCCCTATCACTATCTCTATACAGAACACCAACCCCTATCACTATCCCTATACAGAACACAACTACTATCACTATCCCTATACAGAACACAACCACTATTACTATCCCTATACAGAACACAGCCCCTATCACTATCCCTATACAGAACACCAACCACTATTACTATCCCTATACAGAACACAACCCCTAATACTATCCCTATACAGAACACAGCCCCTATCACTATCCCTATACAGAACACAACCACTATTACTATCCCTATACAGAACACAACCACTATCACTATCCCTATACGGAACACCAACCCCTATCACTATCTCTATACAGAACACCAACCCCTATCACTATCCCTATACAGAACACAACTACTATCACTATCCCTAAACAGAACACAACCACTATTACTATCCCTATACAGAACACAGCCCCTATCACTATCCCTATACAGAACACCAACCACTATTACTATCCCTATACAGAACACAATCCCTAATACTATCCCTATACAGAACACAGCCCCTATCACTATCCCTATACAGAACACAACCACTAATACTATCCCTATACAGAACACAACCCCTAATACTATCCCTATACAGAACACAACCACTATCACTATCCCTATACAGAACACAGCCCCTATTACTATCCCTATACAGAACACAACCACTATTACTATCCCTATACAGAACACAACCACTATTACTATCCCTATACAGAACACAACCACTATTACTATCCCTATACAGAACACCAACCCCTATCACTATCCCTATACAGAACACAGCCCCTATCACTATCCCTATACAGAACACAACCCCTAATACTATCCCTATACAGAACACCAACCCCTATCACTATACCTATACAGAACACAACCCCTATTACTATCCCTATACAGAACACAACCACTATCCCCATACAGAACACAACCCTATCACTATCCCTATACAGAATACAACCCCTATTGCTATCCCTATACAGAACACAACCACTATCACAAACCCTATACAGAACACAACCACTATTGCGGCAGTGTAGCGGTTATATTCCTGCTCATGGCCAACACCAGTGACAATTATCTGAACTGGTCATGGGCCTCCCCAAGGTCGACCCAGCCTTAAATAGGTACCTGGTGCAGTGTGTGTATGTGTGTGTATGTGTGTGTATGTGTGTGTATGTGTGTGTGTATGTGTGTGTATGTGTGTATGTATGTGTGTATGTGTGTATGCGTGTGTATGCGTGTGTATGTATGCGTGTGTATGTGTGTGTGTATGCGGGTGAATGTGTATGTGTGTGTATGTATGTGTGTGTATGTGTGTATGTATGTGTATGTGTGTGTATGCGGGTGTATGTGTATGTGTGTGTGTATGTATGTGTGTGTATGTGTGTGTGTATGTATGTGTGTATGTGTATGTATGTGTGTGTATGTGTGTATGTGTGTGTGTATGTGTGTGTATGTGTGTGTATGTGTGTGTGTATGCGTGTGTATGCGTGTGTATGTGTGTGTATGCGTGTGTGTGCTCGCTTGAGAAAACTCACTTCTGCGCCTGCACGATGAGGCTCACGCTGCCCTCCTTCAGGTCAAAGATGATCGGCGTGTTCCAGTTTTTAATGCTGAAACAACACACACGTACACACACACGTACACACACACGTTCACACACACACACGTATACACACACACGCGTACACACACGCGTGTTCACACACACGCGTTCACACACACACACATGTGTACACATACACACGCGTAAACACACACACGTACACACACACACACGTATATACACACACACACGCAGACACACACACCCGTACACACACATGCGCGTTCACACACACGCGTTCACACACACACACGTATACACACACACGCGTACACACACACACGCGTTCACACAGACACACGCGTACACACACACACGTACACACATACACACACACGCGTTCACACACACACGTATACTCAGACACACGTACACACATGCATACTCACACACACACACGCGTACACACACACGCGTACACACACGCGTACACACACACGCGTACACATACACGCGTACACACACACATGCGTTCACACACACACGTATACACACACACGCGTACACACACACGTATACACACACACGCAGACACACACGGGTACACACACACGCATACACACACACGCGTACACACACGCGTACGCACACACACGTAGACGCACACACGCGTACACACACACGCGTACACACACACGCGCACACACAGACGCGCGCACACACACGTACACACACACGCGCGTTCGCACACACGCGCGTTCGCACACACACACGCGTTCACACACACGCGTACACACACATGCGTACACACACACGCGTACACACACACACATGCGTTCACACACACACACATATACACACACACGCGTACACACACACACGTATACACACACACGCAGACACACACACGCATACACACACACGCGTACACACACACGCGTACACACACACGCGTACACACACACACGCGTACACACACACGCGTACACATACAGGCGCACACACAGACGCGCACCCACACGCGCGTTCGCACACACACACGCGTTCACACACACACACACGCGTTCACACACACACACACACGCGTTCACACACACACACGTGTACACACATACACGCGTTCGCACACACACACGCGTTCACACACACACACGCGTTCACACACACACACGCGTTCGCGCACACACACACGCGTTCACACACACACGCGTTCACACACACACACACACGCGTACACACACGCACGCGCGTTCGCACACACACGCGTACACAGACACACGCGCGTTCGCAGACACACGCGTTCGCACACACACACGCGTTCGCACACACACACAAGTGTTTGCACATACACACGCGTTCGCACACACACACACACGTTCGCACACACACACGCGTTCACACACACACGCAGACACACACGCGTACATACACACGCGTACACACACACACGTAGACGCACACACGCATACACACACACGCGTACACACACACGCGCACACACAGACGCGCACACACACACGTACACACACACGCGCGTTCGCACACACACGCGCGTTCGCACACACACACGCGTACACACACACGCATTCACACACACACGCGTTCGCACACACACACACGCGTTCACACACACACGCATTCGCACACACACACACACGCGTTCGCACACACACACGCGCGTTCGCACACACACGCGCGTTCGCACACACACACGCGTACACACACACGCGTTCACACACACACGCGTTCGCACACACACACGTGTTCACACACACACGCATTCGCACACACACACACACGCGTTCGCACACACACACACGCGTTCGCACACACACACAAGTGTTCGCACATACACACGCGTTCACACACACACACGCGTTCACACACACACGCGTTCGCACACACACGCGTACACACACACACGCGTTCACACACACACGCGTTCACACACACACACGCGTTCACACGTCCATACTTTCACACACACGCATTTATTCACAAACACAAGTTCACACACACACACCCACGTGTTCACACACACACACACCCACGTGTTCACATACACACACACGTGTTCACACACACACACACCCACGTGTTCACACACACACACACCCACGTGTTCACACACACACACACGTGTTCACACACACACACACCCACGTGTTCACACACACACAGTGGGAGACACCACCTGTAGACGTAGCACTGGGCGCAGGTGGCCACGACGAGGTGACCGTGGCCCAGCGAGGCCCTGATGACGCGGTCGCGAAACTCCAACGTGTCCACAGCGTCGTCCAGGACGTTGCGAACCTACGGGACAAAGGCGGCCCGCAGAGCCTTCAACAGCGCCTCGCTGCTCGCCTGCCCCACCGCTCACCTGCCCCACTGCTCACCTGCCCCGCCGCTCACCTGCTCCACCGCTCACCTGCCCACCCGCCCCCTCCCCCCAACCGCTCACCTGCCCCACCGCTCACCTGCATGGTGCGCCTCTTGGTGAGCGTCACCTCCAGGTGGGCCCACTCCCAGCGGCGCTCCAGCAGGTGAGCGAAGACGACGCGGCCGGAGCCGCACGCGGCCCCGACCTGCGTGCCGTCGTGCGACCACGCCAGCCCCAGCGGGCTGCCCACGCCAGGCAGCTTCTCCAGGCAGTGTGACCACTGCGTTGGGGGGGGGGGGGCAAAACGTGGGTCATGTGTGTGTCGTGTGTGTGTGTCGTGTGTGTGTGTCGTGTGTGTGTGTCGTGTGTGTGTCGTGTGTGTGTGTCGTGTGTGTGTCGTGTGTGTGTGTCGTGTGTGTGTCGTGTGTGTGTGTGTCGTGTGTGTGTGTGTCATGTGTGTGTCGTGTGTGTGTCGTGTGTGTGTGTGTCGTGTGTGTGTGTGTCGTGTGTGTGTGTCGTGTGTGTGTCGTGTGTGTCTCGTGTGTGTGTCGTGTGTGTGTCGTGTGTGTGTGTGTAGTGTGTGTGTGTGTGTCGTGTGTGTGTGTGTGTGTGTCGTGTGTCGTGTGTGTCGTGTGTGTGTCGTGTGTGTGTGTCGTGTGTGTGTCGTGTGTGTGTGTCGTGTGTGTGTCGTGTGTGTGTGTGTCGTGTGTGTGTAGTGTGTGTGTGTGTGTCGTGTGTGTGTGTGTGTGTCGTGTGTGTGTGTCGTGTGTGTGTGTCGTGTGTGTAGTGTGTGTGTGGTGTGTGTAGTGTGTGTGTGTCGTGTGTGTGTGTGTGTGTCGTGTGTGTGTCGTGTGTGTGTGTCGTGTGTGTAGTGTGTGTGTAGTGTGTGTAGTGTGTGTGTGTCGTGTGTGCCGTGTGTCGTGTGTGTGTGTGTGTGATTCGTGTGTGTGTGTCGTGTGTGTGTCGTGTGTGTGTGTGTCGTGTGTGTGTGTCGTGTGTGTGTGTGTCGTGTGTGTGTGTGTGTGTTGTGTGTGTGTGTCGTGTGTGTGTAGTGTGTGTCGTGTGTGTGTCGTGTGTGTGTGTGTTTCGTGTGTGTGTCGTGTGTGTGTGTGTGTCGTGTGTGTGTGTGTCGTGTGTGTGTGTGTGTCGTGTGTGTGTGTGTGTGTGTCGTGTGTGTGTTTTGTGTGTCGTGTGTGTGTCGTGTGTGTGTCGTGTGCGTCAGTCTCACGACCACACACAGACCGCAGCGCTATCCACCAGAGCACTGACACCCACACTCCCACTAACCCCTCCTCAGCCCCTCCTCACCCCCACCTCACCCCCAGCTCACCCCCACCTCACCCCCACCTCACCCCCTCCTCACCCCCTCCTCACCCCCTCCTCACCCCCTCCTCACCCCCTCCTCACCCCCACCTCTCCCCCTCCTCACCCCGGCCCTGTCACACAGGCGCAGGGTGTCGAAGGCCCCGACGAGGAAGAGTGATCCGTCGGGGGCCCACGCCACAGCCGTCACAGGGTGCTCGTGGGACAGCGAGGAGTAGAGGGGGCAGCCGTAGCTGTCCCACACCTACACGAGGAGGGAGACACGGGGTCACGGGGTCACGGGGGGGTCACAGGGTGCTCGTGTGGCAGCGAGGAGTAGAGGGGGCAGCCGTAGCCGTCCCACACCTACAAGGAGGGAGACACGGGGTCACGGGGGGTCACGGGGTCACGGGGGGTCACAGGGTGCTCGTGGGGCAGCGAGTAGTAGAGGGGGCAGCCGTAGCCATCCCACACCTACACGAGGAGGGAGACACGGGGTCACGGGGTCACGGGGGGGGTCACGGGGGGGTCACAGGGTGCTCGTGGGGCAGCGAGGAGTAGAGGGGGCAGCCGTAGCCGTCCCACACCTACAAGGAGTGAGACACGGGGTCACGGGGTCACGGGGGGTCACAGGGTCTCGGAGACACGGGGATACAGGGTCACGGGGTCACAGGGGGTCACAGGGTCTCGGAGACACGGGGTCACGGGGTCACGGGGGGGTCACGGGGGGACACAGGGTCTCGGAGACACGGGTTCACGGGGACACGGAGACACGGGGTCACGGGGACACGTGGTGATGGGGACACGGGGGTCAGGCGGGTCATGGGGTCACAGGGAGGCACCTTGTAGCGGCAGTCCTCCCCGCCAGACACCACGAGGCCGTTCACCGCGTTCCAGTCCACCTTGAGAACCAGCCCCTCGTGGGCCTTCCACTGTACGCACACAGACAGAGGTGCCCCGTGTAGCCTCGACAGACTGTCAGGGCAAGTGGCAGCAGCTATGAAGGGTTACACACTCTCACTCACTCACACTCACTCACTGTGACACTCACTCACTCACTATGACACTCACTCACAATCACTCACTGTGACATACACAACAACAACCGCCATTCGCCACTTAGTGGCGGTGACGTCACCACAACGCTTGTGCCAGGCTATGTGCACCCTGAGGCCACGTGAAGTGTCGAACGCCCGCTGGCAGGAGGTCACGGGGCAGACCCAGGTGCCACGGGTCGACTGACTGAGATGACTGGCTGATGCACCACCTGTGCCCCCTACTGTGCCAACCTGCTGTGCTTTAGCCACCCGGCGCTCCGCTCATTGTTCTGAGCGTCGCTCCTCCGCCCTCCGTTGTTGTTGGAGGGCGACTGCCTCCAACTGCCCAGTAGCATCCTTCACGAGCCTCCTCCACAGAGGCCGATCTTGACACCGCTGGTACCAGTCATCGGCAAGTCCACTCAGCTCCACGTCCTCCTGTACCACATCACTCCATCTCTTCTCTAGCCCGTGCCGCGCCCGCTTAGCCCCCTCAATCCGGCCGAACAAAAGCTGTTTCGGCATGCGGTGGCTGGGCATGCGGGCTACATGACCCAGCTATCGCAGCCTTGCCCGCCGGAGGAGCTCACCGATGGGACCTTGCCCAGATCTTTCAAGGATTTGTGAGCTCCTCACACAATCGAGTCTGGTTAAACCCAGGATGGATCGTAGGCAGGCCAGCCTAAATGTTTCTAACCGGCGAAGATGTTCCATTATACACACACTCACACACTCACATAAGTCACACAGAGACACACTCATTCACACTGACTCACTCGCACACTCACTCTCACACACTCACAGTCACTCACAAACACTGTCACACTCTCTCCCACACAATCTCATACTCTCCCACACTCTCACACACATACTCACTGACTGACTCACTCACACACACACACAAGGTCACACAGAGACACATTCACTAACACACTCACAGTTACTTGCATTCACTCACACACTGACACTCTCTCTCCCACAATCTCTCCCCCCACACTCTCCCCCCACACTCTCCCCCCACACTCTCCTCCCACATTCTCCCCCCACACACTCTCCCCCACACTCCACCCCCCACACTCTCCCCCCACACTCTCCCCACACACTCTCCCCCCACACACTCACTCACCTGCAGAGCCCTGGCTCCAGGCTGCAGGGGTTTCACCACGAGGTGACGCCCGGCCGTGTGCAGCACTCGGTCCGAGTCCGGGGACCAGCACGCCGAGTACACGGGGCTCCCTGCCGACGCACCCACAAAGGCCCCCCAAGTGAACTTCACCACGCCCACAAAGTCCCCTTCACGTGGACTTCACCACGCCCACAAAGTCCCCTCCACGTGGACTTCACCACGCCCACAAAGTCCCCACCACGTGAACTTCACTACGCCCACAAAGTCCCCACCACGTGGACTTCACCACGCCCACAAAGTCCCCACCACGTGAACTTCACCACGCCCACAAAGTCCCCCCAAGTGAACTTCACCACGCCCACAAAGTCCCCACCACGTGGACTTCACCACGCCCACAAAGTCCATCCAAGTGAACTTCACCACGCCCACAAAGTCCCCACCACGTGAACTTCACCACGCCCACAAAGTCCCCTTCACGTGGACTTCACCACGCCCACAAAGTCCCCTCCACGTGGACTTCACCACGCCCACAAAGTCCCTCCAAGTGAACTTCACCACACCCACAAAGTCCCACCACGTGAACTTCACCACGCCCACAAAGTCCCCTCCACGTGGACTTCACCACGCCCACAAAGTCCCCCCAAGTGAACTTCACCACGCCCACAAAGTCCCCACAACGTGGACTTCACCACGCCCACAAAGTCCCCACCACGTGAACTTCACCACGCCCACAAAGTCCCCACCACGTGGACTTCACCACACCCACAAAGTCCCCACCACGTGGACTTCACCACGCCCACAAAGTCTCTCCAAGTGAACTTCACCACGCCCACAAAGTCCCCTCCACGTGGACTTCACCACGCCCACAAAGTCCCTACCACGTGGACTTCACCACGCCCACAAAGTCCCCACCACGTGGACTTCACCACGCCCACAAAGTCCCCACCACGTGGACTTCACCACGCCCACAAAGTCCCCTCCACGTGGACTTCACCACGCCCACAAAGTCCCTCCAAGTGAACTTCACCACGCCCACAAAGTCCCCTCCACATGGACTTCACCACACCCACAAAGTCCCTCCAAGTGAACTTCACCACGCCCACAAAGTCCCCACCACGTGAACTTCACCACGCCCACAAAGTCCCCACCACGTGGACTTCACCACACCCACAAAGTCCCCACCACGTGGACTACACCACGCCCTCAAAGTCCCCCCAAGTGGACTTCACCATGCCCACAAAGTCCCCACCACGTGGACTTCACCACGCCCACAAAGTCCCCTCCACGTGGACTTCACCACGCCCACAAAGTCCCCTCCACGTGGACTTCACCACGCCCACAAAGTCCCCCCCACGTGGACTTCACCACGCCCACAAAGTCCCCCCAAGTGGACTTCACCACACCCACAAAGTCCCCTCCACGTGGACTTCACCACACCCACAAAGTCTCACCACGTGGACTTCACCACGCCCACAAAGTCCCCTCCACGTGGACTTCACCACGCCCACAAAGTCTCACCACGTGGACTTCACCACTCCCACGGAAAGGGGGCGCCGCCGCGGTGGGCGAGGAGATGTCTAGCAACCTCGCCCGGTACGTTAGCCACCCGTAAGTCTCTTTAGTCTCATTGTCCATCCCGTTAGTCTCATTAGTCTCATCGTCCATCCCGTAAGTCTCATTAGTCTCATCGTCCATCCCGTAAGTCTCCGTTAGTCTCATAGTCCATCCCGTAAGTCTCCGTTAGTCTCATCGTCCATCCCGTTAGTCTCATTAGTCTCATCGTCCATCCCATAAGTCTCATTAGTCTCATCGTCCATCCCGTTAGTCTCTTTAGTCTCATCGTCCATCCCGTTAGTCTCATTAGTCTCATCGTCCATCCCGTAAGTCTCTTTAGTCTCATCGTCCATCCCGTTAGTCTCATTAGTCTCATCGTCCATCCCGTTAGTCTCATTAGTCTCATCGTCCATCCCGTAAGTCTCATTAGTCTCATCGTCCATCCCGTTAGTCTCCGTTAGTCTCATCGTCCATCCCGTTAGTCTCTTTAGTCTCATCGTCCATCCCGTTAGTCTCTTTAGTCTCATCGTCCATCCCGTTAGTCTCATCAGTCTCATCGTCCATCCCGTTAGTCTCATTAGTCTCATCGTCCATCCCGTTAGTCTCATCAGTCTCATCGTCCATCCCGTTAGTCTCATCAGTCTCATCGTCCATCCCGTTAGTCTCCGTTAGTCTCATCGTCCATCCCGTAAGTCTCCGTTTGTCTCATCGTCCATCCCGTTAGTCTCATCAGTCTCATCGTCCATCCCGTTAGTCTCTTTAATCTCATCGTCCATCCCGTAAGTCTCATTAGTCTCATCGTCCATCCCGTTAGTCTCCGTTAGTCTCATCGTCCATCCAGTTAGTCTCATCAGTCTCATTGTCCATCCCGTAAGTCTCATTAGTCTCATCGTCCATCCCGTTAGTCTCTTTAGTCTCATCGTCCATCCCGTTAGTCTCCGTTAGTCTCATCGTCCATCCCGTAAGTCTCATCAGTCTCATCGTCCATCCCGTTAGTCTCCGTTAGTCTCATCGTCCATCCCGTTAGTCTCATCAGTCTCATCGTCCATCCCGTTAGTCTCATTAGTCTCATCGTCCATCCCGTTAGTCTCATTAGTCGCATCGTCCATCCCGTAAGTCTCATCAGTCTCATCGTCCATCCCGTAAGTCTCATCAGTCTCATCGTCCATCCCGTAAGTCTCCGTTAGTCTCTTCGTCCATCCCGTTAGTCTCATTAGTCCCATCGTCCATCCCGTTAGTCTCTTTAGTCTCATTGTCCATCCCGTTAGTCTCATCAGTCTCATCGTCCATCCCGTAAGTCTCTTTAGTCTCATCGTCCATCCCGTTAGTCTCCGTTAGTCTCATCGTCCATCCAGTTAGTCTCATCAGTCTCATTGTCCATCCCGTAAGTCTCATTAGTCTCATCGTCCATCCCGTTAGTCTCTTTAGTCTCATCGTCCATCCCGTTAGTCTCCGTTAGTCTCATCGTCCATCCCGTAAGTCTCATCAGTCTCATCGTCCATCCCGTTAGTCTCCGTTAGTCTCATCGTCCATCCCGTTAGTCTCATCAGTCTCATCGTCCATCCCGTTAGTCTCATTAGTCTCATCGTCCATCCCGTTAGTCTCATTAGTCGCATCGTCCATCCCGTAAGTCTCATCAGTCTCATCGTCCATCCCGTAAGTCTCATCAGTCTCATCGTCCATCCCGTAAGTCTCCGTTAGTCTCATCGTCCATCCCGTTAGTCTCATTAGTCCCATCGTCCATCCCGTTAGTCTCTTTAGTCTCATTGTCCATCCCGTTAGTCTCATCAGTCTCATCGTCCATCCCGTAAGTCTCTTTAGTCTCATCGTCCATCCCGTTAGTCTCCGTTAGTCTCATCGTCCATCCCGTAAGTCTCATTAGTCTCATCGTCCATCCCGTTAGTCTCATCAGTCTCATCGTCCATCCCGTTAGTCTCATTAGTCTCATCGTCCATCCCGTTAGTCTCATTAGTCTCATCGTCCATCCCGTAAGTCTCATTAGTCTCATCGTCCATCCCGTTAGTCTCATCAGTCTCATCGTCCATCCCGTTAGTCTCATTAGTCTCATTGTCCATCCCGTTAGTCTCATTAGTCTCATCGTCCATCCCGTAAGTCTCATCAGTCTCATCGTCCATCCCGTTAGTCTCATTAGTCTCATCGTCCATCCCGTTAGTCTCATCCACACAGTCAGTCTCATCCACTAAACGCTGCACCACCGCTCCCCACAAGACCGTACACACACACACACACTACACACACTACAAAGTGTCCTAACCGCTGCACCACCACTCCCCACACACTACACACACTACAAAGTGTGCTAACCGCTGCACCACCCCTCTCCACACACTACTCAAATTACAAAGTGTGCTAACCGCTGCACACCGCTCCACACACACTACACACACTACAAAGTGTGCTAACCGCTGCACCACCGCTCCCCACACACTACACACACTACAAAGCGTGCTAACCGCTGCACCACCGCTCCCCACACACTACACACACTACAAAGCGCGCTAACCGCTGCACCACCGTTCCCCACAAGACCGTACACACTACACACACACTACACACACTACAAAGCGCGCTAACCGCTGCACCACCGCTCCGCACACACTACACACACTACAAAGCGTGCTAACCACTGCACCACCGCTCCCCACGTGACCGTACACACACACACACACGCCGCACACACCACAACACGCACGCGACGGATGAGTGCCGATGGTCAATCCGTGTTGTGTCCGAGTGGAGCGGGCGAGGCTTACCCTGCTGCACCAGCGTGGAGCGCAGCATGCCACTGCGAGACCAGATCTTGACGAGGCCATCCTCCCCGGCTGTGGGGAGACGTGTACACGTCAGTGAGCAAGAGTCGCTGCGATGCACGCGCAAGGGCGGAGGGGTGTACGGGCGCGCAGGCTCACGCAGAAGCTCGCAGAGGCTCGCGGGCCCAAGCAGAGAACCACAGACTCGCGCAGATACTCACACAGAGAACCACAGACTCACGCAGATACTCATGCAGAGAACCACAGACTCACACAGAGACCCACAGACTCACACAGAGACTCACAGACTCACACAGAGACCCACAGACTCACACAGAGACCCGTAGACTCACACTGAGACCCACAGACTCACACAGAGACCCACAGACTCACACAGAGACCCACAGACTCACACAGAGACCCACACAGACTCACACAGAGACCCACAGACTCACACAGAGACCCACAGACTCACACAAAGACCCACAGACTCACACAGAGACCCACAGACTCACACAGAGACCCACACAGAGACCCACAGACTCACACAGAGACCCACAGACTCACACAGAGACCCACAGACTCACACAGAGACCCACAGACTCACACAGAGACCCACAGACTCACACAGAGACCCACAGACTCACACAGAGACCCACAGACTCACACAGAGACCCACAGACTCACACAGAGACTCACACAGAGACCCACAGACTCACACAGAGACCCGCAGACTCACACAGAGACCCACAGACTCACACAGAGACCCACAGACTCCCACAGAGACCCACAGACTCACACAGAGACCTTCTCTGCCCTGTACGTTGCGCTGTCCCATGCTGCCCTCCTCACCGGTGGCGAGCGCGGTGCCGTCCCCGCTCCATCGTGCGGCCAGCACGGCTCCACGGTGAGCCTCCACGCTGCGCTCCACGCGGCCCACACGTGACACCAGGTGGAGACGTCCTGGGGGCACCACGCACGCAGCTCCACAACCACCACCACCACCACCACGTTCACCACCACCACTCACGTTCATCACCACCACGTTCACCACCACCACTCACGTTCACCACCACCACTCACGTTCACCACCACCACCACCACCACGTTCACCACCACCACTCACGTTCATCACCACCACCACCACCACGTTCACCACCACCACTCACGTTCATCACCACCACCACGTTCACCACCACCACCACGCACGTCCACCACCACCACTAACATCCACCACCACAACTACGCACCCAGCTCCGCCACCACTCACGTCCACCACCCACACACTCACCCTCCTCACCCCCACACTCACCCCCACACACTCATCCTCCTCACCCCCACACTCACCCCCACACACTCACCCCCACACACTCACCCTCCTCACCCCCACACTTACCCCCACACACTCACCCACACACACTCACCCCAACACACTCACCCCCACACACTCACCCCACACTCACCCACACACTCACCCCCACACACTCACCCACACACACTCACCCCCACACACTCACCCCCACACTCTCACCCCCACACACTCACCCAACACACTCACCCCCACACACTCACCCCGCACACTCACCCCCACACACTCACCCCCACACACTCACCCCCACACTCACCCCAACACACTCACCCCCACACACTCACCCCAACACACTCACCCCAACACTCACCCCCACACACTCACCCCCACACACTCACCACCACACACTCACCACAACACACTCACCCACACACTCACCACACACACTCACCACCCCACAAACTCACCCCCACACTCACCCCCACACACTCACCCCAACACACTCACCCCCACACACTCACCCCCTACACACTCACCACCACACACACTCACCACCACACACTCACCCCAACACACTCACCACCCCCACACACTCACCCCCCCCAACACACTCACCCCCAACACACTCACCCTCAGCGCTAGCGATCACCACACACTCACCCCCAACACAAAGACAAAGATCCCCCATATAGCCTTAACAGACTGTAGGGGCAAGTGCTGTTAGCGAGCACCTATGAAGGCCGGAACGGTACACGAGGGGGTGGGTGGCCAGCACCACGCCCGACCGCCTTTGTCTCCCTAGTGGCAATGTTTACACACCGCACCAGGTACTCATTTGAGGCTGAGTCGACCTAAGGGAGGCCCGGGACCGGTTCAAATAATCGTCACTGGTGTTGGCCGTGAGTGGGAATCGAACCCTGGTCGCCAGGTTCATAGCGCAGCGCGCTAACCGCTACACTACCGCTCCCCACACACACTCACCCCAACACACTCACCCTCAGCGCTAGCGATCACCACACACTCACCACCACACACTCACCCCCAACACACCCCCCCCAACACACTCACCCCCAACACACTCACCCCCACACACTCACCACCACACACTCACCCCCACACACTCACCACCACACACTCACCCCCAACACACTCACCCCCACACACTCACCCTCAGCGCTAGCGATCACCACACACTCACCACCACACACTCACCCCCAACACACCCCCCCCAACACACTCACCCCGAACACACTCACCCCCACACACTCACCACCACACACTCACCCCCACACACTCACCACCACACACTCACCCCCAACACACTCACCCCCAACACACTCACCCTCAGCGCTAGCGATCACCACACACTCACCCCAAACACACTCACCCCAACACACTCACCACCCCCACACACTCACCACCCCACACACTCACCCCCAACACACTCACCCTCAGCGCTAGCGATCACCACACACTCACCCCCAACACACTCACCCCCACACACTCACCACCACACACTCACCCCCACACACTCACCACCACACACTCACCCCCAACACACCCCCCCCAACACACTCACCCCCAACACACTCACCCTCAGCGCTAGCGATCACCACACACTCACCCCAAACACACTCACCCACCCCAACACAACAACCGCCATTCGCCACTAAGTGGCGGTGACGTCACCACGACGCTTGTGCCAGGCTATGTGCACCGTGAGGCCACGTGAAGTGTCGAACGCCCGCTGGCAGGAGGTCACTGGGCAGACCCAGGTGCCACGGGTCGACTGACTGAGATGACTGGCTGATGCACCACCTGTGCCCCCTACTGTGCCAACCTGCTGTGCTTTAGCCACCCGGCGCTCCGTTCGTTGTTGTGAGCGTCGCTCCTCCGCCATCCGTTGTTGTTGGAGGGCGACTGCCTCCAACTGCCCAGTAGCATCCTTCACGAGCCTCCTCCACAGAGGCCGATGTTGACACCGCTGGTACCAGTCATCGGCAAGTCCACTCAGCTCCACGTCCTCCTGTACCACATCACTCCATCTCTTCTCTAGCCCGTGCCGCGCCCGCTTAGCCCCCTCAATCCGGCCAAACAAAAGCTGTTTCGGCATGCGGTGGCTGGGCATGCGGGCTACATGACCCAGCCAACGCAGCCTTGCCTGCCGGAGGAGCTCACCGATGGGACCCTGCCCAGATCTTTCAAGGATTTGTGAGCTCCTCACACAATCCAGTCTGGTTAAACCCAGGATGGATCGTAGGCACGCCAGCCTAAATGTTTCTAACCGGCGAAGATGTTCCATTAGGGGGGTCCACGTTTCGCAAGTGTAGAGAAGGGAGGGAATGACTGTGGCCGAGAAGACCTGAAGCTTAGTGCGGAGCGACAGACCAGGTAGCTTCCACACAGCGTTACGCAACCGATGAAAAGATATTGCCGCTCGACTGATTCGGAGTGAGACCTCTGCTGTTAAACTGGAGCCAGTCATAAGCACACTGCCCAGGTCTGGGAAACTCTCCACTCTCTCCACAACTGCCCCATCACCGATTGGGAGTTGTGGGGGTGGAGTGTCCGATGGTACAAAATACCCAGGCAGGTGCTTAGTTTTGGTGGGGCTGATGGTAAGGCCCCACCTCTTAGTGGCACGCTCCAGTCTCAGCAGCAGCGTCTCCAACTCCTCCTCTGACTGAGCAGCTATTACCAAATCATCAGCATACATAACGTGGTTGAGCAATAGGGAGCCATCCCTTGACCGCACCCCGGCATCGATTAGCCTCCCATATCTGTACCATATGGAGATTCCCCCGGTACAGCTATTGAAGGCTTCACGAACTACGTGGTCAAAATATATGTTAAATAATGTGGGAGCCAGAGGACATCCCTGTCGCACCCCAAGGTGTACAGGGAATGGCTCTGACTCCCGGCCACGTAGTTTTACCCGGGCCCGCTCACCATCGTGAAGGTCCTTAATGATCGTGAGCAGAGGGTCAGGTACTCCAAAAGCACGAAGAACGACCCAGAGCCCAGGCCTACTGATGGTATCATAGGCCTTGACCAGGTCAATAAAGCAGAGATGTAGGTCTTGTTGGAATTCCCTACACCTCTGCTGTAGCAGACGGACAGAAAATATGGCATCTGTGAAGGACCGCCCTTTCCTGAAACCGCATTGGGGCTCCGCAAGCCTCTCCTCAGCGTGCCTGGCAAGGCGATGCTGAATAATCCTTGCCAGGACCTTTCCCGGCACACTGAGGAGTGAGATGCCCCTGTAGTTGTTACAATCTATGCGGTCCCCCTTCTTAAAAAGGGGGACCACCAGGGCATCCTTCCAATCCTGCGGAACCCGTCCAGTGGTCCAGACTGTTGTTATGATGTCATATAGGGCAGTCTGTGCACAAACGCCACCCTCCCTCAGCATTTCGCTTGGGAGATCATCTCTGCCCGCTGCCTTTCCTGGTCTCAGACTCCGGATCACCTTCAATACTTCCTCAGCAGATGGCACCTCAGCCAGCCACTCACAGGGGGTGACTTCTTCCAATATTTGAGGCACCGCAGCCTCAGCAGGGTCATCCTCACTTTGTGCCACGATGTTTTCCTGGCTGAGGGATTTTCCCTCCCCCAGGACCTCACGGATATGCTCAGCAAATCTGCGAACCTGTTCCTGGGGGTCGGAGATTGGATCACCGTTTTTTCCCCTAATGATGGTAATAGGTGTGGCGCTGCAGGTTACTTTTTTGATGGCGTTAAATAGAGATTTGTGATCACGGGCCACTGAGGCAGACTCCATCTCCTCAGCAACCCGCGACCACCACCCATCCTTGCAGCGCCTCACGGCTCTCCGAACCTCCGAGCGAAGGCTGCGGTAAGCCTCCTCATTCTCTGACGTGGGATTCTGTAGCCGATGACAGTGAGCCTGTCGCTTTTTCTCAACCATCCTGAACACCTCCTCTGTCAGCCAGGGTCTCTGGGGAGGTCTGGACCGCGTACCCAAAGCAGCCATTGCAGCTGCATGAGTCACAGTCCTAAACCTCGCCCATTTACCCTCGACATCAGGAGGAGTCGGGGACAATGCCAATCCCAGCCGCAAGCGATGATGAAATTCTCGCTTGCAACTTTCATCAGATAACTGAGACCAGGCCACTTTATGTTGGAATGGGGTCCTGGGTGTACACCCACCACCGGAGTGGAAGAATGGCAGGCGCATCTTACAGATGACTAGTCGATGGTCAGAGGGCAGATCAGCTCCACGGTAGGTCCTGGTGTCAAGGACATGGGCTCGCATTCGCTGGTCCGTCACAATGTAGTCCAGCAGATGTTCTTGCTTGGACCCGGCATGCATCCATGATGTTGTGTGGATGCGCCGATGCCGGAACAGCGTGTTGGTAATTACAAGCCCATGGGCTGCACAAAAATCTAGCAGCCTCCTACCGTTGTTATTGAGCTGATCTGGCCCATGCCCTCCAATCACTCCAGACCAGGTGCCAGTATCATGACCAACTTGGGCATTGAAGTCACCCAACATGATGACTCTATCCCGAGGGGCCACTTTAGCCAGCACCTGTGACAGGAGGTCATAGAAGGCATCTGACTCATCGGCTTTGCCTGCATCCCTCCACGGCTGTTCATCTTCGGTGGGGGCATAAGTAACCACGACCACCATTCCTCGCCTCCGGTTGATGGGAAGGCGAGCCCAAGTAGCCTGGGGCTTACAGCTTCCCACACCTCACCGCCACGCTCCCACGCCCCCTTCATTCTTTTGTTCAAAAGAAGACCCACACCCTGTTGTTTGGCAGTCTGCTGCCCCGAGTAGAGGACTGTCCACCCCTCATGGTGGCAGGAGCCAGAGCCGGTCCACCGGACCTCCTGAATGCCGCATAGATCCAGGCGGTACCGGTCCAGCTCCCGACAGAGGAGTGGCAGCCTCTCCTCTGCAGTGAGCGTTCGAACATTCCACGTGGCCACCCGTAGTGGCTTTTCGTTGTTTCTAGAGTAGCCCCGAGGGTAGGTATTCAATCTCCTGGCTCCGCCAATTGAGGTTTGGCCAGGAGACGTCATAGACGCCTGGCCCCCCGGGGCCTCCGGCACAAGCTTATTAGTTACATATTTCAGTTTAATTCGTGGTTTCGTGGTAATTAATTGAAGGTGGAGGGGTTACCAGCCCCTCACACCCGTCCAGAGCCCCCGTTTAGCCCCTGTGGTGGACATATATGCCATGAGGGGAGGAGCCAATCAAAATTGGAGGTTCCCCCACAGCACTGTCCACGACAGAGTTGCCCGTCCGGCACCGCGAGGAGGTAGGGGGTTGTTTTTCCCCAACACACTCACCCCAACACACTCACCCCAACACACACTCACCCCCAACACACTAACCCCCAACACACTCACCCTCAGCGCTAGCGATCACCAGCGCCTCCCCCTGCTGCTGCTGCTTCTTGCCGCCGCCGCCGCCGCCGCCGGCCGCCCGCGGCTGGCAGTGCGCGTCAGTGGGGTGGCTCCCCTCCGGTAGCCCCCAGCGCAGGGGCTCGGGGTCCCCCCCGAGACCCCCGCGCTCCGGGGCCCCCGCGGCGCGCGCCCCCCGGTGCCAGCGCAGGGCGGCGCCGTCGTCGCCGCAGGAGAAGGCCTCGTCGCTGGACGGCAGCCAGGCGATGCAGCACGCCGGACCCACGTGTGCAGCGTCGTCAAGGGGGCCGGGTCCGTCGGCAACAACGTCGGCGTCGCGCGGCGTACCATCGCGGCGCTCCGCGAGGCGAGTCCACGATTGGGCGATAAGTAAGCGGCCACGGGTCGCCCGCAGAATTGCGCGCAGTCGCGCGCGCACAGAGTGCGCGACTTCCCGGAAGGCATCGACAGCTTCAGCGAGCGCGATGGCGATCACACGGCAACGCGGTTCGCAATTAGTGAGTACAGTATTTTTTTCACCTACGTGACTTTACCCAATAGAACCAAAGAGTATGGATCCTAGCAGTCACGAAAGCTTCAAATCTAGAAAAGTATTTGATCCCCTGCTGATTTTGTACGTTTGCCCGCTGACGAAGGAATGATCGGTCTATAATATTAATGGTAGGTTTATTTGAAGAGTGAGAGACAGAATAACAACAAGAAAAAATCCAGAAAAACGCATGTCAAAAATGTTGTGAATTGATTTTACATTTTCATGAGGGAAATAAGTATTTGACCCCCTCTCAATCGGAAAGATTTCTGGCTCCCAGGTGTCTTTTATACAGGTGACGAGCTGAGATCAGGAGCACACCTGTATAAAAGACACCCGTCCACAAAAGCAATCAATCAATCAGATTCCAAACTCTCCACCATGGCCAAGACCAAAGAGCTCTCCAAGGATGTCAGGGACAAGATTGTAGACCTACACAAGGCTGGAATGGGCTACAAGACCATTGCCAAGCAGCTTGGTGAGAAGGTGACAACAGTTGGTGCGATTATTCGCAAATGGAAGAAACACAAAAGAACTGTCAATCTCCCTCGGCCTGGGGCTCCATGCAAGATCTCACCTCGTGGAGTTGCAATGATTATGAAAACGGTGAGGAATCAGCCCAGAACTACACGGGAGGATCTTGTCAATGATCTCAAGGCAGCTGGGACCATAGTCACCAAGAAAACAATTGGTAACACACTACGCCGTGAAGGACTGAAATCCTGCAGCGCCCGCAAGGTCTCCCTGCTCAAGAAAGCACATATACATGCCCGTCTGAAGTTTGCCAATGAACATCTGAATGATTCAGAGGACAACTGGGTGAAAGTGTTGCGGTCAGATGACACCAAAATGGAGCTCTTTGGCATCAACTCAACTCGCCGTGTTTGGAGGAGGAGGAATGCTGCCTATGACCCCAAGAACACCATCCCCACCGTCAAACATGGAGGTGGAAACATTATGCTTTGGAAGTGTTTTTCTGCTAAGGGGAGAGGACAACTTCACCGCATCAAAGGGACGATGGACGGGGCCATGTACCGTCAAATATTGGGTGAGAACCTCCTTCCCTCAGCCAGGGCATTGAAAATGGGTCGTGGATGGGTATTCCAGCATGACAATGACCCAAAACACACGGCCAAGGCAACAAAGGAGTGGCTCAAGAAGAAGCACATTAAGGTCCTGGAGTGGCCTAGCCAGTCTCCAGACCTTAATCCCGTAGAAAATCTGTGGAGGTAGCTGATGGTTCGAGTTGCCAAACATCAGCCTCGAAACCTTACTGACTTGGAGAAGATCTGCAAAGAGGAGTGGGACAAAATCCCTCCTGAGATGTGTGCAAACCTGGTGGCCAACTACAAGAAACGTCTGACCTCTGTGATTGCCAACAAGGGTTTTACCACCAAGTACTAAGTCATGTTTTGCAGAGGGGTCAAATACTTATTTCCCTCGTTAAAATGCAAATCAATTTATAACATTTTTGACATGCGTTTTTCTGGATTTTCTTGTTGTTATTGTCTCTCACTGTTCAAATAAACCTACCATTAACATTATAGACTGATCATTTCTTTGTCAGTGGGCAAACGTACAAAATCAGCAGGGGATCAAATACTTGTTTTCCCTCACTGTACTTACTAATAACTCCTCATCCTTTTTCATTGCCAGAGGGGCTGGCTCCCCCTACCTGAAAATCCTGGCTCCGCCATTGCTAACGAGGTGAATGAGACTAACGAGGTGAATGAGACTAACGAGGTGAATGAGACTAACGAGGTGAATGAGACTAACGGGGTGAATGAGACTAACGGGGTGAATGAGACTAACGACGTGAATGAGACTAACGAGGTGAGACTAACGAGGTGAATGAGACTAACGACGTGAATGAGACTAATGAGGTGAATGAGACTAACGACGTGAATGAGACTAACGGGGTGAATGAGACTAACGAGGTGAGACTAACGAGGTGAATGAGACTAACGGGGTGAATAAGACTAACGAGGTGAGACTAACGAGGTGAGTGAGACTAACGAGGTGAATGAGACTAACGAGGTGAATGAGACTAACGAGGTGATACTAACGAGGTGAGTGAGACTAACGAGGTAAACGAGACTAACGAGGTGAATGAGACTAACGAGGTGAGACTAACGAGGTGAATGAGACTAACGAGGTGAATGAGACTAACGAGGTGAGACTAACGAGGTGAACGAGACTAACGAGGTGAGTGAGACTAACGAGGTGAATGAGACTAACGAGGTGAACGAGAATAACGAGGTGAATGAGACTAACGAGGTGAGACTAACGAGGTGAGTGAGACTAACGAGGAGAATGAGACTAACGAGGTGAATAAGACTAACGGGGTGAGACTAACGAGGTGAATGAGACTAACGAGGTGAATGAGACTAACGACGTGAATGAGACTAACGAGGTGAGACTAACGAGGTGAATGAGACTAACGAGGTGAATGAGACTAACGAGGCGAATGAGACTAACGAGGTGAATAAGACTAACGACGTGAATGAGACTAACGAGGTGAGACTAACGAGGTGAATGAGACTAACGAGGTGAATGAGACTAACGAGGAGAATGAGACTAACGGGGTGAATGAGACTAACGAGGTGAGACTAACGAGGTGAATGAGACTAACGAGGTGAATGAGACTAACAAGGAGAATGAGACTAACGAGGTGAATGAGACTAACGAGGTGAGACTAACGAGGTGAATGAGACTAACGGGGTGAATGAGACTAACGAGGTGAGACTAACGAGGTGAATGAGACTAACGGGGTGAATAAGACTAACGAGGTGAGACTAACGAGGTGAATGAGACTAACGAGGTGAATGAGACTAACGAGATGAATGAGACTAACGAGGTGAGACTAACGGGGTTAATGAGACTAACGAGGTGAATGAGACTAACGAGGTGAATGAGACTAACGAGGTGAGACTAACGAGGTGAATGAGACTAACGGGGTGAATAAGACTAACGAGGTGAGACTAACGAGGTGAATGAGACTAACGAGTTGAGATTAACGAGGTGAATGAGACTAACGAGGTGAGACTAACGGGGTGAATGAGACTGACGAGGTGAATGAGACTAACGAGGTGAATGAGACTAACGAGGCGAGTGAGACTAACGAGGTGAATGAGACTAACGAGGTGAGACTAACGAGGTGAATGAGACTAACGAGGTGAGACTAACGAGGTGAATGAGACTAAGGAGGTGAATGAGACTAACGGGATGAATGAGACTAACGAGGTGAATGAGACTAACGAGGTGAGACTAACGAGGTGAGTGAGACTAACGAGGTGAACGAGACTAACGAGGTGAATGAGACTAACTAGGTGAGACTAACGAGGTGAATGAGACTAACGAGGTGACTGAGACTAACGAGGTGAGACTAACGAGGTGAACGAGACTAACGAGGTGAGTGAGACTAACGAGGTGAATGAGACTAACGAGGTGAACGAGAATAACGAGGTGAATGAGACTAACGAGGTGAGACTAACGAGGTGAGTGAGACTAACGAGGAGAATGAGACTAACGAGGTGAATAAGACTAACGGGGTGAGACTAACGAGGTGAATGAGACTAACGAGGTGAATGAGACTAACGACGTGAATGAGACTAACGAGGTGAGACTAACGAGGTGAATGAGACTAACGAGGTGAATGAGACTAACGAGGTGAATAAGACTAACGACGTGAATGAGACTAACGAGGTGAGACTAACGAGGTGAATGAACTAACGAGGTGAATGAGACTAACGAGGAGAATGAGACTAACGGGGTGAATGAGACTAACGAGGTGAGACTAACGAGGTGAATGAGACTAACGAGGTGAATGAGACTAACAAGGAGAATGAGACTAACGAGGTGAATGAGACTAACGAGGTGAGACTAACGAGGTGAATGAGACTAACGGGGTGAATGAGACTAACGAAGTGAGACTAACGAGGTGAATGAGACTAACGGGGTGAATAAGACTAACGAGGTGAGACTAACGAGGTGAATGAGACTAACGAGGTGAATGAGACTAACGAGGTGAGACTAACGAGGTGAATGAGACTAACGAGGTGAGACTAACGGGGTTAATGAGACTAACGAGGTGAATGAGACTAACGAGGTGAATGAGACTAACGAGGTGAGACTAACGAGGTGAATGAGACTAACGGGGTGAATAAGACTAACGAGGTGAGACTAACGAGGTGAATGAGACTAACGAGTTGAGATTAACGAGGTGAATGAGACTAACGAGGTGAGACTAACGGGGTGAATGAGACTAACGAGGTGAATGAGACTGACGAGGTGAATGAGACTAACGAGGCGAGTGAGACTAACGAGGTGAATGAGACTAACGAGGCGAATGAGACTAACGAGGCGAATGAGACTAACGAGGTGAATGAGACTAACGAGGTGAGACTAACGAGGTGAATGAGACTAACGAGGTGAGACTAACGAGGTGAGACTAACGAGGTGAATGAGACTAAGGAGGTGAATGAGACTAACGGGATGAATGAGACTAACGAGGTGAATGAGACTAACGAGGTGAATGAGACTAACGAGGTGAGACTAACGGGGTGAATGAGACTAACGAGGTGAATGAGACTAACGGGATGAATGAGACTAACGAGGTGAATGAGACTAACGAGGTGAGACTAACGAGGTGAACGAGACTAACGAGGTGAATGAGACTAACGAGGTGAGACTAACGAGGTGAATGAGACTAACGAGTTGAGACTAACGAGGTGAACGAGACTAACGAGGTGAGACTAACGAGGTGAATGAGACTAACGGGGTGAATGAAACTAACGAGGTGAATGAGACTAACGAGGCGAGACTAACGGGGTGAATGAGACTAACGAGGTGAGTGAGACTAACGAGGTGAGACTAACGAGGTGATACTAACGAGGTAAATGAGACTAACGAGGTGAATGAGACTAACTAGGGACCTGGCTACAAATGACAGCTCACCCAAGTGGTTTCATCATCATCATCGTCATCACGTGGACATTTATAGCAGCAAATTTTGAAGGTGGAGAGACAAAACAGCGAAACCCTGAGAAAAATCCACGCGACCACGGGGAGACAGAGAGGAAGACACGCAAACTCCAAATATACAGCAGGTGTCAGGGTCAGCATCGAACCCACGACCTCCTGTAGACCAGGCAAGGTGGTCAACATCTCCTAGCCAGCGTGATGATGATGATGAGAGAGACGCAGACTCCAAATCCACAGCAGCAGGCATTGTCAGGGTTAGGAATGAACCCACGACCTCGTGTAGACCAGACGAGGTAGTCAACATCTCCTAGCCATCGTGATGATGATGAGAGAGAGACGCAGACTCCAAATATACAGCAGATGTCAAGGTCAGCATCGAACCCACGACCTCCTGTAGACCAGGCGAGGTAGTCAACATCTCCTAGCCACCGTGATGATGATGAGAGAGAAACGCAGACTCCAAATATACAGCAGCAGGCATCGTCAGGGTCTGGATCGAACCCACGACCTCCTGTAGACCAGGCGAGGTAGTTGACATCTCCTAGCCACCGTGATGATGATGAGAAAGAGACGCAGACTCCAGATATACAGCAGCAGGCATTGTCAGGGTCTAGATCGAAACCACGACCTCCTGTAGACCAGGCGAGGTAGTCAACATCCACCTAGCCACCGGGATGATGATGAGAGAGAGACGCAGACTCCAAATATACAGCAGCAGGCATTGTCAGGGTCTGGATCGAAACCACGACCTCCTGTAGACCAGGCGAGGTAGTTAACATCTCCTAGCCACCGTGATGATGATGAGAGAGAGAGAAACGCAGACTCCAAATATACAGCAGCAGGCATTGTCAGGGTCTGGATCGAACCCACGACCTCCTGTAGACCAGGCGAGGTAGTTAACATCTCCTAGCCACCGTGACGGACCAATCAGCGTGTTGATCGATCGATCAATCAGTCAATCAATCAATCGGCTGATCGCCGGGCGGAGCGCTTCGAGGTAGTTAACATCTCCTAGCCACCGTGACGGACCAATCAGCGTGTTGATCGATCGATCAATCAGTCAATCAATCAATCGGCTGATCGCCGGGCGGAGCGCTTCAAGGATATGCTTCGCCTCCTTCGTCACGAACGTCTTGAGCCTCATCCCGGAGCGGGAGTCGAACCCGGGCCGCCGGCTCCGTCAAGCGATGGGGCAGCAGGGTGGGCCACCACCACCACTGCCAGCGCCGCCGCTGTCCCTTCGCTCTCGGCCCTGCGCGTTTTCCCGACCGGGTGGGGTGGGAGAGGGGGCCGAGGGGGCGCACAGGGCCTGGTTCAGGGCCTGGTTCAGGGCCTGGTTCAGGGCCTGGTTCAGGGCCTGGTTCCGGGCCTGGTTCAGGGCCTGGCTCAGATGTTCGCTGTCGCCGGCGGTGGCCGTGAGCGCGGATCCAACTCGGGTCTCCGACGGGCCGGAATCGCGGCGTGCCGCTAACCGCTGCGCCACTGCTCTCCACACAGACGTACAAAGACAAAGGTGCCCACCACCCCCGTGTCGCCTCTGACAGATTTTTGGGGGCGAGTGCCGTTAGCAGCGAGTAGCAGCAGCGCCTGTGAACGCTGCCGGCACTGTGGCCTCACCAGCGGCGATGCCGCCCGCCCGCCCACTGCACCAGGTGCTCATTTGAGGCTGAGTTGACCTAGGGGAGGCCCGGGACCGGTCCAGACAATCGTCGCCAGTGTTGGCGGTGGCCGTGAGCGTGAATCGAACCCGGGTCTCCGCCGGGGATCGCAGCGTCGCGCTAACCGCTGCGCCAAACGCTCCCCACATCGCCGCTACGCTGTGCCAGACGTCTGTGGAGAAGAGCTTTGTAGCTCATCGGATTCGTCCAGGATATTGACGGTCGCAACTCAACAAACACGGCTATCTGCGCTTGCACACAAGTCGCTCGAAGCCACAACCAACAAGCTTAACTGCCCGGCTTCGCCCGGGACTTGGATTCACCACGCCCCGGCCGCCTTTGTCTCGATAGTGGCGATGTTCACACACCGCACCAGTTACGCGTTTGAGGCTGAGCCGACCTAGGGGAGGGCCTAGAACCGGTTGAAATGATCGTCGCCGGTGGTGGCCGTGAGCGGGAATCGAACTCGGGTTGCCAGGTTCGTAGCGTGGCGTAGCGCTAACCGCTACACTACCGCTCCCCACACACACACAGGTACACACATACACACACACATACACACACACAGATACACACACACACAGATACACACACAAATACATACACACACAGATACATACACACACAGATACAACAACAACCGGCATTCGCCACTAAGTGGCGGTGACGTCACCACGACGCTTGTGCCAGGCTATGTGCACCCTGAGGCCACGTGAAGTGTCGAACGCCCGCTGGCAGGAGGTCACGGGGCAGACCCAGGTGCCACGGGTCGACTGACTGAGATGACTGGCTGATGCACCACCTGTGCCCCCTACTGTGCCAACCTGCTGTGCTTTAGCCACCCGGCGCCCCGCTCGTTGTTCTGAGCGTCGCTCCTCCGTCCTCCGTTGTTGTTGGAGGGCGACTGCCTCCAACTGCCCAGTAGCATCCTTCACGAGCCTCCTCCACAGAGGCCGATCTTGACACCGCTGGTACCGGTCATCGGCAAGTCCACTCAGCTCCACGTCCTCCTGTACCACATCACTCCATCTCTTCTCTAGCCCGTGCCGCGCCCGCTTAGCCCCCTCAATCCGGCCAAACAAAAGCTGTTTCGGCATGCGGTGGCTGGGCATGCAGGCTACATGACCCAGCCATCGCAGCCTTGCCTGCCGGAGGAGCTCACCGATGGGACCCTGCCCAGATCTTTCAAGGATTTGTGAGCTCCTCACACAATCCAGTCTGGTTAAACCCAGGATGGATCGTAGGCAGGCCAGCCTAAATGTTTCTAACCGGCGAAGATGTTCCATTAGGGGGGTCCACGTTTCGCAAACGCAGAGAAGGGAGGGAATGACCGTGGCCAAGAAGACCTGAAGCTTAGTGCGGAGCGACAGACCAGGTAGCTTCCACACAGCGTTACGCAACCAATGAAAAGATATTGCCGCTCGACTGATTCGGAGTGAGACCTCTGCTGTTTAAACTGGAGCCAGTCATAAGCACACTGCCCAGGTATGGGAAACTCTCCAATCTCTCCACAACTGCCCCATCACCGATTGGGAGTTGTGGGGGTGGAGTGTCCGATGGTACAAAATACCCAGGCAGGTGCTTAGTTTTGGTGGGGCTGATGGTAAGGCCCCACCTCTTAGTGGCACGCTCCAGTCTCAGCAGCAGCGTCTCCAACGCCTCCTCTGACTGAGCAGCTATTACCAAATCATCAGCATACATAATGTGGTTGAGCAATAGGGAGCCATCCCTTGACCGCACCCGGGCATCGATTAGCCTCCCATTATATCTGTACCATATGGAGATTCCCCCGGTACAGCTATTGAAGGCTTCACGAACTACGTGGTCAAAATAGATGTTAAATAATGTGGGAGCCAGAGGACATCCCTGTCGCACCCCAAGGTGTACAGGGAATGGCTCTGACTCCCGGCCACGTAGTTTTACCCGGGCCCGCTCAATATCATGAAGGTCCTTAATGATCGTGAGCAGAGGGTCAGGTACTCCAAAAGCACGAAGAACGACCCAGAGCCCAGGCCTACTGATGGTATCATAGGCCTTGACCAGGTCAATAAAGCAGAGATGTAGGTCTTGTTGGAATTCCCTACACCTCTGCTGTAGCAGACGGAGAGAAAAATATGGCATCTGTGCAGGACCGCCCTTTCCTGAAACCGCATTGGGGCTCCGCAAGCCTCTCCTCAGCGTGCCTGGCAAGGCGATGCTGAATAATCCTTGCCAGGACCTTTCGTGGCACACTGAGGAGTGAGATGCCCCTGTAGTTGTTACAGTCTGTGCGGTCCCCCTTCTTAAAAAGGGGGACCACCAGGGCATCCTTCCAATCCTGCGGAACCCATCCAGTGGTCCAGACTGTTGTTATGATGTCATATAGGGCAGTCTGTGCACAAACGCCACCCTCCCTCAGCATTTCGCTTGGGAGATCATCTCTGCCCGCTGCCTTTCCTGGTCTCAGACTCCGGATCGCCTTCAATACTTCCTCAGCAGATGGCACCTCAGCCAGCCACTCACAGGGGGTGACTTCTTCCAATATTTGAGGCACCGCAGCCTCAGCAGGGTCATCCTCACCTTGTGCCACGATGTTTTCCTGGCTGTGGGATTTTCCCTCCCCCAGGACCTCACAGAAATGCTCAGCAAATCTGCGAACCTGTTCCTGGGGGTCGGAGATTGGATCACCGTTTTTTTCCCCTAATGATGGTAATAGGTGTGGCGCTGCAGGTTACTTTTTTGATGGAGTTAAATAGAGATTTGTGATCACGGGCCACTGAGGCAGACTACATCTCCTCAGCAACCCGCGACCACCACCCATCCTTGCAGCGCCTCACGGCTCTCCGAACCTCCGAGCGAAGGCTGCGGTAAGCCTCCTCATTCTCTGACGTGGGATTCTGTAGCCGATGACAGTGGGCCTGTCGCTTTTTCTCAACCATCCTGAACACCTCCTCTGTCAGCCAGGGTCTCTGGGGAGGTCTGGACCGCGTACCCAAAGCAGCCATTGCAGCTGCATGAGTCACAGTCCTAAACCTCGCCCATTTACCCTCGACATCAGGAGCAGTCGGGGACGATGCCAATCCCAGCCGCAAGCGATGATGAAATTCTCGCTTGCAACTTTCATCAGATAATTGAGACCAGGCCACTTCATGTTGGAATGGGGTCCTGGGTGTACACCCACCACCGGAGTGGAAGAATGGCAGGCGCATCTTACAGATGACTAGTCGATGGTCAGAGGGCAGATCAGCTCCACGGTAGGTCCTGGTGTCAAGGACATGGGCTCGCATTCGCTGGTCCGTCACTATGTAGTCCAGCAGATGTTCTTGCTTGGACCCAGCATGCATCCATGATGTTGTGTGGATGCGCCGATGCTGGAACAGCGTGTTGGTAATTACAAGCCCATGGGCTGCACAAAATCTAGCAGCCTTCTACCGTTGTTATTGAGCTGATCTGGCCCATGCCCTCCAATCACTCCAGACCAGGTGCCAGTATCATGACCAACTCGGGCATTGAAGTCACCCAACATGATGACTCTATCCCGAGGGGCCACTTTAGCCAGCACCTGTGACAGGAGGTCATAGAAGGCATCTGACTCATCGGCTTTGCCTGCATCCCTCCACGGATGTTCATCTTCGGTGGGGGCATAAGTAACCACGACCACCATTCCTCGCCTCCGGTTGATGGGAAGGCGAGCCCAAAGTAGCCTGGGGCTTACAGCTTCCCACACCTCACCGCCACGCTCCCACGCCCCCTTCATTCTTTTGTTCAAAAGAAGACCCACACCCTGTTGTTTGGCAGTCTGCTGCCCCGAGTAGAGGACTGTCCACCCCTCATGGTGGCAGGAGCCAAAGCCGGTCCACCGGACCTCCTGAATGCCGCATAGATCCAGGCGGTACCGGTCCAGCTCCCGACAGAGGAGTGGCAGCCTCTCCTCTGCAGTGAGCAGATACATACACACAGATACACACACACATACACACACACAGATACATACACACACACAGATACATACACACACACAGATACACACACACATACATACACACACACAGATACATACACACATACACACACACAACTTTCAGGGTTTGTACGCCAACACATTTGTATGGCACTCTACTCGGGTAGGGTTGGGGGGGGGGATGCGTGACGTCACCAGGCACACTGCGTGACGCTTCCGCATGCGGGTCATATGACAGATTTGACGTCACAGCTCATTTGCATTATTCGCCCCGCCCGCCCCCCCCAAAAAAAGTCTATACACTCCAGCGCTGTCCTCCAGACAGTCTCGTCCCTTCACCTGATGAAGGCCGCTTGTGTTGTGGCCGAAACGTCGTGATTTTTTTGTTATTTATTTTCACCTACGTGACTTTACCCAATAGAACCAAAGAGTATAGTCTATACAAAAGTCTATTTGAATACTTTTTGCATGGTGTCGAGTCTGGAAGCTACCCACATGCCAGATTTTAAGTTTGCTGCATGTCGGGGAAGTACGCTAAACATTTCGAACAGACACACACAATCACAACTTTCCCTTTTATTACGACTAATTACATTTGAAGCAACGGCGGTAGATAGAACGTAGATAGATGTTTTGTTCTTAATTTGGTCGAATTGTTTCGAATGTTACGATTTGTTTCACGTCGAGAATTAATGTGATGGGGAGGCGCTTCGAGTGGCGGATTTGAGCCAGAAAGGCGCCACTAATGTAATCAAATATAACGCTTGACTTGACTTACCACCTGTGATCTCTCGCACACAACACAGACAAAGGTCCCCCGTGTAGCCTCTAACAGGCTGCAGGGGCAAGTGCTGTTAGTAGCGAGTAGCAGCAGCACCTGTGAAGGTAGACACAGACAAAGGTCCCCCGTGTAGCCTCTAACAGGCTATAGGGGCAAGTGCTGTAGTAGCGAGTAGCAGCAGCACCTATGAAGGTAGACACAAAGACAAAGGTCCCCCGTGTAGCCTCTAACAGGCTGTAGGGGCAAGTGCTGTTAGCGAGCAGCACCTGTGAAGGCTACCGGCACTGTGGCACACGAGAGGGTGGGTGGCTACCAGCACCACGCCCGGTCGCCTTTGTCTCCCCAGTGGCGATGTTGACCACACACCACAGCACCAGGTAACTCATTTGAGGCTGGGTGGACCACCGCTCCCCACACCACAAGTACCCGATTATAAGACGCCACCCCACAACCCGTTGAACTTCTTTCGTACGTAGAAAACCGCGCAAATCTGAGATGCGGGACGGGTAAGTTCAACAAACTAAACAAGAGCAGCATCAGTTCCAGACGATGATGATGTAAAAGGGCAGCAGCGCTCCCAGTCAGTGGCTTCTTAATGTGGGAAGGGGAGGAGAGCGTTCCAGACGGCCGCGGGAAGCAGCGCGTCTGGAAGCGCCGCGCGATGATCACCGTCCATGTTCGATGGTTAGCGGCCAGAAGTAGTTATAGTGTAGTGTACAATGTGTAGTGTATAGTGTAGTGTATAGTGTAGTGTACAATGTGTAGTGTATAGTGTAGTGTACAATGTGTAGTGTATAGTGTACAATGTGTAGTGTGTAGTGTAGTGTATAGTGTAGTGTACAATGTGTAGTGTAGTGTGTAGTGTACAATGTGTAGTGTAGTGTACAATGTGTAGTGTGTAGTGTATTGTGTAGTGTACAATGTGTAGTGTAGTGTGTAGTGTACAATGTGTAGTGTGTAGTGTACAATGTGTAGTGTGTAGTGTATAATGTAGTGTATAGTGTAGTGTATAATGTGTAGTGTATAGTAGTGTAGTGTATAGTGTAGTATATAGTAGTGTAGTGTGTAGTATAGGGTATAATGTAGTGTATAGTGTAGTGTATAGCAGTGCATAGTGTAGTGTGTAGTATAGGGTATAGAAGTGTATACTAGTGTATAGTATAGTGTTATAGCAGTGTACAGTGTAGTATATACAGCATCTGAAAGCGCCAAACGACGCGTAGAGTTGTTGACTCTGTTAAGGTTAACGACAAATTAAAAGAAATAAAATCTCACGGGCGAGAGGCGGTGGGGGGGGGGTGAGCTTGCCTAGTTGACGCCTGCACTAGGCCTCTGGGTCACCACCTCGCCCCTCTGCGTGCCCTCGGGGTGGCCTCGGGGTGGCGAGCGAGCGAGCGGCGCGGCGAAGACGGAGACGAGGGCCGCGGAGAGTTGCGAGCAGCCCGGGAGGAGGAGGAGGAGGAGGGGGGGTGGGCCTCGAACTTGGCGGGGAGAGGACGAGGAGGTGTGAGGCGCGATGAGGAGGAGAAACGGGAGGAGGCGAAGGGGTGCAGGCGTCGCTAGGCCGCGTTGCCATGGAGACGCGGCCTGGCGACTGCGATTCTTGGGTTTCATCTCTAGGCGGGGCGTAGGCAGATTCCACTCACCACTTACTCAGCACTCACTCACCAATTACTCACCACTTACTCACCACTAACTCACCACTCACTCACCACTTACTCAGCACTCACTCACCACTTACTCACCACTCACTCACCTCTTACTCACCACTCACTCACCACTCTACTCACCACTCACCATTCACTCACCACTCACTCACCATTCACTCACCACTCACTACTTACCACTCACTCACCACTCACTCACCACTCACTCACTCACCACTGACTCACTCACTCACCACTATATTCACCACTCACTCACCACTTACTCACCACTCACTCACCACTCTACTCACCACTCACTCACCATTCACTCACCACTCACTCACCATTCACTCACCACTCACTACTTACCACTCACTCACCACTCACTCACCACTATATTCACCACTCACTCACCACTCACTCACCAATTACTCACCATTTACTCACCACTCACTCACCACTTACTCACCTCTTACTCACCACTCACTCACCACTTAATCACCGCTATACTCACCACTTACTCACCACTCACTCACCACTTACTCACCACTCACTCACCACTCTACTCACCACTCACTCACCATTCACTCACCACTCACTCACCACTCACTACTTACCACACTCACCACTCAGTCACCACTATATTCACCACTCACTCACCACTTACCACTCACTCACCACTCACTCACCAATTACTCACCACTTACTCACCACTTACTCACCACTCACTCACCACTAACTCACCACTCTACTCACCACTTACTCACCACTCACTCACCACTTACTCACCATTTACTCACCACTTACTCACCACTCACTCACTCACCACTTACTCACCACTCACTCACCACTCACTCACCAATTACTCACCACTTACTCACCACTCACTCACCACTTACTCACCACTCACTCACCACTTACTCACCTCTTACTCACCACTTACTCACCACTTAATCACCACTTACTCACCACTTAATCACCACTATACTCACCACTTACTCACCACTCACTCACCATTTACTCACTCACCATTTACTCACTACTTACTCACCTCTTACTCACCACTCACTCACCACTATACTCACCACTCACTCACCACTCACTCACCACTATACTCACCACTCACTCACCACTCACTCACCACTTACTCACCACTCCCTCACCACTTACTCACCACTCACTCGCCACTTACTCATCACTATACTCACCACTAACTCACCACTCACTCACCACTCTACTCACCACTTACTCACCACTCATTCACCACTCACCACTATACGCACTACTCACTCACCACTTACTCACCACTCACTCACCACTCACACTGGCCAATAACATTCACAACTCACCTGTCACTCACCAATTATCACTCACCTGACACTCACCAATTATCACTCGCCTGTCACTCACCAATTATCGGTGTGTTAGAGTTGGGGCTAGGCAGGGCTGGTGTGTTAGAGTTGGGGCTAGGTAGGGCTAGTGTGTTAGAGTTGGGGCTAGGTGGGGTTGGTGTGTTAGAGTTGGGGCTAGGCGGGGCTGGTGTATTAGAGTTGGGGCTAGGTGGGGTTGGTGTGTTAGAGTTGGGGCTAGGTGGGGTTGGTGTGTTAGAGTTGGGGCTAGGGGGGCTGGTGTGTTAGAGTTGGGGCTAGGTGGGGTTGGTGTGTTAGAGTTGGGGCTAGGCATGGCTGGTGTGTTAGAGTTGGGGCTAGGCGGGGCTGGTGTGTTAGAGTTGGGGCTAGGTAGGGCTGGTGTGTTAGAGTTGGGGCTAGGCATGGCTGGTGTATTAGAGTTGGAGCTAGGTGGGCTTGGTGTGTTAGAGTTGGGGCTAGGTGGGTTGGTGTGTTAGAGTTGGGGCTAGGCGGGGATGGTGTGTTAGAGTTGGGGCTAGGTAGGGCTGGTGTGTTAGAGTTGGGCTAGGCAGGGTTGGTGTGTTAGAGTTGGGGCTAGGTAGGGCTGGGTGTTAGAGTTGGGGCTAGGTAGGGCTGGTGTGTTAGAGTTGGGGCTAGGTAGGGCTGGTGTGTTAGAGTTGGGGCTATGTAAGGCTGGTGTGTTAGAGTTGGGGCTAGGTAGAGTTGGTGTTTTAGAGTTGGGGATCGGTGGGGTTGGTGTGTTAGAGTTGGGGCTAGGTAGGGCTGGTGTGTTAGAGTTGGGGCTAGGTAGGGCTGGTGTGTTAGAGTTGGGGATAGGTGGAGCTGGTGTGTTAGAGTTGTTGGGTTAGGTAGGGCTGGTGTGTTAGAGTTGGGGCTAGGTGGGGCTGGTGTGTTCGAGTGGGGCTAGGTGGGGCTGGTGTGTTAGAGTTGGGGATAGGTGGGGCTGGTGTGTTAGAGTTGGGGATAGGTGGGGCTGGTGTGTTAGAGTTGGGGTTAGGTAGGGCTGGTGTGTTAGAGTGGGGCTAGGTGGGGCTGGTGTGTTAGAGGGGGGGCTAGGCAGGGCTGGTGTGTTAGAGTTGGGACTAGGCCGGGCTGGTGTGTTAGAGTTGGGGATAGGTGGGGCTGGTGTGTTAGAGTGGGGCTAGGTGGGGCTGGTGTGTTAGAGTTGGGGCTAGGCAGGATTGGGGTGTTAGAGTTGGGCTAGGTGGGGCTGGTGTGTTAGAGTTGGGGCTAAGCAGGGCTGGTGTGTTAGAGTTGGGGCTAGGCAGGGCTGGTGTGTTAGAGTTGGGGATAGGTGGGGCTGGTGTGTTAGAGTTGGGGCTAGGCAGGGCTGTGTGTTAGAGTTGGGGCTAGGTGCAGCTGGGTGTTAGAGTTGGGGCTAGGTAGGGCTGGTGTGTTAGAGTTGGGGCTAGGTAGGGCTGGTGTGTTAGAGTTGGGGTTAGGTAGGCTGGTGTGTTAGAGTTGGGGCTAGGCAGGGTTGGTGTGTTAGAGTGGGGCTAGGTGGGGCTGATGTGTTAGATTTGGGGCTAGGTGGGGTTGGTGTGTTAGAGTTGGGGCTAGGCAGGGCTGGTGTGTTAGAGTTGGGGCTAGGTAGGTCCTGGTGTGTTAGAGTTGGGGCTAGGCAGGCAGGGTGACCATATATAGCAGGCGTTACTAAAAAGATTTCCAAAATCCTAAACAAACACAAGATCCAGGTCCGGTTCAATACAGTACGCAAAATTCGTGATCTGATCCCATCTGTGAAGGATGTTATTCCTGACTTACAGTACCCCGGGTTTACAAATTGAGTTGTACCTGCGGTGATTGCTATATCGGGGAGACGAAGCGACATGTCTCTGACCGAATTCGCGAGCACAAATCAGATTTGAAACACGGCAGAACGAATTCTTCTGCCGAGTTGGGGCTAGGTAGGGCTGGTGTGTTAGAGTTGGGGCTAGGCAGGGATAATGTGTTAGAGTTGGGGCTATGTGGGGTTGGTGTGTTAGAGTGGGGGCTAGGCAGGGCTGGTGTGTTAGAGTTGGGGCTAGGCATGGCTGGTGTATTAGAGTTGGAGCTAGGTGGGCTTGGTGTGTTAGAGTTGGGGCTAGGTGGGGTTGGTGTGTTAGAGTTGGGGCTAGGCGGGGATGGTGTGTTAGAGTTGGGGCTAGGTAGGGCTGGTGTGTTAGAGTTGGGGCTAGGCAGGGTTGGTGTGTTAGAGTTGGGGCTAGGTAGGGCTGGTGTGTTAGAGTTGGGGCTAGGTAGGGCTGGTGTGTTAGAGTTGGGGCTAGGTAGGGCTGGTGTGGTAGAGTTGGGGCTATGTAAGGCTGGTGTGTTAGAGTTGGGGCTAGGTAGAGTTGGTGTTTTAGAGTTGGGGATCGGTGGGGTTGGTGTGTTAGAGTTGGGGCTAGGTAGGGCTGGTGTGTTAGAGTTGGGGCTAGGTAGGGCTGGTGTGTTAGAGTTGGGATAGGTGGAGCTGGTGTGTTAGAGTTGGGGTTAGGTAGGGCTGGTGTGTTAGAGTTGGGGCTAGGTGGGGCTGGTGTGTTAGAGTGGGGCTAGGTGGGGCTGGTGTGTTAGAGTTGGGGATAGGTGGGGCTGGTGTGTTAGAGTTGGGGATAGGTGGGGCTGGTGTGTTAGAGTTGGGGTTAGGTAGGGCTGGTGTGTTAGAGTGGGGCTAGGTGGGGCTGGTGTGTTAGAGTGGGGGCTAGGCAGGGCTGGTGTGTTAGAGTTGGGGCTAGGCAGGGCTGGTGTGTTAGAGTTGGGGCTAGGTGGGGCTGGTGTGTTAGAGTGGGGCTAGGTGGGGCTGGTGTGTTAGAGTTGGGGCTAGGCAGGATTGGGGTGTTAGAGTTGGGGCTAGGTGGGGCTGGTGTGTTAGAGTTGGGGCTAAGCAGGGCTGGTGTGTTAGAGTTGGGGCTAGGCAGGGCTGGTGTGTTAGAGTTGGGGATAGGTGGGGCTGGTGTGTTAGAGTTGGGGCTAGGCAGGGCTGGTGTGTTAGAGTTGGGGCTAGGTGCAGCTGGTGTGTTAGAGTTGGGGCTAGGTAGGGCTGGTGTGTTAGAGTTGGGGCTAGGTAGGGCTGGTGTGTTAGAGTTGGGGTTAGGTAGGGCTGGTGTGTTAGAGTTGGGGCTAGGCAGGGTTGGTGTGTTAGAGTGGGGCTAGGTGGGGCTGATGTGTTAGATTTGCTAGGTGGGGTTGGTGTGTTAGAGTTGGGGTTAGGTAGGGCTGGTGTGTTAGAGTTGGGGCTAGGTAGGTCCTGGTGTGTTAGAGTTGGGGCTAGGCAGGGTGACCATATATAGCAGGCGTTACTAAAAAGATTTCCAAAATCCTAAACAAACACAAGATCCAGGTCCGGTTCAATACAGTACGCAAAATTCGTGATCTGATCCCATCTGTGAAGGATGTCATTCCTGACTTACAGTACCCCGGGGTTTACAAATTGAGTTGTACCTGCGGTGATTGCTATATCGGGGAGACGAAGCGACATGTCTCTGACCGAATTCGCGAGCACAATCAGATTTGAAACACGGCAGAACGAATTCTTCTGCCGAGTTGGGGCTAGGTAGGGCTGGTGTGTTAGAGTTGGGGCTAGGCAGGGATAATGTGTTAGAGTTGGG